CTCCAGCAGCGCGACGCTGACGGCGACCGTACCAGTCCTGCAGCTGCTGTGGGGTGAGAGGCACACGTGGACGAAGGCGGCTACTCCAAGGAGACCGCGCAACAGCAGACTCAGAACCCTCAGCGCCCGCACCCCCAACGGCTCCAGAACCTCCGGTATCAAAACCCTCAGCACCAGTACCTCCAGCGGCTCCAGAACCTCCAGCTCCAGCACCCTCAGCAGCTCCAGAACCTCCAGCTCCAGTGCCACCAGTACTAGGCCCTCCAGCAGCTCCCGAACCTCCAGCGCCAGCACCCTCAGTAGCTCCAGAACCTCCAGCGTCAGTACCGCCAAGCTCAGCACCCCCAGACCCCTCACACTCAGGCTCAGCACCACCAGGCTCAGCACCCCTAGGCTCCGCACCCCCAGGCTCAGCACCCCCAGAAGTAGTACCCCGAGCAGGACCACCCTCAGTAGGACCTGAGTCACCAGTGACCTCAACCGGCGCAGTCAAGGGAGGAGGGTCTACCTGAGAAACACCTGAAGGAGCAGGACCGGGAGCGGGGAGGGGGTCTACCTGGGGAGCACCTGGAGCGAGGAAGAGCGGCGGGGGGGGGAGCGGGGCAGTGCGGTAGGGAAAGAGACGGTAAAAGGGAACCGACTCGTCGAACGTGACGTCCTGAGACGCAAAGACACGGCGCGAGGTGGGGTGATAAAACTGCCAACCAGGCGCGTCAGGGACAAAGCCAAGGAAGACACAGGGAACAGCGCGGGCGGAGAGCTTGTCCGCGGTGGTATTGCGGACAAAGGCACGAGCACCCCAGACCCGGAAACGCGACGCATCGCCAACCTTCCCCGTCCACAGCAGTGTGGGCGAGGTCTCCGGCAAGGAGACACGGGGCCAGAGGTTGAGCTGATGCGCGGCGTACCGGACCGCAAACGGCCACAGGAAATGGGGGGCAGCCGCATGGATCATGGAGGTACGAGCGACCTCCATGACTAAGCCAATGCGGCGCTCAGCAACCCCATTCTGCTGTGGAGAGGCCGGAAGCGTGAACGACTGGGTGATGCCGTGCTCCGCACAGTAGGCTGCCAAGAGGTCTGAGGAGAACTCACCACCTCTGTCAGAGTGCAGACGGAGGACAGGAAAGTCCCGCCGGAACCGCTCGCGGAGCTGGAGACGAACAGTGCGGATCCAAGGGATCAAAACATCAGGGACGTCCCCCTTGCTCTGCAAGGGGAAGACCGTGGTGTAACGCGTGTAGTCGTCGACGACCAGCAGGAAGTACCGCTCGCGGCCCTGTCCCTGGACGCGGGCTGGGCCCCACACGTCCAGGTGGAGCGTCTGCAGTGGAGCCTCTGTGGGAGGAAACGAGGAGGAGTGAGGAGCGGCGCGCTGCCGCCCCTCGATGCAAGGAATGCAGGGCAGCGCAGGCGAGGGAGGGAGGGCAGGCAGAGACCTGGGAAGACCAGAGACCAAGGAGCGAGAGTGCATGCTACGCAGGCGAGGCAAGGAGGGGTGACCAAGGCGGTGGTGCCACAGGAGAGTGTCGTGCGACAAAGCGCGACACTCGCAGGGGGCCGCCAGCTGACCAGACACAGACGCAGACGCAGCTACCTGAGGGGACTCAGTGGTGAGTGTGTACAGACTCGAGCCAGGCGCACGGGTAAACGTGGCCAGGTGTCGGCCCGTCCGAGCACACGTACAGCGGGTCACTCGCTGACTCGCAGGAGTGAACTGGTGAACCCCTCCATCCTGGAGGTCAGCTCCCGCCACCAAGTTCGTAGAGAACGAGGGGAGGTAAAGACCTGACAGGAAGCCAGACGGGACGGCCGGACACGGCAGAACCGTGGAGTAGTGGGCAAGGACTGGGCCCCCGGAGGGGTCCGCCAGGGAGACTGGAACTGGCCGACTGAGCGGCGTGAGTGTGGTGCAGTCGCGAAAGAAGGAGCGGGAAGCTCCTGAGTCAAGGGTGAAGGTGTGCGAGACCGCAGAGGGCGCAGTACCAGAGAGAGCAGACTCACCAGCACCTGAAGCCACGGCCTTACGAGCACCTAGAGCAGAAGACGTACTAGCACCGAGAGCAGCAGCCTCACCAGCACCTAGAGCAGGAGACGCACTAGCACCTAGAGCAGCAGCCTCACCAGCACCGAGAGCAGCAGGCTCTATACCAGGGTCAGGCGGTACGCACAGGTAACAGGCACGGTCAGCACTAGTAGGCAATGCATACATGGCAGTGAGAATAGCATCATAGTCAAGCGCAAAGATATCTACCCTCTGTCCATGCAGCTCCAGCCAGGTGGGGAGCTCAGCCTCGTCGCCAAACACTGTGCGCCAGTCGTCGCTCAGACGGGCGAAGCAGCGGGACTGTGTGTGACCAAGCGTCCCACAAGGCTGACCAGTCCTAGCACCTGTGCGAATGACGTACGGGCAGCGAACTGTACGCGTAGACCTGCTACACTGAGCATACCACTCCTGGAGCTGCCGGGGCGTAAGTGTCTCACGTGGACGCCCCTGCAGCTGCAGCTGGCCACTGCCAGACGCTCCCAACTGACCAGCTCCAGGGCGACAGCTACGACGGCTACTGCGACAACCCCAGCTAGTATACCACTCACTAAGCTGCTGGGGCGTGAGAGGCTCGCGTGAACGTCGCTGGAGCTGCATCTGGCCACCTGCCAGTAGCAGTAGCAGCAGCAGTAGCGCGGGCAGGGCAGGCGCGGCAGGCAGGCAGGCAAGCAGGCAGGCAGGCAGGCAGCCAGGCAGGCAGGCAGACAGGCAGGCAGGCAGGCAGGCGGGCAGACAGACAGGCAGGCCGGCAGGCAGGCAGGCAGGCCGGCAGGCAGGCAGCCAGGCAGGCAGGCAGGCAGACAGGCAGGCCGTCAGGCAGGCAGGCAGGCGCTCACCAAAGGCTGGGAGAGCAGGCGATCACCGGGCGAGCAGGGCCGGCGCTCGACGGCGGCGGCCGAGTAGGCGCACGACAGCGGCGGCGTCGGGGCCGCAACACCGGCTGCAGAGTAGGGCCGAAGCAGCTGCAGGGCGGGGCCGCTTCAGTGGCAGTAGCAGGGTGGGGCCGCGTCAGCGGTAGGTCGGGGCCGTGGAAGCTGCAGGGCGGGGCCGCATCAGCGGCAGGTCGGGGCCGTGGTAGCTGCAGGGCGGGGCCGCATCAGCGGCAGGTCGGGGCCGTGGCAGCTGCAGGGCGGGGCCGCATCAGCGGCAGGTCGGGGCCGAGGCAGAGGGCCGCGCGCGGCTCGGCGCGGGCTGCGCTGACAGCGCGCTGAGCTGCTGCAGGCCGCGCGGGCTGTTGCGGGCCGCGCGCGGGCCGCGCGAGGCAGTAGCAGGCCGCGCGCGGCTCGGCGCGGGCTGCTGCGGGCCGCGCGCGGGCCTCGCGAGGCCGTAGCAGGCCGCGCGCGGCTCGACGCGGGCTGCGTGGGCTCGGCGCGGGCTGCGCGCGGCAGCTGCGGGCTGCGCGCGGCTGCAGCGGGCTGCGCGCGGCTCGGTGCGGGCTGCGCGCGGCTGCAGCGGGCTGCGCGCGGCTCGGCGCGGGCTGCGTGGGCTCTGTGCGGGCTGCGCGCGGCTGCAGCGGGCTGCGCGCGGCTCGGTGCGGGCTGCGCGCGGCTGCAGCGGGCTGCGCGGGCCTGACGGGCGTGTAGAGGGGGCGCGCGGGCCTTACGGGCCTCTAGGGGCAGCGCGCTGGCCTTACGGGCCTCTAGGGGCGGCGCGTGGGCCTTACGGGCCTCTAGGGGCAGCGCGCTGGCCTAAGGCAGCAGGAGGCAGCGCTAGGGCTGCTGGACGGCGCGCATAGTGCAGCACGTCACAAGGCAAGGCAAGGCAGGCAGGTACGTGGGGTAGCGCGGTAACCGCAGCGGTAGGTGGGCCCGAAAAAAAAGACGGTCCTACGGACCTTAGTGCTCTGAAACCATGTCAGAATCTAGCAGCAGGAATGGATGAACTAACAGGATGCAGGAGTACAAGTAGGAAACCCTAATTGGGTTGTACCCCATATGGGCTACCCCACTACAGCCTAGACAATATGCAGCACATATGTTTGACATTAGCTGAATCAGACTATGCAAATTTATTAATCTGAAAAATCAGACTAAGCTCCACCATTCGTCTGGAAAAGCAGACTAGAAAAATATGCCCGTCTGATCGTCAGACGGAAGGATTTTTTACTTTGGTGATCCCAGACAGGCCCGAATCCTAGCAAGAGCCCTGGTGCAAACAAACAAACACACATATCGTACACACGGACTCACACGCGCACGTAAACACACGCATAATCACACGCACACTCTGACACACACGGAAACAACCCTCCCTCCCTCCTTCCCTCATCTCCCTTTTCAGCTCACGCGCCCTGCACAAAGCAAAATCAGAGAAGTCAACACACACATGCCCTGCACAAAGCAAAACAGAGAAGTCAACACACACAAGCCCTGCACAAAGCAAAAACAGAGAAGTCAACACACACAAGCCCTGCACAAAGCAAAAACAGAGAAGTCAACACACACAAGCCCTGCACAAAGCAAAAACAGAGAAGTCAACACACACAAGCCCTGCACAAAGCAAAAACAGAGAAGTCAACACACACAAGCCCTGCACAAAGCAAAAACAGAGAAGTCAACACCCCCATGCCCTGCACAAAGATAAAATCAAGAAGTCAACACACACATGCCCTGCACAAGAAAGCACGAACAGAGAAAGCAACAGCCCACCTTCACAAAAAACAGTGTATGTTCTCACACTGTGTACAAGAAAGCAACAAGGCCAAAGGCCATGACGCTAGTGCTTCAGGCACGGCACACTAGGTGCCATGCCAGCGCCCAAGCATTACAGCCCGCTGCACGAGCGTGCTAGGCACTAGCAGCGCTAGTTGCCAGCAGCCTAGACGAGCGTCTGAGGCGCCAAATCCTTAGAAGCCGGTACTCTAAACGCTAGTGCAGAAAGCGACACTCATTTGTATAAGTAGCCCCAGTTTCCCAAGCACCAGCAGAATAGATGCTAGTGCCTACGCCCCAGCATGCTCATGCGCTCTCTCTCGCGCTCTCACGCGCTCTTTCACGCGCTCCCTCACACGCTCCCTCACACGCACCCAAACGCGCACCCTCACGCGCACTTTCACGCGCACTCTCACGAGCACTCTCACGCGCACTCTCACGACCACTCTCACGCGCACTCTCACGCGCACTCTCACGCGCACTCACGTGCTCACTCACGCGCTCTCACGCGCTCTCACGCACTCACTCACGTGCTCTCTCACGCGCTCTCTCATGCGCACTCACGCGCACTCTCACGGGCACTCTCACACACCCACTCATGCGCACTCTCACGCTCACACTCACACGCACACTCACGCTCTCTCACGCGCCCTCTCATACGCACCCTCACGCGTTCTCTCACGCGCTCTCACACGCTCTCTCACACGCGCTCTTTCACGCGCTCTCACGCACTCTCTGACGCGCTCCCTCAGGCGCACTCTCAGGCGCACACTCACGCGCTCTCTCTCGCGCTCTCTCCCGCGCTCCCTCTCACGCACTCTCACGCACAATCTCTCTCTCACACACTCTCACGCGCTCTCTCGTGCGCACTCTCATGCGCACTCTCATGAGCACTCTCATGCGCACTCTCACACGCTCTCTCGCGCACTCTCACGCGCTCCCGCACAAGCGCTCTCACGCGCACTCTCATGCGCTCTCTCACGCGCTCTCTCACGCGCACTCTCTCGTGCGCTCTCACGCGCTCTCTCGCATGCTCTCTCACGCGCTCTCTCACGCGCTCTCTCACGCGCTCTCTCACGCGCACTCTCACGCGCTCTCTCACGCACACCCTCACGCAAACTCTCACATGCACTCTCTCTCGCACTCTCATGCGCACTCTCTCTCTCACGAGCTCTCCCACGCGCTCTCTCACGCGCATTCTCACGCGCACACTCACGCTCTCTCCACGCTCTCTCACGCGCCCGCTCATACGCACCCTCACGCGCTTTCTCACGCGCTCTCACACGCTCTCTCACACGCGCTTTCTCACGCGCTCTCTCACGCGCACTCTCACGCGCACTCTCACGCACTCGCTCTCGCGCACTCTCACACGCATTTTCTCTCTCACGCGCTCTCTCACACGCTCTTGCGCACTCTCACGCTTACTCTCACGCTCTCTCACGCGCTCTCTCATACGCAACTTCACGTGCGCTCTCTCACGCGCTCTCTCACGCGCTCTCTCACGCGCACTCTCACGCACACCCTCATGCGCACTCTCACGCGCTCCCTCACGCGCTCTCTCACGCGCTCTCTCACGCGCTCTCTCACGCGCTCCCTCACACGCCTCACGCGCTCCCTCACGCACGCGCTTCCACAGCGCGCTAGGCGCCAGCGCCTTAGGCGCCAGGGCGCTAGGCGCCAGCGCCTTAGGCGCCAGCGCGCTAGGCGCCAGAGCGTTAGGCGCCAGAGCGCTAGGCGCCAGCGCGTTAGGCGCCAGCGCGCTAGGCGCCAGCGCGTTAGGCGCCAGCGCGCTAGGCGCCAGCGCGCTAGGCGCCAGCGCGTTAGGCGCCAGCGCGCTAGGCGCCAGCGCGTTAGGCGCCAGCGCGCTAGGCGCCAGCGCGTTAGGCGCCAGCGCGTTAAGCGCCAGCGCCTTAGGCGCCAGCGCGTTAGGCGCCAGCGCGTAGGCGACCAAAGAGGAGAGCAATGGGAGTGTGATGCTAAGAAAATTACGAACGGAGAAAATAAAATCTACGAAAACAGAGAACTTACGACGAAAATTGCGTCAGCACAGAGAACTTACGACGAAAATTGCGTCAGCACAGAGAACTTACGACGAAAATTGCGTCAGCACAGAGAACTTACGAAGAAAGAAGGAATCCTAAAAAAAATCGGCGGGAGGAGGGAGGTAGAAAGTTCCGAGAAACGTAAACGCACCTGAGACAACGGCGCCGCAGAAAACAACGCGAGGTCGTTTAGCTACCCGCGCTCACGCTTGTGTACCCATCAGAGGCGACGACGGGAAGGGAGGGAGAGGCGACGGCGAGGAGGAAGGGAGCGGCTATGACGGGGCGGGAGGGAGAGGCCATGGCGGGATGAGAGGGAGAGGCGACGGTGGTTGGGAGGAGGGAGAGGCGCTGGCGGGATGGGAGGGAGAGAATACACTGGGATGGGAGGAGAGGCGACGGCGGGGTGTTGAAAAAACGGAATAGGTAGGTAGTCACAAGAACCAAGAATCAAGAACCAACCATGAACCAAGAACCAAAACTAAGAATCAAGAACGAAGAACCAAGAACCAAGAATCAAGAACCAAGTGACAAGTGTCGAATTCGAGTTGACAAGTGTGATAGGAAGCAATACAATTTTTACTCGTTAGAAGAGCGTGTAATCTTTGGGGCAGATTCACATTGTATTGCTAGGACAAACTAGACAACTAGGCATGGACAATCTTTCATTTAGGTGTATATGTAGAAATATGAGCAAGATACTAATTTGAAAGCTGTGTCACGTGAAACACACTTATAACTATATTATCAAACAACAGCTGAAAACAACAAGCCACTATAACAATTGGACGGTAAAGTATAGTAAGATGGAGCTTAAAAACATTTTCTATTGGAAAAAAGAAAGAATAATCACTATTCGAATCGTTACCTTTTGATACTAGACAAGCGTTCAAATATGTATATAATTACTAGTTTTCTCTAACATGTCTCTTCCATAAGTATAATATATAATGTTCCATCACATGTTTCTTATATCACTAGAGACAACTTTACGCAACCCTTCCGACGTATACGTCGAGTCTTGTTTTTTTTTTTCGCCTGCATTCGGGCATTCCCTATTTTTACCCTTTATCCCTCCCTTTGCCCTACCTCCCCTTTGCTCCCATGCTTTTCCGCACAACCCTCCCCACTTACTTCTCCATCTTACCCCTTACACCCCCCCCCCCCCCTTCCCCATCGCGCATCCCCCTATCCTTTTCGTCCCCGAGTATTCTTTTCACGTACGAGGGGAAGGGAGCATGGAGCTAGGGTTAGTGTAGCAAGCAGCTCTAGTCAGTCTCGAAGGGGATGATATGGAATAGAAGTGGCGAGAATCGTCGATATTCGGATCAGATTTATTTGAGATACACACGTTTGAGCCCCCCGACCTTGCCCTCTGGGCCTATAAGCGATTCCTGCATTTCGCGGAGGTTTCGTCCATTCGCTTCAGGCAAAAAGGGCCTATAAAAAACTTTTGTAACTCACCGTTGACTGTTTGACTGCAGTCTCATCAGTCAGACTTCCGTTTCTGTGGTTCGGATTGGTCGACGTGCTTGTAACGTGGGTGCTTCTTCACGGCACAAAACCCACGGGTGCAAGGTTTCCATCAGGCGCAAGGAAATTTCGCGTGCAGCGGGTGGACATCAGGTGTACGGTAGGGTCCGCTGGGGAGCAAAAGAGTATGCATTATTTGAAGGATCAAGTCAAACGGAAGGTTTAAGCGCGTTGGATAGAGCAGACTTTTGAGTCGACTCAAAAGTCAGTTCGATAGAGCAGCGAGCAGGTTTAGCTAGTCGCATCAGGCGTTCAGATGAATGAGAATAGGCAGGGTTCGAGTGAGATTCGGATTAAATCTTGTTGAAACTCGTGTGAGATACGAATGATATTCGGTGAGCAGCTGAAGAGTACAGTAGCTGAAGGTTCAACCCTCAACAGAGTCGGTTTCAGCACGCCGGATCAAGCAGCGAGCGGTTTTAGCTAGTCGCATCGGGTTTACATCGAGTAGAACAAACGAGAGGGAATAAACTGACAGGCTGCATAGCGACAGGGCAGAAACAGAGCAGAGATCGATAGGAATGGAACTGACAAGGCAAAGGCAGACAGATAGGGCAGAAACTGAAAAGGGGGAAACGGACAGGGCGGGAACGGAGACAGCGGGAACGGAGAGGGCAGGAAGGGAGAGGGCGGAAACCGACAGGGCAGAAACCGACAGGGCAGAAACCGACAGGGCAGAAACCGACAGGGCAGAAACTGACAGGGCAGAAACCGACAGGGCAGAAACCGACAGGGGATAGTCGAGAATCCGACAGGGGATAGTCGAGAAACCGACAGGGGATAGTCGAGAAACCGATAGGGCATAGTCGATAAACCGACAGGGGATAGTCGAGAAACCGACAGGGGATAGTCGAGAAACCGACAGTGGATAGTCGAAAAACTGACAGTGCAGGCACGAGCGGACGCTGTGACGCGCTTTTCTTTCACGATAAAGAGATATGCGGCTGCGAGTCAGTTAATAGATGCATTCTCGAATGGCATTGGCTTAGGTATGAACCGGTGGAATGATGCTGACTGGGTTTGTTTCCTGGGGAGAGTGTGAGTTGGTTTGGAGCTCCAGGTTTGGACTCACAACACCCTAGTCACAGACGCTTGGACAAACATCAGGGTTTAAGGTCTGGACTCAACACCAGGGTCCCTACGCCAGGGTTTAGGGAAGCGCCGGCACTGGAGGCGCACGGAGGTTGTGGCAACAGGAGTCTGTCTTCTCACCCTTGTGCCTGTTTTGGTCCCCTCCTCCCTGCTCCTCCCCTAAACTGTTCCTTCCCGCAGGTACAACGCCAAGTGCCGGCACTGGAGGCGCAAGAAGCTGGGCTTCGAAGCTCAGAGCAGCACTCAGAACAGCTGCTGCACGCAGGGAGCTGCACACATGGCAGGCTTCGGGGGAGGAGTTGGGGCAGCTTGATGCAACATTCATGAACGGAGTTCGCAGTGTTGAATCTGTGCCGGGATTACGCTGCTGTTGCCTTGTCACTGTTGTACACGATGTGGGGCTCATGAAGCTGTCAGGGCGATTAGTTTTCTGCTGCCCTGTGCTCATCCAAAGCAAGAAATGCAGCTTCTTGTAAGGAGGTTTCATTGCTCCCTAATTTCGTGTATGTGATCTTGGCTTTGGTGGAATTGGCTTTAGAAGGCTAGTGATATAGTTTATTACAAGTGGACTGGTCATCTACATTCCTGTATCCACGAGTTCCCCACGTTATGCCATCAGAATGATGGGACTACGAAACAACCGGATCGCATTTCTCCCGCTCACGACGCGGCACTCGTGTTTGGCGAGGACAGAAGTGCACACGCGTTTGCGAGTTTCGCTCGACTATCACGAAACTCATAACCAGGGACTTACTCACGCTGTCACACTCATTCGCAGCGTCACCATCACCATCCCTCTTTCGCAGCGTCACCATCACCACGACCACAAACACCTCCCCTCGCTCTGACACTCGACTTGACCGAAGCATGTATCTTCGCCAGCATCCTATTTGTGGCGAAGCACCGCACAACACTTTCATTTCTCCCTCGTTTCGCCTTCCTGTTTTCCCCTTTTCCTCCTGCCGCCTTATCCGAGAAATAAAGCAATATATTCTGTTCTCTTCCGCCGCCGGCTCAGCACCTGGCATGCACTTAATCCCGCTCTGTCAGCACCGCTCGCTAGCAAGTGCGCGATGCTCGTGTTCCAACGCACTGGGCGTTCTCTGCTCTAACAGAAACCGCTCGGGGTACCGCGCAGGCACACAGACCCCGCTAAACCTAGGACCCATTCCTACTAACAAATGTTGCACTCCCAAACCCTGTGAAAATTGGACGTACTGGAGTCATTGTAAATTAGTATTAGTAGTGGTAGTACCGCGTCTGCATCATCAGCACAACGGCTTGCGCGACGACCAGCATCAGCGCCGGCGTGTGCCTATTTTAGAGGCGCCTCAAATGTGGTCTATTAGTAATAGTAGTGTTGCGTCTGCATCATCAGCCCGAGTGCTTGCGCGACGACCAGCATCAGCGCCGTAGATGCCACGTGGATCGTCGCGTGGTACGGGAGGTCTCCAAAGGCCAGCGCGGTTGTTGTGTAAGGCCGGGTCGTGGTCTTTGGATCGACAGTACCAGCCGCAGCAGTAATCGCAGCAGCAGTGTCGCATTTCTTGCCACGTGCATCATGATCCACCTTGGTCGTTCCAGACGCGGCGCCGCCGAACACGATTTCATCCAAGCGACGCGACAAACTGAGTCTGTTCGTCGTCGCGACGAGAAACGCGATTAGCATGGGACACGTCATGTGCCCCGAACCGAACAATCCCACCGCCACGACACCAATCGCGTACTGCGCGAATCGATACACACGCGCGACCCGCTCGGGCCCCATTCGCGCGGTCAACGTGATCTTGCCGCATTGGAGATCCGATTCGATGTCGGGGAGATTCATGACCATCATCCGCACGAATTGCTGGACGGATAACAGCGGGATGATCGTGCGCAGCGACGTCGGAAGCGCGAACGCGTCGTCGCGTCGCTGCATCAGCGCGCCCATCGCGGGCACGCAGCACGTCAGCACGACCGCCACTGTCGCTTCGCCGAAGCCACGATACTGCAGCTTGAAAGGCGGCCCGGCGTACGCGCACGAGAGGAACATGGCCGCCCACGCGACGCGCTGCGCCGACGCGTTGAAGAACGCCAGCTGCGCGCCAATGCTGCCGGCGAACAGCACGCTCGCCGCGACGAGCGCCGTCCATCGCGGGAGCATGCCGGCGGGAAGCACGCCGGAGCCGCCGTTCCACTTGCCGCGCTGCGCGTTGGCGAGATCTGCAGCGTAGTTGAAATACTCGCTGCAGAAGTGGGTCATTACATGCGAGCAAGCCACGATGAATGCCACGGGAACGAACGCTTCGACGCGGAAGCGGAAAACCGAGTCCGTGAGGCCGCCGCCGCCAGCAGCAGAGCCGTTAGCGGCGCCGTCAATGCCGTGACAAGCGGCGCCGTTGATGTCACCTGAGAGTGCGCCCAGGAGAGCGAGTATGAATGAGGACGGGATGAACTTGAGTCGCCCGAGCCGCATGAGCGCGTGGAAAGACGGCATTTCTGCGGCTTCTCGCGCTCCCATCGGAAATTTTGGCGGAAGACAACACGGAGCGGTCTAGTTTCTTGGCTTGGTCTGGGAGTGACACTCCGATTACTCGAAGCGGTCTTAGTGCTTGCTCTGGGTGCGATTCACGAAAAATCAGGCTACCGCTCTGCTCGTCTGTCGACGTGGCTACAGTATTTCCTGCTTTCAAAATGTGTGACATTGGATTGGTGGAGGCCTAAACATGGCCTATCACAGGGATCGGTCGCGGTCGGCATTTCCTATGACAACGGCAAGTTAGGTCGCGGTCCTGGGGTGTCCTGGGACATGCTGACCTGGAAAGTTCTCGTTTTGAGGTAGGCAATGCGTGCCCCTCGTCGCTGGGGGATGCCCTGTGTTCTGTAAACCTGTACTTGTGTACCAATGAAATTTGTGCACGATAGAACGGGTCCACATGTCCCGATTACACATTGGAAGTAGGGTCGTCAAAAATGTCGCAGAAGTGTGCATAGGCAGCCCTGCGACGTTTGTGTGGGTGGGCATGTTGGCAGCACGTGGTACCAACGTGCGGGGTGTCCAGAGTTTGGGTGTCCTGGACACCCCAGGACCGCGATCTTATTTCACATTCTAGGAACGTGCTCTGAACCATGTCACTGGTCATTCACCTGGAAGGTACAGTGCCGCCCAGAACGAAAGTTGAATTGTGTAGAATGGCAAGGGTCAAGAGAAGCTGACTCCCGTAATGCTCTCGCGCCGCAGATTGCGCCTGTTGGAAGTATTCGTACGAGTAGGTGTAACATTTGAGAAAATCTTTTCGTTGTCGTAGGCGAAATTAAACGTGCTAGTTAGTTGACTGTGGGACCTCGCAGTTTGGGAGCTCCTGTCCTCGCTGTCGATCAGAACGCAGCTGTCGGCTGGTAATGAGCGTCGCGAATGTTCGCTGAAAAGCGGGAACAAATGCACAAGCGACCAGAAACGTGGCGACGGACATTTGTCCATTTCCCCTGAGAATTCAGAAATTTTCAGGGCTGGTTTTTCTCTCTTGGTCTGGATACCTAACGGACAGCATGGGGAAAAAGATCACGGACGGATCGAAACAGTCATCTGAAATTGGTTTGTAAAGTGCAGGGTGGGCAGGATGAATATTTATGGGAGTGGCAAATCCCTGGGAGGGGTAGGAGTAATAGTAGAAACAGTTTGAAGGGTGCAAAAGATCTTCAGAAGTTCAACCAGCACCATCATTAAAAATACCTCGTTTAAGCTTTGTTTTTGACAGTAGAGCCTTCTTATAACGGAGTCGTTTAGAAGATTACCCGTCACGATCTCGTACCCGGTATATTACACCTTTATTAAAATAATAGCTCACCTCATTATGGGGCCTCGCTATTATTATTCAGCTGCGAGCTCCACCGTCCCTAACCACGAACCTGTGAATTCGTTTGTTAAGTGTTTCTTCACAAAAACGTCACTAAAGGAGAGGTAAAACTTCAAAATAGAAACAGTATAGAGGGTGTGGAAGAATCTTCGGGAGTTCGAGAGACACTGTCAACAAAATACCTCGTTTATAGCTCAGTTTTTTACTGTTGAGCCCTCGTTAAACGGAGTCATTTATAAGATTCCTCGACACGTTGATGTGCCCTTTAAATTACACCTATTTCATACGCATAGCCCACCTCATCATGGGGCCTCGCTATGATTCCGCTGCAAGCACCACCGACCCCGATCCACAAACCTTTGTTTGTAAAGTGCTCCTTCACAAATACGTCACAAGTGTGGGCCATCTTCAGGAGGGGTACTAAAGGGTACAAACGATCCGAAGGTGTGGAAGAATCTTCGGGTGCTCGACAAACACCTTGATTAAAATACCCAGTTATAGCTCAGTTTCCGACAGTAGAACCCTCGTATATCGGCGTCGTTTACAAGATAACCCGTCACGGTTCGTACCCGTTAAATTACACATCCTTTTAAAGCATAGCCCTTGTCATAGACCGTGGACGTGCCCCCCGCCCCTCCCTCCCAACAACGACCCCCCCACCAACCCCCCGTTCCCCAAGTAGGTAGCTAGAGTAGTTTCTGATCCATGTGGCTCAGAGCAGAAAACTAAAAGGCCTGAATTGTTAGGGCTGGTTCGGGCTGCTTTTACGATATTTCAGGGCTTGTTTTAGCTTGTGACCAAGCGACAGCCCCGCTTGCGACGCGACTCTCGCAAACCGCATCGCTAACTCATGTCTCGTTACGCAAGAATGCTTCGCAAGCGTTCGCGATTTCATCACGACGTTCGGGAAACGTAACCAGGGAGCTCTCGCACTAGTAACGGTGTAGCAGGCGAACACTATAAATTCTCGTTGGTTTTTCCACCTCCACTCGACGTGCAACCTCCCACTTCGCTTCAAGACGGCTACCATCTTCGTACGTGGTATCGCACGTAAAACCCGCCGCGACAACCGCCTTTCCCCTCGCTCACAGGCCTGACCCAACCACGCAATCTCACCATGATTACACGAACCGCGCTTCACTTTCCCTTCGCCCTCGTTTCCCTCGCGCTGCTCCTATTCCCCCCTGTCGCCCTCTGAAGTGGTAGAAGGTCCTTTTCCTTCACCTTTCGCCGCCATCCCAGCACCGTGCTGGCTACCCCTTTGCCAGCAGCAATCGCTATCGGGTGCCTGCCTGTGTGTTCCGCTCCAACAGTACTAGGTTCCGCAGACACCCGCACAAGCACCCGCACACGTAGTCGCTGCAGCCACGCGAACTTCTCTTACATACTGGTGGTACGACCAAACGTTGCACTCTCATTTTTTATTCATGGACGTTTCTGGGTCAGCTTAGAATCAGCACCTGCAGCTCCCAGCGTACTATTTCTTGTAGTAATGGAACTGCGACTGCATCATCGGCGAGCAGCAACAGTCACGAGAAACCAATAGTAGTACGACGGGACGTTTTGGGGTCGGCTTAGAATCAGCACCTGTTGTTCTCATCGTACTACTACTAGTAATAATGGTACCGCGACTGCATCATCGGCGAGATGATCGCGGATCAACGTGATCTTTCCGCATCAGCCGCACCGTCAAAAATGACCGTGAGTGATGACCGTGCATTTTCCACTTTTTTGTGTTACAGAATCCAATTGTTTCAAAATGAACTGAGCCATCGCATATACACAAAGTATGAACCACTCATAACACGTCCCTCCTACCCCAGGCACCTACATCAAGGTTCACAACACCACTCTACCCCTCTGAAACGGAGTGCACCCAATGATGTTCCCCTAGGGCGGGTAATCACATGCCCACATGTCACCCCCATCAGGGCACGCAGGCTGCGCTGCCATTGTCCCTGTTGCCATCATATTCAACACCGCTGCCACCATCGCCGCTGTAATCACCACCTGCAAGATCCCGCCACTGTAGTCACCATTGCAGTTGCCGCCATCAGCTTGCGCAAGTACAAGGGGACCCAGCCGCTCACTCCCGCAATTCACCATAGTCACCATCGCCGTTTTAATTACCATCCCAGTCGCCGCCCTCAGCTTGTGCAAACGCAAGGGAACCCTGCCCCTCACTCTCGTCATAGTTCACACCACGGTTTGCGCCTTGTGTCCCGCTCCTGTGAATGGTCACATCCCTAGCTGTTGCCATACGAAACTCCTGTGCCTTGTCGAGCCCACTCCTGTAGTTCACACCACGCTCTGCGCCTCGTGTTTCGCTCCTGTGAATGGCCACATCCCTGGCTGTTGCCATGTGAAATGCCGGTGCCCTGCCGAGCCCACTCCCATAGTTCACACCACGCTTCGCACCTTGCAGTCCGCTCCTGTGAGTTATGGCCACATCGCTGCTCGTTGCCATGCGGAACTGCTGTGCCTTGCGCAACCCAGTGCGCTGATTGTTCTCCAGCTCCCAGCTGTTTTTGTTGCCAAAGCGAGACACGCGGGAGGGTGCTCCTTTCACAGTGCTGCCCTGAGTCCCACCCCTGTGAAGAATGGCCACATCGCTGCTCGTTGCCATGTGAAACTGCTGTGCCTTGTGCAACCCAGTGCGCTGATTGTCCTCCAGCTCCCAGCCGTTATTGTTGCTGAAGCGAGCCACGCGGAAGGGTTCGCCCTTGGCGGTGCTGTCCTGAGTCCCGCTCCTGTGAATGGCCACGTCGCTGCTCGTTGCCATGCGAAACTGCTGTGCCCTCTTGAGCCCGCTCCCATGGCTCACACCACGGTTTGCGCCTTGAGTCCCGCTCCTGTGAATGGCCACATCGCTGCTCGTTGCCATGTGAAACTGCTGTGCCTTGTGCAACCCAGTGCGCTGATTGTCCTCCAGCTCCCAGCCATTGTTGTTGCCGAAGCGAGCCACGCGGGAGGGTGCTGCTTTCACAGTGCTGCCCTGAGTCCCACCCCTGTGAAGGATGGCCACATCGCTGCTCGTTGCCATGCGAAACTGCTGTGCCTTGTGAAGCTCAGCGCCCTGATTGTTCGGAAACTCCCAGCCGTGGTTGTCGTTGGAGCGAGCCTCGCGGGAGGATGCTCCCTTCACAGTGCTGCTCTGACTCCCGCCCCTGTGAATGGCCACATCGCTGCTCGTTGCCATGCGAAACTGCTGCGCCGCCTTGTGCAACCCAGTGCGCTGATGGTTCACACCACGGCTCGCGCCCTGAGTCCCGCTCCTGTGAGTTATGGCCACATCCCTGGCTGTTGCCGTGCGAAACTGCTGTGCCTTGTGAAACCCAGTGCGCTGATTGTCCTCAAGCTCCCAGCCATTGCTGTTGCTGAAGCGAGCCACGCGGGAAGGTGCTCCTTTCATCGCCCGAGTCCTGCCTCTTCCCTGTCCTTTGCTGCTTCTCTCACCCCCATGCCAGCTGACTGCGTCGTTGTCGCTGTCCTTCTCATTTTCATTTTCATTGTCCCCATCGATGTCCCTGCCGTTTTCGCGCAACAAGTTGCTCTTGCCCTTGCCATGATCGTCCTTCTCACCGTCCTTCTCGTTCTCCTTCTCATCATCGTTGTCGTTGTCCTTCCCTTCTTCATCGTCATTGTCCCTGTCGTTGTCGCTCAACTGCATGTTGTTGTTGCCCTTGGCATTGTCCTTGTCCTTGCCATGACCGTCCTTTTCGTCGTCCTTCTCATTGTTGTCCTTGCCATTACCATCGCTATTCTCATCGCTGCTGCTCTTCTCATCGTCCTTCTCATCATCCTTCTCATCATCATCCTTGGCATCGTCCTTCTCATTGTTGCCGTCGTCATTCCCCGAGCCATCCTCATCATCATTACCATCACTGCCGTCCTTCTCATCATCGTCCTCATCGCCAGCAACCGCATTCCTCCACGCCTCTGCATGCATCTCCTCCTTCTTGTCCACTCCCATAGGTCCTGCCGCTGTCGGCGCTGGTGCCGGCGCCTGGGGAACGATCGCCACGTCTTCGGCAGTCGCCATGTGAGGACGGGCGGCGTGCTGTGCGTTTTTCCCAGCAGGATTGTTGCTGCTTGCTCCCATCGTCGCAGCAGCCGGCTGATTCTTGGCGATGTGACTCGCGGCAGTAACCGGTGCCGGCGCCCGGGGAACAACCGCCACGTCCTCGGCAGTCGCCATGTGAGGACGCACGCGGGGTTTGTTGCTGCTCGCTTCCATAATCGCAGCAGCAGGTTGATTCTTGGCGATGTGACTCGCATGCGCCGGCGCTGGCGCCTGGGGAACGATCGCCACGTCCTCGGCAGTCGCCATGTGAGGCGCCACGCCTGGCGTGTTTGTGTTGGGTTTGTTCAAGTTGTTCGCCGCTCCCATCATCGCAGCAGGCTGGTTGTTGTTGATGTGACGTGCAGTCGCGACGCCCGCACCTGGCTGCGCATTTCGCACGTGGGATGACCCCCCCTTGCCCGCAGCGCCCAATTTAGCCGCACCCTTGCCCACCATCTTCGCCGTGCCCTTGCCTTCAACGCCCTTGTTAGCCGGGACCTTGTTCTCCGCGCCCTTGTTCGTCGTCATCGTCCCTTTGTTCGGTGCTACCATTCCCGCCGCACCCTTGGCTGCGACCTTCTTTGGTGCACCGTTGTTAGCCGCGCTCTTGCCTGCTGCGCCGTGATTGTCCGCCGCGCCCTTGTTCGGTGCGACCGTTCCCACCGCACCCTTGGCCGCGACCTTATTCGGTGCGCTCTTCACATTTTCCGGTGCGACCTCAGCCGCGCCTTTGCCTGCCGCGCCCTTTCTCGCCACGCCTTTGCCTGCTGCGCCCTTTCCGGCCGCGCCCGTGCCCAGGCCATCGTTCCCCGCACTGACCGCCGCTCCAGCATAGTCGACGTGATGAGCGGGAGCACGCGGAGGAAGCGCGGGACCAGCCTTCACTTCAGACGGAACACGTGACGCGTTTTTTGGCGCAGCAGACTCGCTTGACTCGGAATCATTATCCGCAGGGACAGCCTTCGGAGTCACTGGAGCGTTGCTAGAAGCGGTGGCGTCGAGGCCATGTGCGGGTTTAGGCGGAGTGGGTTTGTTGAGCAGAGAACGGCGATCCGCCAGAATTGAAGGCGCCAGGTAGGCTGAGCACGAGCCGACGAATAGGAAGAGAAGGACGATGGGTAGGAGCCGTGGATTCGCCATGGTTCCCATCCAACGTGAAAAAACCGCTAAACCTGGCGCGTTCGAAGGATATCACGCGCTGACTGCTGACGGGAGTCTTCGAAGCTGAAATAGGCACGGTAGGGAAGTCGAGGTGCTTCTGAAGTGGTTGCAGCTGGGACTGGAGAATTCTAGTGGGTTTGGTTGCTCTCTGGAAAGCGAGAAAGCAAGTTCAGGTTTGCTGGTTTGTGTTGTGCTGCACGAGATTTTGCGTTCCCAATTTATGTTTCTAATGTGCTGATTCGCGATTCGGCTTCCATCAGTGCCGTGCGAGTTGAAGATTGCGACGACGGCGAAAGGAAGTTACGGACTTCGATTGCTGTGAGCGATACGGGAGAGACAATCATGAGGACATATGTTATGTTTCGGTAGCGTGTGCGAGACTGGAAGGGCATGCGACATCAGGATACAGACTAGCGAAAACACGTTCCGATATTTTTGCGGACTGAACGCGAGAAGTGAGCTCGCACGGCATTACCGCGATGAATCAAGCTTTCGCCGAAGTCAACCAGAGTCTGACGGACATGTCAGCCTTCTGACCGATCCTTTCGGCGTAAGGGTTCTCGACTTACCACACGAGAGACGCTGAATTTAATTCACATTATAAATAGTGTGCGGTCATGTACACATGGGGATTTCATTCAGGAATTAACACTGTATATCCTCAGGCAGAAATAGCACATGCATGTGCCCATCGCAATGCCCTGCAGCATGTACCTATCTCCATATCTGCCTATCAACCGTGTGCTTTATTTAACCACCTAACGGAACCTTCAAAGAAGCTTTGCTCCAAAGCCAGTGAGTGAGTGAGAGCATCTTATCTAGCAACGACCTGAGTTTCCCGTGGTACATCTGAGTGGGCCTCAGCTCAAACACCACAGCACAGCACCTAACATGGAGCTATTGGGTCACCTAACAGAATCTTCAGAGCAGCTTCACTCCAGACCCTGTCTCAATGCATACAGCAATGACTTCAACTTCCCGTGGTACATCTGGGTGGGCCCCAGCTCAAAAGCCACTGCGCCTATCTGCTTCTTAAGCATGCATAAGGCTAACATGTTGCCAGGCCACGCGGCCGACTCAGCAACCTTCACAAAAGCTTCACACCAGACCCTGTCAATGCATCCAGCAGTGACCTAAGCTTCCCGTGGTACATCTGGGTGGGTCCCAGCTCAAACGCCACAGCGCCGATCTGCTTCTCCAGCATGCGTGTAGCTAAGGCCTTCCCGACCTCTGTAGCTGCGATCTTGTCGCTTGTGCTTGTAAGAGATTTGCGCAGCGAGGGTTCTATGGAGGATGCAGCGGCGAGAGTGAAGGCCGTTGGCTCGTGAATCACCTGCATGGAAGGCGCAGCAACGGCAGCAGGTGGTGGGTCGGACAAGCAGCAGGGGGCAGAAAGTGGAGTGAGTCAGGAATCAATGAAGCAGGTATGCTCTTATGGGGGATGCAGCAGCGAGGGCGAAAGCTGTTGGCTCGTGAATCACCTGCAGTGGTGGGTCGGATGATCAAATGGGCAAAAGGTGAGGTGACTTGGATGCTTATAGGGCAGGGAGGCAAGAGATGAGAAAGAGCAAGAAGATTAAAGCAGCCAGCCCGCGACTGCTTGGCGAGCAAAAAGTAGGAATACCTGACCTAAATTGTCAGTAGCTGCAGCGGCGGCAGCAGCAGCACAAGAGGGAGAAGAATCAGGAAAGAGAAGTAGCGAGGACAAGAGGGGATGAGAAGGGATAGTGGGAAGAGGGGTTTGTGGATGGGGACGAAAGATCTGGACAAAGGAGAAGCGAAATGGGAAACATCTCGTCACACTTGCTCGTATCCCATTTCCCAACCCCCGGAGGAAAAGGAAAAGGGTCGAACCTAAATGTTAGAACTGAAAAGAAACACGAGCAAGTGAAGGGGATGGTTGAAGTGAGGGGGTTAGCGACGAATGCGATGGGATGGGATGGGATACGTTGGGCATGCAGGTGACTAAGCAGGCAGGCTTATCCGTGCACAAGCAGGGGACAGAGAAGCTAAAGGGATGAAAGGAATGGAACGGGGGGAAGGAATGGAGACCTTGATTGGCGCATCACGTGATAGTACGGTGTTTTTGAGACGTCTCAAAAGTACACATGTGAGTGGTGGTGCAAAGCGGAGCAGGTACAAGCCTCCGGATGTGGAACGAACCGACTTTTGAAGCGCCTCAGAAATTACCACGCACACATGTGAGTGGTGGCGCGATGCGAAGCGCCTCCGGGTGTGGAACGAAGCGGGCATGAATGTGCGGCGCGGCGAATGAGAGGATAAGGGGAACGAACCTGCGCGTAGATGTACTGAGGCGCGCATGGGGGGGATACCTGCGCGTAACGTACTGAGGCGCGCATGGGAGGGGAGGGACAACGCACCTGCGCGTAGATGTATCGGTTGGACATGAACACGGACAGCACGATCGGCTTCACGAACTTGGTCGCTCTCGCCATCGCGAAACGTTTGTACGGCGTCGTGCGGTCTGAGGTGCGAAGCGAGCTACGACTGAGAACGCACCGATGTAATGCGACGGTCTACGATGGGAAAAAAGGACTACGAACTCCGATGAATGTGGGGTATTCGGAGTCGCGTGAAGCAAAGGTGCGCACCGATCGCTGTCGCGCCAGCGACAAATGCAGTCGCGTGACGGATCGGAAGCTTTGGCGCTTCGACGAAGGCAAGTCACCTACGATTCACCCGGTCGCTTTGTCAGGGACCCTTCGTCGCCCTAACGTATCCCGCCTCCTGCATCGCCGCGCAAAACACTGCCACGGGAAGGTCTAGAGTGCTACTGGCAGGAGTAACTAGAGACTCGGATGTGTGCTCCTACCGCCCGGAAGAATAGACGGGAAGGATCAGATTGGAGAGCAAGTAACCTGGTATCTTCCTTTTGCGCCACTCGCAGCCCATTTCGAGCAACCTCGGCTCGTCAGAATGTCGTACTCGCTGTGGGGGCATTCGTCATTGGCTGTTTTTGATGGGTCGGAAAGTGCGATTGAGTGTAATTCGTGGAGCGTAAGATGTCACAAAACTCCTAGTATTTCTGTTTTCTTTCATGTCATCAGTTTCTTGTCACAGCGGCAATCCCTGTGGCCCTTCACGCCCATTTTCCGCCCTTCTCATGTTTTGCCTCCACTCATCGAAGCCACTCTCTTGCCAGTGCAGGAGTTTTCAAGCCATTTACGGCAGGAAGCTACCTCGGTTGTGTTGTTGAATCCGCGGAGGCTCTATCCATTGCGAGGGTTTCCATCTTTCACTGCGTCTTGTGCGAAAGCGCGTCGGTGATTTCATCCGTGTGGTCTGGTGCGCTCGTCGTTTCTCCCCACGTGACACGTCTCGCTCGCCACGTGTCTCGCGTGCCACCCAGCCCACCCTTGCTTGTGCGTTTCGCGTCTTCGAACGACCGTGCTTACTTCAGAAGCGTTGCGTGCGTCTGTACTGAGAAAAAAAAAGTTCTCGGATTATCGGACCGCGTTTCGCTATCGCGTGGCGCGTCGCAAGGAGAGGTCGAATAGGACCATTGACGACAATAGAGCACTTCGTTTTCCAACCTTTTTGCTTCTTATCGCTTCAAAAGGCAGCAGGTCAAGTTCGAAAGCTGCATTCAGATTCAGATCCAGACCCAGATCCAAATCCACACTCATGGTTTGACTTTGAAGCCACTGTTGATTGGGAGTAAACGCGGTCAACGCGGTCAATGAGGTCAACGCAGTCAATGCAGTCAGCCCAATGCGTCTGGCGTAGAGTCCAGGCGTATCAGGGTGGATGGTTGCCGGAACGGTTGTTGGGTGTGGGGATATGTGCTACCGCAACAGCAGCAGCGGGAAGTGGAGGGGGAAGAGGAGGGGGAGGAGGAGCAGCAGCAGCTGATTCCGCAGTCAGAACAGCAGCAACAGCGGCAGCAAGAACAGCTGCTGATCCTGCTGCTGCTGATGTGGTTCTAGGAACAAGGCTCGAGCAGCCTAGATTCACTCACCCACTATGTACCAGTGTCTTATCTGCTGCTCCTAATCCTGCACGACAAGACCAATTCTGTTCGTTGCGGCACAGCTGGCATCATCATCATGATGATGGCTTTCGGCAGCATCCACATCAGCATCCACGTCAGCATGCGGCGTTGCTGCATGCACGTCATCAATATTATAATCAGCATGCGATTTTTATCGACCATATCAATACGGTGACGCAGAATCGTCAAGTACACAAAGATCACTCCCTGGCAGCACCAACAACCCTGACAGCAGCAACAACCCCAATTTCTTGTGCCCATCATCAGTATCAGATTCAGCGCGCATTTCTTCTCAGCCACATCAGTGGCATGACACAGCAGCGTCAACGGCATGAAGATCACTCTTTGGCAGCACCAGCAACCCTGACAGCAGCAGTTGCAGCCGCTGCAGCAGGAGCAGCGGGACGAACAGCAGGGAGAGCAGCAGAAAGAGTAGCAGCAGGAGCTTCAACAACAGTAGCAGCAACGAGGACAAAGGCAACAGCAGGGGAAGGAGGAGCAGAGGGAGGAAGAGCAAAGGGAGGAGGAACAGAGGGAGCAGGAGCAGAGGGAGGAGGAGCAGAGGGAGCACCACCTCCCACTCCTCATATCGCCATGGCAGCAGCAGCAGCAGGCATGGAGCCACCACCAGTGACTGTGCACCAATCCACCCAGAACCCTCCCCCTCACCATCCGTCTCCTCCCCCACCACCTCCGCCACCAAGAGAACCAAGGGAACCAGAACCAGCGCCAGCACCACCCACTCCCCAAATTGCCATGGCAGCAGCAGGCATGGGCGCGCCTGTGACCGTGTTTGCTGCCAATTTCGGCACCCTGAAGCCTCGGGTTTTTCTGATTGACGGGACATGCTACGCCTCCCACGCTGGTGAGTCAGGTTCGGATGGGTTTGGATGGGTGAATGATTGTGTGAATCAGTATCGCCAGCACCCCCCACGCCCCAGATGGCCATGGCAGCAGCAGCCTTTGAGACGCCTCAAAAGTCAGGAATGGGCGCGCCTGTGACTGTGTTTGCTGCCAATTTCGGCAGCCTGAAGCCTCGGGTTCTGCTGATTGACGGGACATGCTACGCCTCCCACGCTGGTGAGACAGGTTGGGAAGGGTTTGGATGGGTGAATGATTGTGTGAGCCTCCAGCACCACCAGCGCCAGCACTGGCCATAGCAGCAGCAGGAATAGGCGCGCCTGTGACTGTGTTTGCTGCCAATTTTGGCAGCCTGAAGCCTCGTGTTCTGCTCATTGATGGCACGTGCTATGCCTCCCATGCGGGTGAGTTTAAGCGGGTGAGTGAAAGGGTTGGGACCTGCATGGGAGCGTGAAGCCACGCGTGCTGCTGATTGATGGCACGTGCTATGCCTCCCACGCTGGTGAGTTTAAGAGAGTGAGTGAAAGGGTAGGGACGTGCATGGGAGCGTGAAGCCACGCGTGCTGCTGATTGATGGCACGTGCTATGCCTCCCACGCTGGTGAGTTTAAGAGAGTGAGTGAAAGGGTAGGGACGTGCATGGGAGCGTGACGCCTCGCGTGCTGCTGATTGATGGCACATACCATGCCTACCACGCTGGTGAGTCACGATGGCAGTTCCAGTTGAGAATGAAAACACAATACCGACGCTCTCGCGGGAGTACGAGGCGGGTCGTGAAGCACCTCTGTTTGTGCCACGGCGAGTGGCAAACGGAGGTGCTTCACAACCCGCCTCGTACTCCTTCGTGAGCGTCGGTATTGTGTTTTCATTCTCAATTAGAACTGACATCGTGATTCTGAGAAAAACAATTGAAAACAGGAAGATAGATTGAGTTCAAAAGGTGATAACATGGAAATTCAACTTGCTGGCTGGTTAATGGGCTAGCTGGTTATCGGGCTAGCAGGTAAATGGGCTAGCGTGTTAACGGGCTGGCAGCACACCCTTTCCCCTTCACGAGCAAACTCACACACTTCCCGTGCCCTCCCCATCACCTCCTTCCCCGTCCCCCCTGTCACAGTGGTCCAACATATTGCCAGGGCGGACAGGGGTCAGAAGCTCTCCTTCTGCTGCGCACAATCAGAGGCAGCACATCCCATCCCCTTTATGAGCAAACTCACAATCTGCCCCACCCTCCCCGTCTCCTCCTTCCCCGTCCCCTCTCTCACAGTGGTTCAGCGTATTGCCAGGGCGGACAGGGATCAGAAGCTCTCCTTCTGCTGTGCGCAGTCAGAGGCAGCACACCCCTACCTTGCTGCCTTCGGTCTCACCCCCTCAGACGTTCTCCTGTCGCCGGTTTACATCCAGGGGTTCAACGCCTCATTCTCTGGCATCTCAGGTGAGATGCTCGCTCCTCAGGTAGGCTCCTTTCTCCCCTCGGTGAGATTTGAGATGCCCAGAAACAGTTTCTTCACGCTCCAGTTGCCTCACCCCCTCGGACGTTTTCCTCTCTCCGGTCTACATCCAGGGCTACAACGCATCATTCTCTGGCACTTCAGGTAGGTTGCTTGCTCCCTCTGGTAGACTCTCCTCTCTGCCCTTCCCTACCTCGCTGCCTTTGGCCTCACCCCCTCTGACGTCCTGCTCTCTCCAGTCTACATCCAGGGCTACAACACATCATTCTCTGGCACCTCAGGTAGGCCACTTGCTCCCTCGGGTACGCTCTCTTCTCTTTTTTCCGCGTCTGCTGCGCGCAGTCAAAGGCAGCACATCCCTACCTCGCTGCCCTCGGCCTCGGACTTCCTCCTCTCTCCGCTCTACATCTCCTTTTCAAGAGGATGTAGAGGCTATTTCCACATTAGGACTGGAGAGGAAACAGCCTCCTCTCAGACGTTTTAAGGTGGCTACAACTCCTTGTTCTCTGCCATCTTAGGTAGGCTGTATTTTCCCCCCGGTAAGATCTAGCGTGTCTTACACCCCATTCTCCGCTCTCTCACTTTTCTTCTTCCCCTCCCCTCCTCTCATTGTTCCCCCATCCCTTCAGCTCTGCTGCGAGTGGCCTGGGACCTGCCTCTCCCCTACCCCCTCCTCGCCTCCCTCCTCACTTCGAGGCGTCTTGAATTGACTCCGCACCCCTTCCCCCGACTTTCGTCGCCCCCTCTCTCTTTATCCCTCTGTCCCATCATCTCTGCTGCGAGTGGCATAGGACCTGCCTCTCCCCTACCCCCTCCTCGCCCCCCTCCTCCTTTCGAAGTGCCTCAAAAACACAGCCCATCCCCCCCTCTATCTGTTCCCCCTTCCCCTTCTTTTTCTCTATTCCCCTCTGTGCCATCAGCTCTGCTGGGAGTGGCCTGCGACCTGCCTCTTCCCTGCACCGTCATCACCTCCCTTCTCCTTTCGAAGTGCCTCAGAAGCACAGCCTCTTCCCCCCTCTGTCTGTTCCCCTTTCCTCTCCTTTTTCTTTATTCCCCTCTTCCATCAGCTCTGCTGCGAGTGGCATGGGACCTGCCTCTCCCCTACCCCCTCCTCGCCCCCCTCCTCTTCATCCCCCAACCTCTCCTCAACGCCCCCTTCCTCTTCGCCTGGCGCCGCCGCCACCGCTGGTTCGGGCAGGCACCAAGGCTAATCCTTCCGCCGCCGGACCTGATCAGTAGGTTTGTGGATCGGGAGGAGCTAGAAGACGAGGGGAGGAGGGATGAGGACAAGAGGCATCATGAGATGGCAGAGGGGCGGCATGGTTTGGACAGACCTCCAGGATCCCTGGATTGATAAGCCCAGGGCTAAAGATTCTCCTCGTTCTGTTATTGGTGGAGTTCGGAGTGTGTGAGTTGTTAAAACATTATTGCTGGTTTGGGCTGGCCCTGAGAGGGTGATTCTCCTTCTCCCTGGGTCATTGAGAGGTTTGTGGATCGGGAGGAGCTGGAGGATGAGGAGAGGAGGGATGAGGACAAGAGGCATCATGAGATGGCAGAGGGGCGGCATGGCTTGGACAGACCTCCGGGGTCACTTGACTGATTCATGGTTGTGATTTCTTGCTTGTAATATAGAATGGTGGTGTGGTGTTTTTTATCCAGCAAAAGGTGTGTGTTGGGTGGTACAAGTGGTTTGGGCAATGCAGACCACATTGGTGCGGGGCCACCCTTCCCCCTCCCCCTGTTCTGCACTACTACCGTACCTATTCAATGTGCACTGACTACGGGTGCTGCGAATCAAGTGACCTGACAAAACAGGGTGAAGTAGAGCTGATGCCCTTTAATTTTCATGATTTGTGCCCTAAACAATCAGGGTTTCACTACAATTTTAGAAAAATTGCCCCGAGGACTCAGATTCTGAGGTACCGTAGGCTATATCCAACAAAATGCTATAATGAGTTTATGGTACATTGATCTAGAACCACTGTTATGATACCCTAACTTAAAGCCAGCAGCTAAAAAAAAAAAAAAACAATATACAGTACTACGTTTTTACAGAATAAAATCATCATCATCTCCAAACAAGATGTCTGCCAAGATGTCTGAAATCTGACGGTCCGCCTCACAGCCCTCAGTGCTAAGAGAATCGAGCATCGGAAGGTCCTGTATCTCATCATCAGGCAGATCCTTCAGCTGCTTGCAGTTATCAAGATCAAGGTTCTTGAGTCTTCTAAGCCGGGACAAACCACGAGGGAGTGAGCAGACAGAAGTGCTGCTGATATTCAGATCGGTGAGGCAGGATAAATCGGTGAGAGAAGCGGGGAAAAGCGTGAGGGATGAGCAGTTTGATAAGTCCAGCTGGCGAAGTCTTGAGAACACCCTGAGCTCATCTGGAAGTGAAGATAGGTATGGAGCGTGAATCTGTAGGGATGTCAGATGCTGAAGGGTTGTGATAGCCAAAGGCAGCCGTGTGAATCCATCACTCAAGGCATAAACGCACAGCTGTCGTAGCTCCTGCAAAGCCGATCCATCAGATTCCAACAGCTTTTGCAGGCTGCTGACATTGATGCGAGCTCCCATCAGTGTCAAGGTGCGGAGGCGAAAAAGGCTGGTCAATGTGAAAAGGAACTCCTCTGCCTCCCCCCCATCTGCTCCCAACGCCAATACCAAACGCTCCAGGCCTGAAAGATTGGCAGTAATTGTCAGGAGGCCTGCTGCATCAACGAAACCCAATTGCAAGTCTCTGAGCTCCGAAAGCCCTGACATGTCAGGGAGAGGAACCGCCAGCTGACTATTTTGGTAAAGTAGAACCTGAAGGCTGGAAGGCAGAGTCTGAAGGGTTCCATTCAGGTTCTCACACCCCCTTAGCTCCAACTGCTCCAGCCTGGTAAGGCTGTCCAACCTCCACGGAATTGAAGAGAGACTGAAACAGTTTTCAATCCGTAGCACTCGAAGGCTGACCAGAGCTGTCAACCATTCCGGAAGTCCCTGGATGTCCGAGCAGTTCTGAATGTAGAGCTCCTGCAGGTTTGTCATCTCCCCGAAGCCCTCTGGAAGCTCGCCAATACTGCAGTCATCCAGATCCAGTATCGTCAGTGAAACCAGATGCGTGAAAGAGAGCGGCAGCTGATCTTCAGTGCTTTTCTTAAGACGAAAGGTATGAAGATTGGTCAATTCCCCCAAGTCGTCCGGAAGGCACAACACAGGCGAGCTGAGGTGCAGAGTCTGGAGTCCTGTGAGGCAACCAAACCCTGGGGGTAACTCATCCATCTCCTCACATCCGAGCAGGAAAAATGTCTCAAGAGAAGCGAGTCTTGTGAAGGAATCGGGAAGATAGAGAAGAGGTAGGAATTCCAGCACCAGCGTCTTTAGAGTTGAAAGATTTCCGAAATCTCTGGGCAGAGAGTTGATGCTGCACAAGGAAATTGACAGCTTCTCCAGGCATGATAGAGAGGTAAACTGGTCAGTCAAATCGGTGAGGAATCTGCAGTTACAGACGCGGAGTTCTTTCAGGCAAGGCATCACCTCTCCTATGCTGTCTGGAAAGCTCTCTTGCTCGTCACAACGTACGAGCTGCAGCCGTTTAAGAGACCTGTATGGAAATCTAAGCGGGAAAAAAACTCTGAGCTGTGCATAGTAAACGCCTACTTTCAGAGAACTGAGAAGAGGTAGTTCTGCGAGAGAGAAGGCAGGAGTTTCAGAAATTAGACGTATCTCATTCGGCAAGGAAAGGCTGGTGAGGTTGGTGAGATGGAGTAGGTTGGAAAGCTGTTCGTAGTGAAGGCAGGTGGTTTCAATGGAGAGTGCCGTCAGAGAAGCGAGAGAGTTGCATTTTGACAAACGGAGGATGAAAGTATTGGTCATGACGAGGGTGCGCAGATTCTGAAGCTGGAAGAACGAAGCTGGTGGCCTCACATTCTTCCGCAGACAATACAGCGACAGATGCTCCAGATCCGGGCAGCGATGAAAGAAATTATCCAAGCCAGGTTTGGTGATCAGGCTGTGCTTCTTCCCACCTTCGTCGTCTCCTGCCACAATTAACTTTCCCACGGGAAATGCTTTCAGCCTCGGACACGCAGCAGCGAGGTTAGCAAGGAAGGCGTTGTCCAAGATTTCCACACTGCTATCGGACAGGTGCAGATGGGTCAGATGCGGTAAACATGCTACAGCGTTGAGCACATCCTGGTGTGAAACGACCCGGCCTTCCTTGACGATGAGAGACGACACGTGGCGCTGAGTGATGACTCGCCAGCGACGGCAGATTGAGGCAAGCAGGAGAGTGTACGCGGCGTCTGCGGAAGCTGGAGGGGTCGGCATGGGAGTGTCTCTTCGTCCGTAGAAACGCTCTTCACGCGTAATGTTTCCGTCAATGTACTTAGGCCGAGTCGACGCGACGCTCCAGAGATTATTGCTCTCGAATTTGCAAAGGGTTGGCTGTTTCGGAGGCCAGAAAATCCGGGCGAGAACATCGTCAGGAAGATCGTTGATGTGAGTCGTTCCAGAGTCCGCATGAGCCATCTCCGCCCTAGCCATGTCCGTACGAACCGTAAGACACTTTTTAAGTTCCTCAAGAACGAACTGGCAGCGACTGAGGTGAAGGTAAAGAACAATGCCGGAGTTGAACCAGTCTCACGAGTAACATACGAAAAGACTAGGCTCGATCGGATCAGCTACTTCTGTCCATCCTGCCTATTACCCACTTCTGTCTGTCAGTTTCAGTGAGTCGGCCGTTGCTGCTCAGACAGCCGGGTGCAGCTAGAGGAGATTCGCCTTTCGCTGCGACTCTTGCTACGTTTTTCGCCGTGGATTTTCAGCCCATCACATGGAGCAGCACGCACACGTGGCATGCTGCGGCTGCTGAAGCATGCATGCTCACTCACTGAGCACTGAGCGTGCGCTGCACCAGCTAGCATCATGCTCACTCATTGACCTTGCTCTCCAGCTAGAGCAGCTGGCGTCAGGCACTCTCATTGGCCATGCGCTCCAGCTAGCGTCATCCTCACTCACTCACGGCGATCCATTTCCGAGGCTCCTTATAGCCGGCATAATGCTCTCAATCAGCGAGCACTGCGCTTCGGGCAACGGCTACTTCGGGTTTCGCGGGAGCAGCTCGCAGCTCTCGTGGATCATGATACATCACATGTGGCTTGTTCACAGCGCGCGGTGCGAGCGTTTCAGCTTTTAGAGGACTACATGGCACGATTGTATGCACGATCAATACCTAAATCGATTTACGCCCTAAATAAATAGCCTAGTATATGGCCGTTTGGGTGGAGTCCAGTCAGCGAAGACTTGCATAGTTCCTCTCGGATCCCGAACCCAAGACCAGTTGAGCTTGCAACTTTTGCTTCCAAGTGCAAGTCGTTTTCATCGGTTCAAAACATTTCAGCGCTGTTTTGTACGGTAAATCAGGGGTATTAATTGTACCGCTTTAGAACATTCTGTGCCACCAGATTGAACCTTACGCCAAATTTGCTTGGACGCAGCAGATATTGGAAAGTATAAAATACAGATTCATTATCATGCTGAAAATCCAAAACAATCTACGTTACCTGTAACTAGGTTACACCACAACTCAGTTTTGTATTCAAACTTATCAACAATGCACAGTGAGAATTTGCAAACCATGTGCCGCTCGAATGGTTCTACACTAAAAACCAAGGTTATGTCTCGAGAAAATATTTGCCAAGTCTGGAAGCTGAGAGCCCGCCTCACAGCCTTCAGCAATAACAACATCCAGCATTGGGAGACCTTGTATTTCATCAGGCAGAGAAACCAGCTGCTTGCAGTCATGGAGATTCAGGCCCTTGAGTCTTCTAAGCTGGGACAAGCCAGGAGGGAGCGAGCGGATGGGAGTGTCGCTGAAATTCGCATCCGTCAGGCAGGATAGCTCAGTGAGAGAAGCAGGGAGATGCGCGAGGGATGAACATCCTGACAACTCCAGCCGGCGCAGTCTTGAAAAGGCTCCAAGCTCATCTGGTAGAGAAGTTAAGTTTGGCGCGTGAACCCATAGGGATGTCAGGTGCTGAAGGGTTGTGATAGCCGGAGGCCGTCGTGTGAATTCACCACTCAAGGTATCATCAATGCACAGCTGCCGTAGCCCATGCCAGGCCGATCCATCAGATTCCAGAAGCGTCTTCAAGCTGCGAGCTCCCATCACTTCTAAACTGCGGAGGTTAGAAAGACTGGTCAATGTGAAAAGAAACCTCTCCGCCTTCCCCCCATCTGCTCCCAACGCCAACTCCAAACGCTCCAGACGTGAGAGATAGGCAGCAATCGCCAGGAGGCCTGCTGCATCAACAAAACCCAAGCACAGATCTCTGAGATCCGAAAGCATCGCCATGTCAGGCAGAGGAACCACCCACGGACTGGTTTGGTAACAAAGAGTTTGGAGGCTGAAGGGTAGAGTCTGAAGGTTTTCATTCAGCTGGTGGCATTTCGTGAGCTCCAGCTGCCTCAGCTTGGTAAGGTTGTGTAGCCTCCTCGGAACTGTAGTGAGACTGGGACAGTTTTCAATCCGTAGCACCCGAAGGCTGATCAGAGCTGTCACGAATTCTGGAATCCTCTTGATTTTTGAGCAGTTTTGAATGTAGACCTCTTGCAGATTTGTCATCCCCCTCATGCCGCCTGGCAGCTTGCGAATCAAGCACCGATCGAGTTCCAGCCTGGTCAGTGAAACCAGCTGCGTGAATGAAGACGGCAGCTGCTCATCATTGTTGTCTTCAAGTCGGAACGTCTGAAGATTGGTCAGCTCCCCCAAATCTCCTGGAAGGTGCATTGCAGAGCACGACGCAAGGTTGAGAGTCTTGAGTCCAGTGAGGCAACCAAAGCCTTCCGGTAACTCATGCACCCTCTCACAATCAAGCAGAAAAAACGTCTCCAATGATGCGAGTGCAGTGAAGGAAGCAGGAAGACGGAGAAGAGGCAGCCAGTGCAGCACCAGAGTCTTCAGAGCTGGAAGATTTCCAAAATTCTCGGGCAGAGTGGCGATGCTGCACATGGAAATTGTCAGCTTCTCTAGGCAGGTGAGCGAGGTGAACTGATCAGTCAGATCGGTGAAGGATCTGCAGAAGTAGATGCGGAGCTCTTGGAGGCACGGCATCACCTCTCCTATACTGTCAGGGAGGCTCACTTGCTCGTTGCAGTGTGTAAGATGCAGCCGTTTCAAGCACCTGTATGGAAATCTAGGAGGGAAGAAAACGCTGAACTGTGCATAGCAGAGGCCGAATTTCAGCGAGTGGAGGGAGGGTAGTTGTGCGAGAGAGAAGGCAGGAGGAGCATCAGAAAACAGGCGAATCTCATTGGGCAAGGAGAGGCTGGTGAGGTTGGTGAGATGGATGAGGTTAAAAAGCTGCTCATAGTGAAGGAAGGTGGTTTCAATGGAAAGTGCAGTGAGAGATGCAAGGGAGTTGCATTTTGAAGCTCTGAGGATGAACGCATTGGACAAGACGAGGGTGCGGAGATTCTGAAGCTGGAAGAAAGACGCTGGTGGACTCACATTCTTCGAAAGACAATACAGCGACAGATGCTCCAGATCCGGGCAGCGACGGAAGAGATTATCCAAGCCAACTTTGGTTATCGGGCAGTGCTTCTTTCCACCTTCTTCTTCTGTCAGAAGCAACTTCCCCACATGAAACGCCCTCAGCTTAGGGCACGCAATGGCTAGGTTAGTAAGAAAGACGTTGTCCAAAATCTCCACACTGCTATCAGACAGGTGCAGATGGGTCAGACGCGGTAAACACGCAACAGCGTTGAGCAGATCCTGATGCGAAACGACCCGCTCTTCTTTGACGAGGAGAGAAGTCACGTGGCGTTGAGTAAGTCGCCGCCAGCGACGGCAGATGGACGCTAACAGGAGAGTGTACGCAGCGTTTGCGGAGGCGGGAGGGATCGGCATAGGAGTGTCTCTTCCTCCGTAGATAAGCTCTTCAGTCGTAGCGTTCGCGTGGATGTACTTAGGCGGCACCACAGGCGGCGACACGCGTTTCCACACATCATCGCTCTCGAATCTGCCAGAGGTTGGCTGTTCCGGAGGCCAGAAGATTCTGACGAGAACATTGTCAGGGAGATCGTTGATGTGAGTTGCTCCAGAGTCTGTATGAGTCACGTCCGTACTAGCCATGTCCGTATGAGAAGCGTTCCTACAGAAACAACTGGCAGCGACTGAGGTGATGGAAAACAATACTATCGTCGGAGCTCAACCGCAGTTTCACGAGTACTATGCGTTTGGAATAAGCTCGATCGAAAAGGTGAAAACCTTCTGTCCGTCCTACTAAGCAATAACTCGTCACCCTGCTTCTCCCTGTCAGCTCCGACAGGGAGCCCCGGCTGCGACAGGGAGCCCCGGCTGCGACAGGGAGCCCCGGCTGGGAGAGGGTCGTCTTTCGCCACAACTCTCGTTCAGACTCTTAGTGCGACTTTCGCAAAGGGATTGCACCCATCAACGCAGCAGCAGGACAGACACGTGGCTTACTCACCGAGCACTGAGCACGCGCTGTGACTAGCAATTTGCTCACTCGTTGAGCATGCGCTGCACCCTTCTGCAAGCATCACGCTAACTCACTGGCCACGCGCTGCAGCTAGGCCTGCTGACATGATGCTGACTCACTGACCGTGCTGTCCAGCTGGCATCATGCCCACTCAGGGCGATCCGTTTCTAAGGCCCATGAATCATCACATGTGGCTTTGATAACAGCGCAGCTCGCAACGTGATCGTTAAGCTTTTAACACACTACAGAGCATGATCGTATGTAAGATCGGGTTCTAAAGTAAACTTACGGTAACCTAGAATCTAGTTGATTGAGCGGGTAGAGAGTTGGTCAGAAAGAGTTCCCCGCAGATCCCAAGGGCCAGTCTGTGTGGAGCAAATTTCCCCTTTCGAGAGCCCGCCATATCCATCGGTTTAAAAGTATTTTTAATGCAACCGAGTACGGTACAGTAAATCACGAACATCGTACACCAGCCCAAACCATCCAAGTATACCCGTTACGATCCTCAAGATAGAAGTTCCTGCTATGGAATCGTCGCAACACTCAGTCGATCCCTCCGCCATCGCCCTCCCCGCTTCATCTGCGCAAGCACCCGAACACCCTAATGTGACCGAGTTTCCGCCCCACCCCCCCCCTCGACAAGAAGCGGGGACTCCTCCCCCCCAGTCTGCGCCAACAGGACCCTTCCGCTCCGCGCATTCATTCCCCCCGGTTCCCCCGGTTCCGCCAGGCCCGCCGGTTCCCCAGGCGCCCCCGCTCCCTTACGGCTATATAGCGCCCTCACCTTATTTTCAGTATCCGCCAGCGCACTATCCCCCCCCAGGGTGGTACGACTATGGCAGATACCTCCCACCAGTTTTCCCCCACGCGTCAAACCCACCATATGCGCAAAACCCCCCGCACGCGCCAACCCCCCCGCATGCGCTAACCGGCCCGCACGCGCACGCGGAAAGCCGCCCGCGCGCGCACATGGGCATCCCCTCAAATGCGCGACTCTCAGCCCATGCGCCAAGCCCCCCGCATGCTCATCTACCCCCGCACGCGTACGGAGGATTTTACTCACCCGGGGGTAGCGGAAGGGGGAGAGGAGTAGGGGAAGGCAAGGAGATGGGCGGAAGATCCAGGGGCGCAGGAGGGGAGTGGGTTGGCGGGGGATGGGGGGCGTGGTATGGGTGGCCCCCGCCAGACTTTGTGGTTTATGGGGGAGGGCGGATGGGGGGAGCACGCACGGGGGAAGGGGGGATGAGGGAAGGCGAAGCGGGGGAAGGGGGATTGGGGGAAGGGGGGATGAGGGAAGGCGAAGCGGGGGAAGGGGGATTGGGGGAAGGGGAGCTTGGAAATGCAAGCACAGGGGGCGTGGGAGAAGGAGGCATGGGCGGTGGCGAGATGGGAGAAAAGGAGATGTATGGAATGCAAGAGCAGGAGAGGCAGCAGAGGGGGAACCAGCAACAGAACGAGGGGGAGCAACAGCAGCATCAGCAGCAGCAGCAACGGCAACAGCAGAAGCAGCAGCAGGGAACGGAGGCTGATTCCAGTGTTGCTGCAAGAACTGGTGGTGATGCCTCTGCTGTTCCTGCTTCAGCTGATGCTGCTGCCAACACTCTTCCTCTTCCCTCTCAAGCTCCAATGACCTCTGTTTCTTCTCCTGTATTTCCTGCTACAACTGCTGCTGGTGGTGCCTCTGCTGATTCTGCTGCAGCTGAAGCTGCTGCTGGTGCCTGTGCTGCTCCTGCTGCTTCTGCTGCTGAACCTGCTCCTGCTTCTAGTATCGCGCCTACTGCTCCTGCTCCTGCTCCTGCTGCTCTTCCTCCTGCTTCTCCTGCCCTTCTTGCTCCTGCTGCTGTTCCTGCTGCTCCTGCTGCTTCTGCTGCTGCAGCTCCTGCCCTTCTTGCTCCTTCTACTGCTGCTGCTGCTGCTGCTGCTGCTGCTCCTGCTTTTGTTCCTGCTACGCCTGTGCAAGATATGTCAGCAACAGAAGTGGCAACTGCAGTACCAGCAGCAGCAGGAGTTGGAGCAACTGAAATGCAAGCCTCGCAACGACAAATAGCAGAGCCAGCTGCTGTTGCATCTGCAGCAGCAGTACCAGCACCACCACTCTCGCAAGCAGCAATACCAGCACCCGCACCAGCATCAGCAGAAGCAACAGCAGCAGCAACAGCATCAGCAGCAGCAGCAGCAGCAGCAACACCACTAGCAGCAGCAGAAGCAGCACCAGAACTAGCACCAGCAGCAGCAACTGCAACATCGCCTGCACTATCTTTAACAGCAACAGCATCAGCACCACCATCAGCAGCAGCAGAGCCAACACTAGCTGCAGCAGCGGCAGCAACAGCGCCAGCACTAATGCCAGCAGCAGCAACAGCGCCAGCACTAATGCCAGCAGCAGCAACAGTGCCGCTAACACCGGCAATAGTGGCTTCGGCATTAGCAGCAGTACAAACATCACCGGTAGCAGCAGCAGCAGAATCATTAACAGCAGCAGCAATGGCACCCGCATCAGCATTACCACCAGCAGCAGCATCACCAGTGCCAGGTGTACCATTAGCAGCAGCCGTTGCAGAGCAAGAAACAGCAGCAAGAGGTGGCGGTGGAGGTGGAGGAAGAGGAGGAGGAGGAGGAGGAGGAGGAGGAGGAGGAGGAGGAGGAGGAGGAGGAGGAGGAGGAGGAGGAGGAGGAGGAGGAGGAGGAGGAGGAGGAGGAGGAGGAGGAGGTTGCAAGAAAGAGAGGGAGTGAAAGGGAGAGGCCTGAAGCGGGGAAGGAACGAGGGAAACAAACCAGCTGCAGAGGCAAACCAGATGAGAAAAAGCAGCGAGGGCCAAAGAAGGGAGAAGGAGGATGGTTCTTTGGGGCCGGTTGGAAAGAGTTCTTTTGAGGCGTCTCAGGCGTTGTTGCGTCACCAAAGAAGGGAGATGGTGGTCGGGTCTTCAGAGGTGCCACAGATGGGAAAAGGCAAGGAGAAGTGGGATGGGTACCACCAGGAGGCGAAGCGGAGGAGAGGTGGGGAGAGCAGGGAGAGCAGGGAGGAGGTGGAGGGCAGGTTGAGGGAGTGCTTGCGGGAGAGAAGGCTGTGGCACCTGCTGGAAGACAGAAGCCCTCTGTTGGCGTCCCTTAAAGCCCATGTGAAAACCCTTTGGAAGATGGGGCTACAGGCAGTGCAGGTAGGAAGGGGGAGGTGTATCAGGTGTGTGGGTGAGTGGGAAGAGCTTCCTTAGGTGGTACCGGGAGAGGCGGCTGTGGCATCTGCTGGAAGGCCGAAGCCCTCTTCTAGCGTCCCCAAATGCGCATGTGAAGTTTCTCTGGAAGATGGGGCAACAGGCAGTGCAGGTAAGAAGGGACGGGGAACTGTGACGTGTGTGTGGGAGGAGGTGGAGGGGAGGTTGAGGGAGTGTTTGAGGGAGAGGCGGCTATGGCATCTGCTGGAAGACAGAAGCCCTCTGTTGGCGTCCCTTAAAGCCCATGTGAAGACGCTTTGGAAGATGGGGCAACAGGCAGTGCAGGTAGGAAGGGGGAGGGACGTGTGAAATGTGTGTGGATGAGGGGGGAAAGCTCTTGTAAGTGAGGGAAAGGCGGCTTTGGCACCTGCTCAGAGACCGAACCCCCCTGCTGGCGTTGCTCAAAGCACACGTGAAGACGCTTTGGAAGATGGGGCAACAGGCTGTGCAGGTAGGAAGGGGGAGGGACGTGTGACATGTGTGTGGATGAGGGGGGAAAGCTCTTGTAAGTGAGGGAAAGGCGGCTTTTGCACCTGCTCGAAGACCGAACCCCCCTGCTGGCGTCGCTCAAAGCACACGTGAAGACCCTGTGGAAGATGGCGCAGCAAGCAGTAGTGCAGCATGTCTGCTGTTGCAGCCGTTGCAACGCAACGGCTGGTGGATTGGGGTGGGTGTGGGTGGTCAATTCTCCCCCTCAGGCATAAGCCCACGCTGGAGGACCATCTCACGCTCAACCCCTCCTCCCCCTCTCTCCCTCACTCTCCTCCTCCACCCCTCTCTCCCTCACTCTCCTCCCCACCCCTCTCTCCCTCCTCTCTCCCTTCCCCTCAGCCCCCATTCAACCAGCCGTTTCAGGACAAGCTGTTGTCGCATAGACTCTTGAGTCGACTCGAAAGTCCCCTCCCCTCAGCCCCCATTCAATCATCCGTTTCAGGACGTGCTGCTAGCGCACGAGCCCATGAGGGGACCTTCTTATGCTTATCCCCCTCCTCACCTCTCCCCCTCCTCCCCTCCCCACTTTCCCACCTCCATTGCCCTCTCAACCCACCAGCCGTTTCAGGACGCCCTACTAGCGCATGAGCCCACGCTAGAGGACCTGCAGGGGGAGAAGAAAGGCGCGCTGCAGCTCTTTGCCCTCCTGCTGGGCGCTCCCGAGGTGACTTCCCTGCGGAAAGATGAGCTTGCAGAGGTGATTGTGAGGGCGGACGCGTGGGAGCGAGTGCGAGGGAGAGTTATCAACAGAGCGGGGAGTGCCATACCTGGTGTGTTTGTTAAGGAAAGAGCAGCAGATGGGGCAGTATTAGTTGGTGAACCAGCGGGAGCGGCAGCAGCACCACTACCCCCAGCACCAGTAGCAGCACCAGCAGCAGCAGCAGAAGCAGCAGCAGCAGCAGCACCACCACCTCCGGCAGTAGCAGCAGCAGCAACAGCAGCAGCACCTGTGGCAGTGGCGGCAGCAGCAGCACAAGTGGTTCTTGAACCAACTACAGCGGAACCAGCCCCTGAGAAACCCGCACTAGCATCACTGTCATCACCCACACCTTCAGACCCCGCTGAACCCCTCTCAACCGCACAGGTAAAGGAGTCCTGTCAGGTGCCCACTCCCGCCCCACACCCCTTTGGAGGAGAGCAGTTGACGACACTAGTACCAGCTACCTCTGCACTCTCCTCGGGCGAGCAGTTGAAGTTGGTACCCACTACTTCCCCACCCCCCTTGACCTCGCAAGGAGGGCAACTGGGCGGGCTGCTGTTACCACAGGAAGTGGGGCTGTCAGATATAGGCGATGAGCGGATTGCACGGCTGAACCGCCCACCCGATGTGCTTCTAACGGAGTTCCTTGAAAGGAGGATGCGGTGGGAGCACACGGAGGAGCGGGAGTTGCTGGCGGCGAAGCTGGAGGCGTACATTCGGTCTCTTATCCGCACCAACCCTGATGCCCTCAAGGTGAGGGCTTGCTGGAGTTCGGGTAATGTGCAGTACAGTACAGTAGGGTGATGGGCAGCACACAGAGGAGTGGGATCTGCTGGCAGCGAAGCTCGAGGCGTACATCCGGTCTCTCAGCCCCACCAACCCTGATGCCCTTAAGGTGAGGGTCGTCTGTGGGTAAGTTAGAGTATGGTAAGTAAGAGGGAGGAGAGGAAGGGAGGACATGGAGGAATGGGAGCTGCTGGCTGCAAAGCTAGAGGCATACATTCGATCACTTAGCCGAAGCAACCCTGAGGCCGTCAAGGTGAGACATTGTTTGCTGGAGGTAGGTTAGAGGAATGGTATGGAGGAGGATGTGGTGGGAGCACACGGAGGAGCGGGAGCTGCTGACAGCGAAGCTAGAGGCGTACATTTGATCACTCATCCGCACCAACCCTGAGGACCTTAAGGTGAGACTTTGTTTGAGGGGATGCATTGTTGTTTGAAGTGAAGTATCGCACCCTGCGATGGCTTCTTGAAAGGAGGATGAGGTGGGAGCATTCGGAGGAGAGGGAGCTGCTGGCAGCGAAGCTGGAGGCGTCTATTTGATCACTTTTGAGGCGCCTCAAAAGTCGTCTCTCTACCCGCAATGCTGGCAGCGAAGCTGGAGGCGTCTATTTGATCACTTTTGAGGCGCCTCAAAAGTCGTCTCTCTACCCGCAATGCTGGCAGCGAAGCTGGAGGCGTCTATTTGATCACTTTTGAGGCGCCTCAAAAGTCGTCTCTCTACCCGCAATGCTGGCAGCGAAGCTGGAGGCGTCTATTTGATCACTTTTGAGGCGCCTCAAAAGTCGTCTCTCTACCCGCAATGCTGGCAGCGAAGCTGGAGGCGTCTATTTGATCACTTTTGAGGCGCCTCAAAAGTCGTCTCTCTACCCGCAATGCTGGCAGCGAAGCTGGAGGCGTCTATTTGATCACTTTTGAGGCGCCTCAAAAGTCGTCTCTCTACCCGCAATGCTGGCAGCGAAGCTGGAGGCGTCTATTTGATCACTTTTGAGGCGCCTCAAAAGTCGTCTCTCTACCCGCAATGCTGGCAGCGAAGCTGGAGGCGTCTATTTGATCACTTTTGAGGCGCCTCAAAAGTCGTCTCTCTACCCGCAATGCTGGCAGCGAAGCTGGAGGCGTCTATTTGATCACTTTTGAGGCGCCTCAAAAGTCGTCTCTCTACCTGCAATGCTGGCAGCGAAGCTGGAGGCGTCTATTTGATCACTTTTGAGGCGCCTCAAAAGTCGTCTCTCTACCCGCAATGCTGGCAGCGAAGCTGGAGGCGTCTATTTGATCACTCATCCGCACCAACCCTGATGCCCTTAAGGTGAGGGATGGTGGCAAGGCACACTGCAATGACTTGTGGGAGAGAGGTTGCAATGGCAGGAAGCCTGATGCTGGCAGCTAAGCTGGAGGAGCAGGAGCACATTCAGTGCACGGAAGAGAGGTACGTACGGTCTCTCGTTCGCACGAAACCCTGATGCTCTCAAGGTGAGGGATAGGTAGTGCACAGCAGGGTATGATCCACATTTCCTTATCCTGGTTGTGTTCCTGTGCTGATTTGTTCTATCTATCGTATGCTATCCCCGTTGTAACCAGGCCTGCCGGGAGCTGTTCTTTGCGCGGTGTGCAGGGGCAGAGGTTGAGCAGTTTTCCTTCTTATGATTTTGCTCCCATGTTAATTCCATCACCGTTACAATCAGAGCTATCAGGAGCTGTTCTTTCCGTTCTGCTCAGGGATCAAGGAGGACGTGCATTTTCTACTTCCGTTATAATCATAATCATTCCCCTGTTCAATTTCAATTTCAATTTCAGGGTTATCAGGAGCTGTTCTTTGCGCGGTGCGCGGGCGCAGAGGAGGACGTGCAGCAGGAGAAGCGGGACGTGGTGAGGGTGGTGGCGCTGCTGCTGGGGTGCTCTGTGCCGGCCAAAGCCAAGAAGCTGCAGCTGGTGAAGGCCATCAGTGCCTCTCCGCTGTGGCAGGCGCACAGGCGCAGAGAGAAGGGGCGAGGGGCAGGGGAGAAAGGGGGAGGATTGGTGATGGGGCCGGGAGGAATGAAGGAACGGCAGCAGCAGGAGAAGTATCAAGAGCAGCAACAATTGCACCGGCAACAGGTGCAGGGGCAGGAGAAACAGGGGCACAATTACATAGAACAGCAGCTGAAAGGGGGAGAGAGGTGGAGGCAAAAGGAAGCTATGAATAGTGACGAGTTGCAGAAGGGTGGAGGTGGAGTGGAGAAGGTATCGAGACGTGCAGTAGCAGTGATGAGAGATGAGGGAGTGGAGGCGGAATCAGGGGATGAAGACGAAGAGGATGCAAATGGATATGTAGATGAGAGGGAAGAGAGCTGTAGGACCATAGTAGAGAAGGATAGAGCCATGGAATTTCCTGGGTGTGAAACAGGGGAGATTGCGTTTCGGGAAAGGAAGAAGTTAGAGACTCGGGCGAAATTGCTCCTGGAGGATTTCATAGGGCGCAAGCAAGACCTTGAAGAGGTGATGGTTAAAGCTCGAGCTACACGGAAGGTGGGTCTGCAGCAGCTGCAACGGCTAAAAGGCTTGCTTAGAACTTATGCTGCATACTGTGAAGCTCAAAATATGTTCGAAGAGCAAAGCATGTGATGTGACATAAGGTGCAAACTATGAGTGAAAATTACCCAAGATTGGCATGTACGGTTTGCTCTAGGCAGAAAAAGTGTTTTGAACTTATAGCGAACGCGAGTGTGCGCGTGTCGCAAGCCTCTGACACATTCAGGTTCTGTTGGCGGGCTCCAAACAAACAAGGATTTAAAAGGTTCTCCCGCAGAGAACCAGTCTTCAACTCTTGGAAACGTACCCAAACGCCCTCAACCGTTGCTGATTCTTCGAAACCGTGTAGAACTTCACATCCACTAGAAAGGGAGTTGAGGTTCTTCCCTCGCGGTTCACCGTTCACGCCATCGCCACCCCCTCGAGATTGCCAGAATGGAGTGAGTTCGGCGAAAGGAGAAAGAGTTGCCGAGATAAAAGAGGAATTGTTCCCGCGTCCAGACAGGGAGTTCGTCTCGCCGCACCGCTGTTAGTGTTACTTCCCTCCCACCACTCCGCGACGCGTTCTTCGCTCTTCGTCGTTTCATCTGTGCGTACAAATCCGTAGAAGTTTCTGTTCTTTTTCCTAACCAGATCTGAAGGCCTCGACATAGCGAGTTCGTTAACGGTCACGAAGTAAGGGCAAGAGAACGGGCCACGAAAACCAGCAAGCATTCAGCCAGAGACAGCCTCCTCGCGTCGCGAGATCAAACAAGCAACGGTCGACTCATCTATTCATGTCGGAGCAGCATCAACCACTAATGGCGGGGCCTGTGGTGCTCGTCACGGGGTGCTCCTCAGGCGGCATCGGATCGGAACTCTGCAAGGCCTTCGCCGCTAGAGGTTGCCGCGTGTTCGCTTCCGCGCGCCGACCCGACTCCATGCAAGATCTAGCAGGTAGGCTAGTTTCGGCGCTGGCTTAAAATGCATGTTACAGCAGCATCAGCTGATTAGGCTTGCCGTGTTTCCTTGAGACGTCTCAGAACTCTGTCACGGGTTGCGTTTTGAGGCGTCGGATCAAAAGTAATCCACGGTTATCCATGCATGGAGATCCCTTGGACCTCATGGTTACCAGGTAATTCGGTGGTAATTCGCACTGTATGCAGGATTTCGCATGCTGATACTCAGAGCCAATTGGCCGTTTCCTCTTCACCCGGATTATGCAGGGTTAAACTTCGTTACACCCACTCGGGTTTCCACCTTCATGGTCTTATTTTCTTTAAGCGTCTCAGAAATTCTCTCAATGTTTCCGAGAAACTGTCTCAATGTTCGCGAGAAATTGTCTCAATGTTCGCGGGGTTGGGAATTGAGACACTGCATGCTTGCAAACAATGAGCCAATCTCCCCTCTGAACCTCACTGACCACGTTCAGGGCTGTTGAGTGTTGACAAGTCCCACAAGTACTTTCAATGGTCACTCCTCCCCGCCTTGCTCCTTCTCCTCTGCTCTTCTTCTTCCCTCTTCTTCCGTGCTCCCCCCTCTTCTTCCTCCCAGGGTTGGGAATCGAGACAGTGCAGCTAGATGTCACCTCCACAGCCTCTATCCAGGACTGTTAGGGCACCAAAGAGAAAAAAATTCATGGTCTCTCTTCTCCACTTTTCCTCCTTTTCAGGTTTGGGGATCGAGACAGTGCAGCTAATCGTCACCTCCACACCACAGCCTCCATTCGGGTTGTTGAGGTGAGACGCCTCACCAGTTGGCTTCATACTCAACTCCGCCTTCTCTCTTCTCCCCTCCCGCCACTCTTCGTCTCTTCCTTCCCAGGGTTGGGGATCGAGACAGTGCAGCTAGATGTGACGTCTACAGTCTCTATTCTGGAAGCCGTTCGCACAGTCATAGCTAAGGTGAGTTTTGGTTCCAGTGAGATGTTTGATTAAATTTATGTGTGCTCTGCCTAGTTTGGAGTGCAGCCAGATGCCATGTCACGTCCACGGCCTCTATTCAGGAAGCCATCAGTTCAGTCATTGCCAAGGTGGGGTCAGAGCTATGAGTCGACTCAATAGTCATACATACAGTCGCATTGAAGGGGAAGTTCGATGTATACAGTCGCTCTGCCATACGGATGCGTTCAGTCCTTGCCATGATGACCTTTGCACAAACCAAAGGTCACCTTGGCAATGACTGTGCTGATGCATTCAGTCCCATTTGAGGTCAGCTTTGCTGCTTCCATCAGCACTGTCATTGCCAAGGTGACCTTTGGTTTGTGTAAGTTCTTTTCTCAAAGTAGACATCTTCTGCATGTTTTGCACTTTTTATGATGTTACCAATGTTCGCGCCCTTCTCTGTTCCTGCGTTTTTTTCTTTCTCCAGAACATTCCTGCCGGCAGCAGGTGGGCAAAATAAACATTCTGAATCACGCTTCCCTTGCTCACCTGTGCAGGCAGGCAGAATAGACATATTGATCAACAATGTGGGAGCCGGGTGTTTTTGTCCCCATGGCGGAGATGCCTCTGGATGCCGAAACACCCCCATTCTCCACGCTGCTTTTCCATTCTGCTTTTACAGGCGGGCAGGATAGACATTCTGGTCAACAATGCGGGAGCGGGGTGCTTTGGTCCCATGGCGGAATTGCCTCTTGATGCCTTCCGCAGCAACATGGAGACCAATGTGGTTGGCCTGCTGGCTGTTACTCAAGCAGTTGTCCCTCACATGGTGGAGCAGGTGTGTTACACGTGACTGTGGTGGTTGGAGCGGGGTGCTTCGGCCCCATGGCAGAGATGCCTCTTGATGCCTTTCGAAACAACATGGAGACCAACGCTGTTGGCCTGCTAGCTGTCACTCAAGCGGTTGTGCCTCACATGGTGGAGCAGGTAGGGCGAATGTGATGTGTATGTGATTATGGGGTGTGAATTTGACTCTGGTGGAGCGGGGTGCTTTGTCCCCATGGCGGAGATGCCTCTGGATGCATTCCGCAGCAGCATGGAGACTAATGTGGTTGGCCTGCTGGCCGTCACTCAGGCAGTTGTTTCGCACATTGTGGAGCAGGTGGGTTGGTGGTGGGGCAGTTAGGCCGAGAGGTAACAAGGTGACTTTTGAGTCGACTCAAAAGTCACCTCGGTGGTGGGGCAGTTAGGCCGAGAGGTAACATGTGAGGCGCGAGGTAGGTAATAGGTGTGGCAAGGTTGGCCAGATGGGTGTGGTGATGGGTAAATAGGTGTGTTGATGGGTAAATAGGCTAGTTTGTGCTTGCTCACCTGATTTCTCCTGTTTATTCCTCTTCCCTTAGCATTCTCCGTCTCCCCACCTTGATCCGTCTATCCCCTCGCTTGAATCCTTACGGCAGTAGCAAGGTCGTTAACATAGAGTCTGTGTCATTATGGCCTTTGCTCACCTGATCCCTCCTATCGATTCTTCTTCTGTTTTTGAGTCGACTCAAAAACAGACTCCTATCAATTCTTCTTCCCATGCATCGTCCGCCTCTTTCCCCTCCTTATCTATCTCACCCTTCTCTCAAATCCTCAGGGCAGTGGCAAGGTCATCAACATAGGGTCGGTGTCGGCATGCATCACCACGCCCTTTTGCTCGCCTGATTCCTTTTGAGACGACTCAAAAGCACGCCTTTTCTTGCCTGATTGCTGTGATCAATTCCTCTTCCCTTCCATTCTCTGTCTCACTCCCCTCGGTCTATTCTTTCCAATTCCCAGGGCAGTGGCAAGGTCATCAACATAGGGTCCGTGTCAGCATGGATCACCACGCCCTTCGCTGGCACATACTGTGCGGCCAAGGCAGCAGTGCACAGCATCACACATGCTCTCCGGATGGAGCTAAAGCCGTTTGGCATTCAAGTCATGCTCGTTGCTCCGGGTGCCATCAGGTGAGGAGAAGACTGTTGTTGCAACACTCCAAACAGGAGAGGGTGGTTGGCGGCGATGCCTATGGTTGTGAGTGGCACATACTGTGCGGCCAAGGCAGCAGTGCACAGCATCACACATGCTCTCCGGATGGAGCTAAAGCCGTTTGGCATTCAAGTCATGCTCGTTTCTCCGGGCGCAATCAGGCGAGGAGAGGAAAGGGACGTGCAGCACTGGCTGCATGGTTAGCTGCATGCCTAGTAGTGTTGGGTACCTACTGTGCGGCCAAGGCGGCAGCGCACAGCATCACCATGCTCTTAGAATGGAGCTGAAACCCTTTGGCATCCAAGTCATGCTCGTTGCCCCGGGTGCCATCAGGTGAGGGAGGGTTATTGAGATAGCGTGGAATTAGGGGGGTAAGGCAGCAGTTCACCTTCTGTGAAACAGTTGGAGAGGGCTGCTGAGATGGCATGGCTTGGAATTTCCTACTGTTGCTCTCTCTCCCCTCCCCTCCCCTCCCCCCCTCCCCTCCCCTCCCCTCCTTCTCCCCTCCCCTCCCCTCCCCTCCCTCCCCCCCCTCTCATCCCCTCCTCCCCTCCCCTCCCCTCCCCTCCCCTCCCCTCCCCTCCCCTCCTCCCCTCCCCTCCCCTCCCCTCCCCTCCCCTCCTCTCCCCTCCCCTCCCCTCCCCTCCCCTCCCCTCCCTCCGCTCCACACACCACCATCCCAGGTCCAACTTTGGAGGCAACTCCACCCCCTCCTTCTCCCACCTCTGCCTTAAGCTCTTCTCCCGCTTTCATCTTCCTTCCATCCATATGCCCCTCTTTCCCACCACACCACCATCCCAGGTCCAACTTTGGAGGCAACTCCACCCCCTCCGTCTCCCACCTGCGTCTCAAGATCTTGTCCCGCTTTCAGAAGCAGATAGAGGCACGGGCGGGGGCCTCTCAAACGCCCCAGTCCACACCAGGAGACATGTTTGCGACCTGCGTCTCAACATCTTCTCCCGCTTTCTCAACATCTTCTCCCGCTTCCAGCAACAGATAGAGGCCACGTGCATTCCCCTTGACCCTGCTGCTTCCACATCCCCTCCATCCGTTTCTTCCCTTCCCCTCCCAGGTCCACCGTTGGTGGCAATTCCTCCTCGTCCGTCTCCCCTCTTTTATCCATTTCCTTCTGATTCCAACCCTTACCCCCTCCCCTCCACACACCACCGTCTCAGTTCCAACTTTGGAGGCAACTCCTCCTCCTCCGTCTCCCACCTGCGCCTCAAGATCTTCTCCCGCTTTTAGAAGCAGATAGAGGCTCTTTGGCATGCATATACCTTCACGCTGTTGCCCATCTCTCCCCATCCCAACCGTTCCCCACCACCATCTCAGGTCCAATTTCGGTGGCAACTCCTCCTCCTCTGTCTCCCACCTGCGTCTCAAGATCTTCTCCCGCTTCCATCTTCCTTCCATATGCCCTCCTTTCCCACCCACACCACCATCGCAGGTCCAACTTTGGAGGCAACTCCTCCTCCTCCGTCTCCCACCTGCGTCTTAAGATCTTCTCTCGCTTCCAGAAGCAGATAGAGGCCCGGGCAGGGGCCTCGCAAACTCCCCAGTCCACACCAGGAGACGTGTTTGCGAGGGCTCTAGTGGAGGTGAGGGTGGGAGGGTGGTGTTGGGATGGCTTGTGTGTGCGCCTGTGCTTTCAGCAGCAGATAGAGGCTCGCGCAGGGGCCTCTCAAACCCCGCATTCCACACCAGGAGGCGTGTTCGTGAGGGCTGTAGTGAAGGTGAGGGTGTGAGGGTGCTGTTGGGATGGTTTGTGTGTGCATGTATGCATGCATATGTCTCGGCACCTGGTGGGGTCTTTCCGTGTCATGACATGGCTGCCTTACAACTTCCACCTACTACACCCCGTGCCTCCGTCCTCTTTTGAGTCTACTCAAGAGTCACCTCATTCCGCGTCTTGACATGGCTGCCTCACATCTTCCACATACCATACTACATCCTGTCTCTCCATCCTCCCCCGCATCTCTCTCCTTCACTCTCCTCAACACCGTCCCCCCCCCCATCAGTAAGCCTTGGTCAAGTGGGTGCCGATAGAGTGGGCGTTTTGGCATTTGGTGGGCTCATTCCGTATCATGACATGGCTGCCTTCCGCTTTTCCCCTTTCCTCCCTCACTCACCGTCCTCTCCCTGCTTTCCACCTTCCCAACGCCAGAAAGCCCTGGCCAAAAATGTGCCAATAGAGTGGGCGTTTGGACATCTGGTGGGGTCTTTCCGTATCATGACATGGCTGCCTTACAGCTTTAGGGATTCTGCACTCATGAAGAAATTTGGACTCACTAAGTAGGGTGCTTTGGTTGTAGGAGGATCTAAGCACTAGTAACGCTTCCTCCTTCCTTGTACTTCCCTGCTTTCTGGTCTGGCTGTCTATGAAAAAAGCTGGTCCTATGCAATTGGTTTCCGGTTTAGGAAAACTTTGGTTGATGCTATTTAAGAAATACAGGTAGCTGCAGAGAATCTGGACGCAAGCCTCCAGTGAAGGTTTGGGCTTCCGGATGCCATAATATGGGTGAAATCGTTGTCTTAGTTATAGGTAATAAGAATAACACCTAATGTAATAGTATCATTGGGCACTTTCAAGAGACGGATTCAATCCCAATCGGACTTGTCGAACCACCCTTTCCCAGCAGCCAGCAAAAAGGGCCTGTGGTAACAGTTTCGCTAGATTCTGGGACTTCAGTTGACTTCCCGAAGCGCTCGTTTTCGTATGTCGGTGTCGTGTTGAGCGACCTCACATTTGTCGTACATTCCACTCCAGTATTGTAATTGTAACCTAGCTTCGCTTGTCTGTCACTTCTCGCCTTTGCGCCAGTTCCCGTCGCGCACACCGTTGCCGAATTTTGCAAACGATTTGGGCTCTCAAAAGCTTCACCCGACTCGTTCACGGCAATCGAAGTCCGTAACTTACTTCGCCAGCGTCGCAAGGCTCACAGCGCACTGATACAAGCGGAAGCGCGGATCAGCATATTGAAAGAATAATTTGGAATGCAAATTCTTTCGAATTACATTCAGCAAACCTGAACTTCCTTTCTCGTCTGCAGAGAGCGACCAAACACAAACCTGCTTCCTCCAGATTTAGCTCGAATTGCATCAGCAGCATAACCAATCGGCGTTATAAACATTCCCCTCGCCAAAGCTCACGGTTTATTCGCGTTGTATGCAAGTCATGGGGAATCCGCGGCTCATACCCATCGCTCTTCTCTTCCTGTTTGTCGGCTCATGCTCAGCCCACCTGGCGCCATCAACCCCGGCCCGTTCTCTGCTCAACAAATCCTCTCCGCCTAATCCAGCACATGACCAGCACATCACCGCTGCTGGCAACTTGCTAGCAGCGAATCGGAAGGTTGTAAGCGTGGCTAATGATTCCGAATCAAGCGAGTCTGGCGCGCCTAAAAACGCGTTAACTGTTCCGTCTGATGTAAAGTCTGGTCCCGCGCTTCCTCCACGTGCTCCCGCTCATCATGTCGACGAGATTAGCGAGGAAGTCAAGGATGAGGGGAAGAATGGCCTGGGCACGGGCGCGGCGGGAACGGGCGCGCCTGGTGCAGGCGCCGCGGGCAAGGGCGCGGCAAAGGCTGCAGCAGGCAAGGGGGCAGTGGGCAAGGTCGCAGCCAAGGGTGCGGCGGGAATGTTCGCACTGAACAAGGGCGCTGCGGGAAATGGCGCAGTAGGCAAGAGCGCATCTAAAAACGGCGCACCGAAGAAGTTCACGCCCATTCCTGCAGCGAGAATGGTCGCACCGAACAAGGGCACGGCGGATAAAAACGCAGCAGGCAAGGGCGCGGTTACCAACGGCGCACCGAAGAAGGTCTCGAACAAGGGCGCGGCGGGAAAAGGCGCAGCAGACAACTTGAAGGGCGAAGCGGAAAAAGGCGCAGCAGACAACTTGAAGGGCACGGTCAATAACGGCGCACCAAAGAAGGTCGCAGCCAAGGGTGCGGCGGGAATGGTCGCTCCGAACAAGGGCGCGGCGGCGACGAACAAGGGGGCGGAGAACAAGGTCCAACCACCGCGTCCGCACACCGTCCGCCCTCACATGGCGCCGGTGCCTGCCGCGAGTCACATCGCCAAGAATCAGCCTGCTGCTGCTGTGATGGGAGCGCCGAGCAACAAACCCAGCGTGCGTCCTCACATGGCGACGGCCCAGGACGTGGCGATCGTTCCCCAGGCGCCTGCGCCGGTGCCTGCCGCGATTCACATCGCCAAGAACCAGCCTGCTGCTGCGACGGTGGGAGCGGCGAGCAACAATCATCCTGCTGGGTCGAACGCACAGCACGCCGCCCGTCCTCACATCATGGCGCCGTTGAATGCGGCGAGTCACATCGCAAAGAACCAGCCTGCTGCTGCTGCGACCATGGCAACGGCGGAGGACGTGGCGATCCATGGTGCCACGGCCGCTAAGACGACATCAAACAGCGCGGCACTTGCCCCGTCGAGCGCGCAATCGCCGCGCCCACACGTTGTGCGTCCTCACATGGCGACGGCAGAGGACGTGGCAATCGTTCACCAGGAATCGGCGACGGCGTCGGCACCTGCAGCGCCGATGGGGGTGGAGGAGATGCGGGACGAGGCGTGGAGAAACGCGGAGGCTGAGGATAACTTCTATGATGATTATGAGAATGAGGATGAGAAGGACGGCAACGATGAGAAAGGCGATGGTGAGGAGGAGAAGGAGGAGGGGGACAATGAGGACAGCGGCAATGACAATGGGAAGGCCGATGACAGCGAGAATGACGAGAAGGACAACAATGGTAAGGATGATGGCAAGAATAATGAGAGGGACGGTGAGAAGAACGGCAGCGATGAGAATGGTGATGATAATGGCAAGGACAACAACGAGAAGGACGACGAGAAGAACGACGGGGAGAATGACAATGAAGATGAGAAGGACAACGACAACGATGCGGTCAGCTGGCATGGGGGTGAGAGCAGCAGCAACGGACAGGGAAGGGGCGGGACTCAGGCCGTGAATGGAGCATCTACTCGCGTGTCTCGCTTCAGCAGCAACAATGGCTGGGAGCTTCGCATGGCAACAAGCAACGATGTGGCCATTCACCGGGGCAGGACTCAGGCCATGAACGGAGCGTCTTCTCGCGTGTCTCGCTTCAGCAACAACAATGGCTGGGAGCTGGAGGACAATCAGCGCACTGGGTTGCGCAAGGCGGCACATCAGTTTCGCATGGCAACGAGCAGCGATGTGGTCATTCACAGGAGCAGGATGCAGGGCAGCACTGTGAAAGGAGCACTCTCCCGCGCGTCTCGCTTCAGCAACAACAACGGCTGGGAGCTTGAGGACAATCAGCGCACTGGGTTCCGCAAGGCGGCACAGCAGTTTCGCATGGCAACAGCCAGGGATGTGGCCATTCACAGGAGTGGAACGCAAGGTGCTAACCGTGGTTTGAATCACGAGAATGGATTCGATCGGGCGCAGCAGTTCCGCATGGCAACAGCCAGGGATGTGGCAATTCACAGGAATGGAATGCAAGCTGCTGACCATGGTGTGAACCGTGCAAGTGGGCTTGGCAGGGCGCAGCAGTTTCGCATGGCAACAGCCAGGGATGTGGCAATTCACAGGAACGGGATTCATGGTGCGAACCAAAGAAGTATGGTGACGAAGCATGGTGTGAACCATGGGAATGGGCTCAACAGGGCACAGGAGTTTCGCATGGCAACAGCCAAAGATGTGGCCATTCACAGGAACGGGATGCAAGGCGCAGACCGTGGTGTGGACTATGGGAGTGAGCAGCTGGGTACTGTTGCATCCATGCAAGCTGACAATGGAGATTACAATGGTGACTATGGTAGGTGGTGATTACAATTGCGAAGGCGGCAAGGATGGTGACTATGGTGATTACGACGAGGATAATAGTGGTGGCAGCAACGAGGAGGGGCAATTGACATTGGCGCTATTATGGAAGTTCACAACGCAGTGCTTGGGGTAGGAGGGACACAATATTTTATACTTGTGCATATGCTTGGGCTGAGTATATTCATCGTTTACTGTATTGGAACATTTAGTCCTGCTCATCTTGCAAATGCAAGGCCGCAACAAACAGAATGAAGAATGCAAGGAGCAGTCATAGACAGGCACTAAAAAGTGGGAAGAATACTTTGGTGAGTCCCATTGGAACTTGGAAGGGTTGCTGTTAACTTTTAATATATCTTTACAAAAATTGGCATGTTTTGTGGGCTGTATAGCGCGGCACATCGCATTACTGTACGGTTGAGTGCGGTTAGAGTTCTACACGCTTCCGTGCATTTCCTCTCGCTGTTATCAATCAACATCTCAGTTTCTTAGCATTCCGCCGCGGCGGATTCAAGTAAGCCTAGAGGCTGCCGATTTCACCGCTAAGCCAGAAGCTGGCAGCGAGGAAGCGGTGGTTTCTGGGACCAGGAGATACTTACCTTAGCGAGGATCTAATTTCGGGAGGAATTGCTTTGAGGTACTAGTTCGTCAGAACGTAGTCCGAAGTACGATTTTCTTTGTGAGTAAGCTGTTAGATTCGTTTCGACAAGAAGTGTTTCGAGAAGCTAAGCTTGTCCGCCATGGATCGCGAATGGGGGAGCAAGCCCGGAAGCGGCGGCGCCGCGTCCGCGCAGAGCGAGGCGATCGACCGGCGCGAGCGGCTGCGACGATTGGCTCTCGAAACCATCGACCTGGCAAAGGACCCCTACTTCATGCGGAACCACCTCGGAAGGTAAGGGTCCACTCCGTTTCAGAGTGGTGATGTGTGGTGATGTGGCCGCGAGCGGCTGCGACGATTGGCTCTCGAAACCATCGACCTCGCCAAGGATCCGTACTTTATGCGGAACCACCTCGGAAGGTTAGGGTCCACTCCGTTTTAGAGTGGTGATGTGTGGTGATTTGTGGTGATTTGTGGTGATGTGACCGCGCAGCGGCTGCGACGGCTGGCCCTCGAAACCATCGACCTGGCAAAGGACCCCTACTTCATGCGGAACCACCTCGGAAGGTAAGGGTCCACTCCGTTTCAGAGTGGTGATGTGTGGTGATGTGGCCGCGAGCGGCTGCGACGGCTGGCCCTCGAAACCGTCGACCTCGCCAAGGATCCCTACTTCATGCGGAATCACCTCGGAAGGTTCGTCTCCTCACCATCTCGCATCTGCACCTTGTTTTAGGGTCCACCCCGTTTTAGAGTGGTGATGTGGCCGGGCAGTGGTTGCGACGGCTGGCGCTCGAGACCGTCGACCGCGCGAAGGATCCCTACTTTATGCGGAACCACCTCGGAAGGTTCGTGTTCGAACCATCTAGCCGCTGAGAGTTTTACAGACAGAAGAATCAGTGGCTAGGGTTTTCAAACGGATCGATTTGGAGATGTCAATCTGATGGAACGGATGCCAATCAGTGGCTCTTTTCATGGTGATCCCAATCTAGGTTTAGAGCGGCGACTTTTGAGTCGACTCAAAGGTCACGATCAATGTGCACATAAGGAGGTACTCTTTTTATGGTGACTCTTCTTATGGCGATTCGTGTTTAGGTTCGTCACTCCTAACTGTTTTGAAAACGTTTAGGTTCGTCTCGAGACATATTGACCTACAGTGGACTCCCATTTCAGGCGGAACCGTCTCGGAAGATGCAAGCTGTGTCTGACTCTCCACACACAACGAGGGCAATCACCTTGCGCACACGCAGGGCAAGCGCCACCAGCAGAACCTTTTCCAACCGTTCCCTTGCCTTTTTCCCTGGTCTCTTCCATTGGCCTCCCACTCTCCCAAACAGTTATGAGTGCAAGCTGTGTCTGACTCTCCACATCAACGAGGGCAACTACCTCGCGCACACGCAGGGCAAGCGCCACGCCACTAGCCTCATGTTGCACCATCTCCCTTCATGCATCATCTCCCCCCCCTTTCCCCCCCTTAACCCCAAACAGCTACGAGTGCAAGCTGTGCTTGACTCTGCATAACAACGAGGGAAATTACCTCGCGCACACGCAGAGCAAGCGCCACCAGCAGAACCTGGCCAAGCGGCCAATTCTTCGACTTGCTTCCATACCCTCTAAACCCATTCTCCTCCCCCTCCCCCAACAGCTACGAGTGCAAGCTCTGCTTGACTCTCCACAACAACGAGGGCAACTACCTCGCACACACGCAGGGCAAGCGCCACCAGCAGAACCTGGCCAAGCGCGCAGCTAAGGAGGCGCAGGAGGCACCAGCGCTGCCCCAACCCGCACGGCCGCGAGTGAACCCGCGCAAGACAGGTGAGATAGGGAACGCCCCTGAAAGGGTGAGTGTAAGTGTGAGTGGGTGAGGGTGAGGGTGAGTGAATGCAGGGAAAGCGCCACCAGCAGAATCTGGCCAAGCGAGCAGCCAAGGACGCACAGGAGGCACCGGCGCTGCCCCAACCCGCACGGCCCCGAGTGAACCCGCGGAAGACAAGTGAGAGCATGGGCAAATCAGTGATGAGATAGCGCCATCAGCTGTGTGCATGCATGAGTGCACGGCAAGCGCCACCAGCAGAACCTGGCCAAGCGCGCAGCCAAGGACGCACAGGAGGCGCCGGCGCTGCCGCAACCTGCCCGGCCCCGAGTGAACCCGCGCAAGACAGGTGAGAGCAGATCTTCGGACATTTTCCAGTGAACCCGAGAAAGACAGGTGAGAGCGAGAGAGAGACCCCGGCACGAGAGGGAATGAGTGGGTCAGTGAGCGTGGGTGAATACAGGGCAAGCGGCACCAGCAGAACCTGGCCAAGCGCGCAGTTAAGGAGGCACAGGAGGCACCGGCGCTGCCCCAACCCACTCGACTCAGGACGCGTCACCTGCCTCGATCGATCGTAGGATTGCCAGGGAAAACCGATCGGGCATACCGATCGCAGGATTGGGGCACGATTGGGGGGAGGTGACAGCTGAACATCGATCGCAGCTTGGTTTCGAGCCCTGGGTGACACGTTCGGTATGGTGCCAGGGGACATGGTTGGGCGAAAATATGCAGCACCGTCGTATGGGTGATTTGCGAGAAAAAACATGAGGTAATTCAGGTAACCCTGCAAACTGTGCGACGGCGATCGATCTTGCCTGTCACTTTGAGCGCGAGCTTGGAGCTCATGCAAATTCGGTGTGTGTATGATGGTGCAATCATCGCGGTTGGGGGGAGGTGACAAGATCGTGGTACACCTGTTACTGTACATTCGTTAACTGTCTCGGAATAGGGTATCTCTGTGAACTGCGATGCTACAGTATTACTGTAGCATGCCAAACATCGATCCTACGCAGGATCGATCGAGGCAGGTGACGTGCCCTCAGAGTGAACCCGAGAAAGACAGGTGAGAGGGGGGAGAGAAGTTGGGGGCGAGGAGGAGACTGCTAAAGGGAGGTGAATGGGCGTGTGACCCATTTTTTCTACTGTGCCATATATACATTACAATACGACATAATCTGCCATACCCTACTATTCATTCATTCTGCCCCATGCCGCATGCCCCATGCCCCGTGCCCCATGCCCATGCCCATGCCCATGCCCATGCCCATGCCCCATGCAGTGAAGATCGGTCGACCTGGTTACCGTGTTACGAAACAGTTCGACCCTGAGACGCACCAACGCTCGCTGCTCTTCCAGGTGTGTTTGCTTGCGGAGGGGTTGCGTGCCGGGCGGTGGGGGGTGAAGCCACGCCCTTGCTTCTTCTCCCCCCTTACTCACCCCCCATCCACTCCATTTTCTCCTCTTTTCTCTTCTTCACATCCCTGGCGCACAGACTGAATACCCAGAAATAGAGGACGGGTTGACACCATGCTACCGATTCATGTTCCTTGCTCACCCCCCATTTACCCGACTCTCTCCCTTCCTCCCACTCTCTTTCCTCCCTCTCCCCATGGCGCACAGATTGAATACCCAGAGATAGAGGACGGCGTGAAGCCACACCACTGCTACATACATCTCCCCCCTTCTCACCGCCTATCCACCACGCTTTCTCTCTCTTTCTCCCCTCTCCACTCGCCTCTCCCCATGGCGCACAGATTGAATACTCAGAGATAGAGGACGGGGTGAAGCCACGCCACCACTTCATGTGACCCCCCCTCCACTGCCTATCTGCTGCACTATATCTTTTTCCCCCCTCTCTCCACAACCCTCTCCCTGCAATGCAGATCGAGGACGGGGTGAAGCCACGCCACTGATTCATGTCTTCCCCCTCCACCCCGCAATCTCCCCACATTCTCCCCATCTCTCACCTCTCCCCACACCCCTCCCCCTGAGTTGCAGATTGAGTACCCAGAGATAGAGGATGGGGTGAAGCCACGCCACCGCTTCATGTCCTCCTATGAGCAGGTGAGCGTGGTGGTGGTGGTGTTGTGATGTGTGTATGTGGTGTTGATACGTGCATTGTCTGGTCTGCGGGTTTGAGAGCTTCCAATAGAGGATGGGGTGAAGCCACGGCACCGATTCATGTCCTCTTATGAGCAGGTGAGCGTGGTGGTGGTGTTGTTGAGAGGTCTGTGGTGTTGAGATGTGCTTGTTCTATGTGACTCCATAAGAATGCTCAACAGAGGACAGGGTGAAGCCTCGCCACCGATTCATGTTTCTGTATGAGCCGTTGTGTGTGTGTTTGTGAGTGTTGTGGTGTGGTGTGCCGTTATGATGTGTGGTGATGTGGTGTGTGGTGTTTTGATGTGCATGTTGTGATGTGCCTATGTGCCTTTGCTTCCCCACCTTTCCCTTTTCCCCTGTTCCCAGTACTCCTCATTTTCCTCCTCTTCTCCATGCTCCAACCCCCCTACTCCTCCCCCCCTCCCCATTCGCCATCCCCCCCATCCGCCATCCTCCTCATCCATCATCCCCCCCATCCGCCATCCCCCACAGCAATTCCCCCTCAACCTCTCCCCCTCCAGTGAATCGAGTCAAGAGACAAGAGCGTTAAACAACATCCTTTCGCCTCTTTTCCCCCTCTCTCCATCCTCCCCAATCCTCCCTCAATCCCCGCTTCATTGCAGCGAGTTGAGTCGTGGGACAAGAACTTTCAATACCTGCTGTTTGCAGCAGAGCCATACGAAATCATATCTTTCAAGGTAAGAAATTCTATCTTTGAACAGTATGATCCTATCTTCCTGGTCACAATTTCATAATTCCGAAAATACGATTTTTTTTTTTTTCTTTTTGTCAGGTACCCACAAAAACCATTGTCTCTCCCTCCTGCATGCACTCCCTCCATGTGTTCGATTCGACTGAAAATAATCTCCTTTTCTGCATCTTATGAGTTTTCTAAACTTGAGTTCTCTTCTCTTTAATCTCCCCAAGCAATCCTTCCCCCCTCTTTCCCCCTCTTCCCTCCCCTTCTCCCCTGCGCTTTTTCTTCTCACATCAGATCCCCAGTACAGAATTCGACAAGACCCCATCCAAGTTCTTCTCGCACTGGATACCAAGACATTCATTGCATGTAGCATATTCATGAAACAATGAATGATCTGTCCCAATCCTTCCTCCCCTCGTCTCTCCCACCGACAGATCCCCAGCACAGAGATCGACAAGACCCCGTCAAAGTTTTTCTGACACTGGAACTCCCCTGTGTTTCTGTTTCCATCCTCCTCCCCTTCAAAGTTCTTCTCGCACCGGAACCCACCCTTTGTTTCCTTCCTCCGCCGCTTCACCCTCCTGTTCTTCCGTCCTACCAACAGATTCCCAGCACAGAAATTGACAAGACCCCATCCAAGTTCTTTTCGCACTGGAACCCCGATACCAAGACCTTCACAGTAAGTAACACGCCAGTCTTGCTCAGTCGTTCACCACTAAGTAACCTATCACTGCATGTGCATCCCGCCTCTCCCATCTAAGTTCTTTTCGCACTGGAACCCCGATACCAAGACCTTCACAGTAAGTGACACGCCAGTCTTGCTCAGTCGTTCACCACTAAGTAACCTATCACTGCATGTGCATCCCGCCTCTCCCATCTAAGTTCTTTTCGCACTGGAACCCCGATACCAAGACCTTCACAGTAAGTAACACGCCAGTCTTGCTCAGTCGTTCACCACTAAGTAACCTATCACTGCATGTGCATCCCGCCTCTCCCATCTAAGTTCTTTTCGCACTGGAACCCCGATACCAAGACCTTCACAGTAAGTAACACGCCAGTCTTGCTCAGTCGTTCACCACTAAGTAACCTATCACTGCATGTGCATCCCGCCTCTCCCATCTAAGTTCTTTTCGCACTGGAACCCCGATACCAAGACCTTCACAGTAAGTAACACGCCAGTCTTGCTCAGTCGTTCACCACTAAGTAACCTATCACTGCATGTGCATCCCGCCTCTCCCATCTAAGTTCTTTTCGCACTGGAACCCCGATACCAAGACCTTCACAGTAAGTAACACGCCAGTCTTGCTCAGTCGTTCACCACTAAGTAACCTATCACTGCATGTGCATCCCGCCTCTCCCATCTAAGTTCTTTTTGCACTGGAACCCCGATACCAAGACCTTCACAGTAAGTAACACGCCAGTCTTGCTCAGTCGTTCACCACTAAGTAACCTATCACTGCATGTGCATCCCGCCTCTCCCATCTAAGTTCTTTTCGCACTGGAACCCCGATACCAAGACCTTCACAGTAAGTAACACGCCAGTCTTGCTCAGTCGTTCACCACTAAGTAACCTATCACTGCATGTGCATCCCGCCTCTCCCATCTAAGTTCTTTTCGCACTGGAACCCCGATACCAAGACCTTCACAGTAAGTAACACGGCAGTCTTGCTCAGTCGTTCACCACTAAGTAACCTATCACTGCATGTGCATCCCGCCTCTCCCATCTAAGTTCTTTTCGCATCGGAACCCCGATACCAAGACCTTCACAGTAAGTGACACGCCAGTAGTAGCTGAGATCTCCTTTACATGCATTGTATGGCCCTCCCTTCCAAGTTCTTCTCACACTGGAACCCCGATACCAAGACCCTCATAGTACGTAACACGTTGTTCTTGCTCAGACCCTCACAGTGAGTAACCTATCACTTCATGTGCGTGGACTCTACCTTCCCTCCTCACGTCCTGACTTTCGAGGATCCTCTCTTGGAATCACTTTTGAGAATTCTCAAAAGTGATTCCACCAACATCCGGCCAAGTGCATCCTTCTCTTCTCCCATCTCCCCCCATTGAAGCTTCAGCTATACTTCAAGCCTCGCCCAGTCACCCCTACCAACCCCAACGCACATCTCCTCCCCTCCTCTGTGTCTGTTTGCTTCTCATTCTTCCTTCTTTTCTCTGTCCCCCTCCCTCCCTTTCCCCCTCCCCTTCTCCCCCTCCCCTTCTCCCCCCGTGCAGCTTCAGCTATACTTCAAGCCCCGCCCAGTCGCCCCCACCAACCCCAACGCCCATCTCCTCCCCTCCTCCATGCCTCCCCATCCCCACCCCCCTCCTCCTCCCCTCTCCTCCCGCCCCCTCCTCCTACCCCCCCCTCCTACCCTTCCTCCATGCCCCCTCCGCCTCCTCCCCCCTCCTCCATGCCTCCCCCTCCTCCCCCAAGCGGATACGCTCCCCCCCCCCCACAAGCGGGTATGCTCCCCCTCCCCCTCCCCCACAAGGGGGGCAGTATGGGGGAGCAGGCGGGTACATGCCTCCCCCTCCCCCGCCACAGCAGCAGGGGGGAGGAGGGGGGGGAGGGGCGTATGGGGGCGCGTATGGGGGGTATCCCCCTAGCAACCAGCCACAGGGACATGGGGGGGCAGGGGGGGGAGTTGGGGGAGGGGGAGGAGGAGCTGGGGGAGCGCCAGTGTCCAGGCCCCCACCCCCACCCCAGCAGCCGCAAGGGGGAATGTATTCTGCTGTTCCCCCGCCTCCCCCTGCTGCACCTGGAGGGTACCAGCCCCCTCCCCCACCACCACCACCGACCCAGTAGACTCGCTTGAGGGGGGGGGGGGGGGGGGGGCTGATTGTAGCAGCATGGGTGGCTGGGGGCAGCGGCAGCAGCAAGGGGGGATGTATTCTGCTGTTCCCCCACCTCCCCCTGCTACACCAGGGGGGTACCAGCCCCCTCCACCACCACCACCGAACCAGTAGATTTGCTTTGAGGGGATAGGGGGCGGGTTGTAGCAGAATGGGTGGCTGGGGGCAGCAGCAGCAGCAGCAGCAGCAGCAGCAGCAGCAGCAGCAGCGAGGGGGAATGTATTCTGCTGTTCCCTGCCTCTCCCTGCTGCACCGGGAGGGTACCAGCCCCCTCCACCACCACCACCGAACTAGTAGACGTGTTTGAGATTGAGGGGGAGGGGGAGGGGGAGGGGGAGGGGGAGGAAGAGGGGGAGTGGGAGTGGAAAGGCTGAGAGCTATGGAGAACCGGAGAGGAATGCAGGGGGCCATGTGTCATGTAGTGCATCCAGTGATGAGGAGTTAGGTAGGATAGTGCTGGATTTGTCAACATGTTCATGCTGCCATCTAAAAACAACAAAACAAAAAATGGTGCACATTTGTCACTTCTAATTGTTTTTAGAAGTTTCATTCAACCAGGGATATTCTTCCCAACTACGCTAACTAGTTATTCCCGGATCAAGCTTAAAAAGGGTCCAGCTATCTCGAACCCTGGATGGCGCGCCCCCGAGCTACCTGGGTAACTGGGTTGCTGAAGTGCGATCGCTCCGATTACTTCGATAAGGTCAAGATCTCCACAACCATCCTGTGGTCAGGAAACTGGCACCTCAAAATGCTTGGTATGTGCTCAGGCGATCAAATGCGAAAGCCCATGTACTTCGTGTGGCTCGTGACGAATTTGTAACCAGAATAAGTTGTAACCGCCCAAAATGAAAAACACGTGGCCAGGAAGGGCATCATCCCGAATTGTCTGCCAGCTGCCCGTGTTCAACGTCGCGCCAACGGAGCAAGGTGTCTGCCGCAGTCCATCCGCAGGCGTAATCTGTCATCCACCGCCACCGTGCGAGTGTGGATTTGTGTGATCCGTTGGATCTTCTTTCCGTGGGTGTGTGCAAACTTTCGCTATTCAAAAATGGACGGCACTGGGCATTCGGAAGATGTCAGACAGCGGGTTACACATGCGGGAGCATCTGGGTTACGAACCCTTCGTGGATGGGGTGGGGTTTTCGTTCTTCAGCGAACCACAATCCTGAATCCTGACCTCGGGTGTCAGATCAGAACCTTGGCGTGTGGTAGGAGGAGAGCGCATCTATTTTCGGCGATTGTGCACAGAACAAAAATTTCAGCGTTTCGGGAAGGGAAAAAAATTGCGTACAGCTGTGTTCTGTACAGCTGCAAAATTCCCACTCACGCATGGATGCGACACTGTGACCACTCCCCTCTTCTGGTTTCAGCAAGCTCTTCCGGCAAAAGCCCCACCAGCACAAACCAAACCTCACAACAACCAGTTTGACGCAAACCGAATCGAACGGTCCCATACACTTTCCTGAGTTAGATCGGAAATATCCCGCTGGTCCGCTAGTTTGCTCGGTCTCCACCGTGTCTGTTCGCTCGAGCTTTCGCGCGTCGGGACTGGTGGGCACGCGGTGCGGTGCGGTCACAAATCTCAACAACATTTGAGCGTTGCACAAACAGAAAGGCGACTTCCCCATACCGTCGTTCCGTTCTGTTATGGGGCTCGTACAGCGACTTTTGATTCAGCCCCATACGTAGGAGGCAGGTGAACAGCTATTTCAAAGATTCCACCATCTGTCATACTTATGCCACTACCACTGTAGCTCGCAAATGCTCTAGCTTAGGACCACACAGCTTGCCGCGACGAGTCATAGCCGCAGCACCTTTTTTCACTCTTCGTCCATGGCGCCCATCCCCATGGCATGTGAGATGGCATTCCTCTTCACGTGTCGGATGCGCGGGACTGACGTCGCTGATAAATGGCGTCGCTCCAGCAACAACAAGAGGCAGTCCATTCCATTCCAGCGTACCGCACGGTGTATCGTCTTTCCAAGTTGGGGGACAGTTGCGGGGCCTGTTTTACAAGGTGTCTTTATTCCTGGCGCAGCACTCCAGGGTTGAGCAGAGCATTGCTCCTACCGAGGAGTTGGGTATTTTGAAACTAGCAAAGCTTACGCCGCGTGACAGGTGTTTCAGCCACCTGACGGTCCATTCACACCTTGTGACCGACAGAAAACGCCGGTCCCGGAAACATACGTCGCAGAGCGGTCCTCTTCTTTATGACGTGGCTGGTTTCTCTGCCGCGCAGCCTCTCTACGTGAGGTACTGAATTGATCCAACGGACGGCCGTCTCCCACTGACCTAAAGACCGTTTTTCGGGGACCCCATTTCAGTGTCAGCCGCTTCTGCTTTCGTCCCGTCTCAACATTTCCGCGGGAAATCTCTTTCTTTCGTGACGGTCGCAATCTCTGCGATATCCTCGATTTCCGTCGTCTCGCGCCATTTCGAGATTGGATGACTCCCTGCGCGACGCAAGGCGCGGCGCTCAACGTCTCCGAATCCGCCATGGCTGCCGCCGCATTTGGCGCAACCGCCTGCGAAAGCTTCGATTACCAGAAATCTGGTTACCACGAAAGAGGCGATCTCGCGACACCGAATTTCGTCATTCCTCGTCACGTGCCGACTCTCGCGCCGGCTCCTTCGCTCGAAAAGCAGATCCACCGCCGCAAAATGCGCTCGACTGCTGCTACTACCTCCGCCTCCCCCGCCGCCTCCGCCGCCAACGCCGCCGCCGCCGCCGCTGCCGCTGCCGCCGCTTCAGGCGCATCCACCGCCGACGGAGCCGCGGCGGAGAGAAACATGAAGAATGCGATCGGGCGCACTCACAACGGCGCGGCCGCTTTTGATACGAGGGGAGACGCGGCGAACCGGGCGCACCTTTCTGAGATGATTCGCGAATACAATACGCGCAAAAGCGGCGCGCCAGCTTTTGAGACGTCTCAAAAGTCGAACCGGGCGCATTACAGCCTTTCTGAGATGATTCGCGAACACAATACGCGCCTATACGGCGTGCCGGTCTTTGAGGCGCCTCAAAAGATGAGGCGCGAATATCATACGCGCCAAAGCGGCGGCGCCGCGCCGGCCTTGACGATAAACGGACGGAGACGGCCGTCTCTGTCCGTCAACCCGCATGCTGCGCCGCCAGCCGCCTCCGTCAGTTCGAGCCGTCCGGGCAGCCGGCTGACGCGGCGCGGGTCCGCGGACGTAGCGCTGCTGTGCGGCTCGAAAGGCGGAAGCGTCGAGTATGGCGGCGATGGTTATGGCGGAAGATATCTACCTACCAGTACTCGAACAACGAGAAGCTTTTCACCTTGGGATTCCGAACTCGACGAGACAGCAAGCTCAAAGTGTGAAAAAACTCCCGAGGATTGCGCCGCGATCTGCTTGAACATGGAAGGTAAGAGCCTGACTTTTTATCGAGCCTGGCTGCTTTTGAGGCTGCTTTTGAACATGGAAAGTACGAGTCTGGCTTGCATATAGCTCGAATTTCTGGGCCTAGGCACTTATTACTTTCCACGTCTAACGTTCCTTTTTTTCCGTTCCCTTCCCTTGCATTCAATCCCAACACAGACGTGGAAGGAATGGCAGCACACAAGGACCTGAGCAGGATACTCATCAGCAGCATCGACATTGTTTCGGTCCCGGAGTCTCTCCTTCCCAGCACTCCTCCTCCTGCTGCAACCACTCCCGGGACCACAGCTACAGTTACAGCTACAGGTTCTGCTACAGCTACTGCTACATCTGCTGCAACAGCTGCTACATCCCCTGCTGCTGCTGCTGCTGAATACGTTCTGTGGGGCGTTCAATTCACTGACAGCCCTACCTGGGTTTTCCGCTCTCCCGACGGGCCGTTCCCTGCGCTACACTCGCCTGCTACAGCCGCCAGAAATGGGTGGCAGGCTGCTACAGCCAGTGCTACAGGCCATGCTGCGGGAAATGCTACATTCATTGACCAAACCAGCAGGAGGAGCGCAAGTCGCCGTTCCCCTCTTTCTCCTCACTCTCCTCCGCCTCAGTTTCATCCCTCTCACTCTCCTCCCCCTCACTCTCCTTCCCTTCACTCTCCTCATTCTCAGCCCGCGTCACCACATAAGCTCGCCTCCACGTCAGCTGCATGGAAGAGGCCTACAAGCCGGTTGTCACCCACTGGTGGGGGTGTACGTCCGTTAGTTCCCCGTTCAAGCAGCATTCCTGAGTTGAGCACGTATACTGCTGCTGCCGCTACTCCTGCTTCTGCAGCCGCTACTCCTGCTGCCACTGCTGCAGTTGCAGCTCATTCTGCTGCTCCTTCTGCTGCTCGTGCTGCTGCTGTAGCTGCCACTTGCGCCGGTGCTGTCTCTGCTGCTTCTACCCCACCACCTGCCATTTTTGCCGCAACTACAGTACCCTCCACTGCTACTGCAGGGAGCCTCAGTGGGGCTTTAATGCGCCAACATTCAACGGCCCATATTCTCTCGTCAGCGGCTGAGATTCATCCACTACAGGTTGACATTCTACCCATCAGCAGCAATAAGCAGCAAATGCATATTCGCCCGGTCCACCATAGACGAAGGTCACTGTCTGATATCCCTTCCTCTGCCGATTCTTCTGCCTTCTCCTCCCCCTTCGCTTCCCTCTCCCCTTCCTCTGCTGCTACTAACTCTCCCTCCTCTGTCTTCTCGCCTCGCTTTTCGCGGTTTGAGCCGTCTCAGAAACATTCACCTGATAATTCACCTGCTGATACCAGCCCAGTCATTAGGGCGATCTGCAGGCCCAGTATCATCTCTGAGGAGGTTTCAGGTGTTCAGTCAGGTATTTTGACCACAGCAGCGGGCTCGGAGGCAGGTTCGGGTGGTTCATCCAGCTTCGGTGTCTGGGTGTGTGGGTCAACTAGGCCTACGTTTGCAGACGCTCTCGCTGCTTCTCGTTTGAGTGCTGGGATCAGGCCATCACCAACAGAGAGCAACGCAAGTAAGGATACACTGGGGACCCAACTGAAGCAGGAGGATTCAGCAATATTGAATGAAGGTATCAAGCAGATTGGGTCCAATTATCAGGTGGATTTGGAGCAAATGCCTAAGTACATGACAGATGACGAGCTTAGCCACTTCATATTCAATGTGTGAGTTATGATTTGAGAAATAGCTGCTTTCAATCAAGGTTACGATTTCACAAACTTGATCGACGATATCAAGCGGATTGGGTTGACTTATCAGGTGGATCTGGAACAAATGCCCAAGTGCATGACAGCTTAGTTAAAGCCCGAGTTTCACATGGCAGAAAACCAACTTTCCTGAACATGAAACAGGGTTAGCGAGAGGGAGCAAAAACCTTTTTCGTTGAACCAACCCTGGCGAACCACTATCAGAGCCGCGAAATCAAAAAACACCTCGCCACACTCAGATTGGCCTGCTTCCCCCAGGGATGACCACCATTACATGAAAACACTAAGGCGACCATTCTGTCGCCTCGAATGGTTTAGGTTCGCAGCCAATCAGCATCACCAAAAAAGAATACTCGCATCGCATCCAAACAGCGAGGGGGTATATAGGGAAAAGGGGGGGTTACAGTCCGGTGAAGTGTAGACTTGAACCACCAAAGCGAGTGGTAGGTAGACATTTGACACCAGCCTCAATAGCAACCTGAAACACGTACAAGCTTGCCAAACGTGCTCGATGACGGCGTCAAAGCAGAGCACGACTACCAACCTTGCTTGATATTAGGCAGGTCACAGCACGAAAATTTGTCGCGACGCGCTGGCACTAGGACGCCGCGTCGCAGGAGATGTCAACAGCGAAACGCGACGTTCAGGGCCTGAATGTGAGGAGCACGATTTGCCTAGAGGAGTAGTTGCGTTCCACGGAGCATTGTAGGGGTAAGCGGGAGAGGACAACTTCATTTCGGGAGGGTCCAAACTATACGTAGACAATAGGAAAGGTGGGGCGAACCTTTACAACCTGAGGGTGTAACATCTACGGCCGGATCTGCGACAGTAACCTTCGACAGGGCGACCACGGGAATGCGCGCGGGAAAGGCCTAGACCGTGGCCGGCAGGGAGACAGACGAGAGGTGAACGGAATTCAAGGCCAACGTCCTGCAAAACATTTTATACATCGGCACCCAACTGTAAGAGATGATAAACACAATCTTGAGCACCGGTTGTACAGTTGACTCACTCAAGCTGTAGTTTCAGTGGATGTCGGCGGCATGCAGAGCCGTCAACAGCCTGCTATAGTCGAGCGTGTTGTCTCCCTCTGTCGACGCAACTGTCAGAGCCACGGCTCCAACCTGAGGTTTGTCTCGACTGCCCTCCAAGTCACAGCGTGCGGCGTCACTGCTGTCCAAGTCACAGCGTGCGGCGTCACTGCTGTCCAAGTCACAGCGTGCGGCGTCACTGCTGTCCAAGTCACAGCGTGCGGGACCACTACTGCTTGTGTCACAGCAGTAGGTCACTGCGAAGCATGTCACTGCGAGCGGTGTCACTGCTGCTTATGTCACACCTCACTGCTGCTACTACTAACAATTCACAAATGTGAAGTCTACTTCCACTCTGTCACCGCATCTCATCACTGCTTTCTATGCCATGCTCACTCCTGCCCATGTCACAGCATCATGTCCCTGAGGCTCATATCAACGCATGTAGTGTTTACCACTGGCGTCACAACATGAGTTGATATTGCTGCCATGTCAAAGCATAAGGTCAATGGTTGGCACCTGTCACGCAATCTCATCAATTCTTTCTAATCCTTGAGCATGTGCTCTCTCCTGCTCCTGTCACAGCTTCAATTAACTGCTGCTCATGTCACAGCTTCATATAACTGCTACTGGTGTCACATGATATTGGGTCTGCTGCTGGCGTCACAGCATGGGGCAACACCATGTCACAGCATAATGTCTCAGCTCTTGATGCTCATCTTACAGCATATGTCCGCCAACTACACGCATCATAGCGTGCAGTGTCACTTCTGCAAATGTCACAGCATGGCAGGGTTGCTGCTGCTCATGTCAAAGCATGTAGTGTCTGCGAGGGGCGTCACAACATGAACCGACATTGCTGCCACGTCACAGCATAGGGTCACAGCTCTGCAGTTCATAGCACCATACCACTGCTCTGTTATGTCACAGCATAAGCTCACTCTTTCAGATGTCACAGCATCACATCACTCTACTCATGTCACAGTATGTAGTGCCTGCTGCTGGCGTCAATGAAATTAGGCAACAAAGCTGCTGTCTCACAACATAAGATCAATTGGCGCTGTCCCTAGCATCTTATAACTGCTTACTCTTGTCACCACAAGTGCGCACTCCTCCTCGTGTCACAGCAGAGCATATCACGTGTCATGTAGTGTCTACTGCTGGCGTCGCAACGTGACACATAATGTCTTTGCTGTTTATGTCACACCATCTCAACGCTGCTTATTTTGTTTGACCATGTTCGCATTCCTGCACGTGTCACGACATCATATAACTGCTGCTCATGTCCAAGCTTGCAAGGTCTATTGGCGGCGTCACAACATGAGCCGACACTGCTGCCATATCAAAGCATAATGTCACTGTTGTTTCCTGTCATAGTATTTCAACAATGCTTTCTAAACCTACCTGTCACAGCATCATATAGCTGCTGCTCATGTCACAGCATCATATAGCTGCTGCTCATGTCACAGCATCATATAGCTGCTGCTCATGTCACAGCATCATATAGCCACGCTGCTCATGTCACGGCATCATATAGCTGCTGCTCCTGTCACATCATGGAATAGCTGCTGCTCATGTCACAGCATCATATAGCTGCTGCTCATGTCACAGCATCATATAGCTGCTGCTCATGTCACAGCATCATATAGCTGCTGCTCGTGTCATAGCATCATATAGCCACGCTGCTCATGTCACAGCATCATATAGCTGCTGCTCATGTCACAGCATCATATAGCTGCTGCTCATGTCACAGCATCATATAGCTGCTGCTCATGTCACAGCATCATATAGCCACGCTGCTCATGTCACAGCATCATACAGCTGCTGCTCCTGTCACATCATCATATAGCTGCTGCTCGTGTCACGGCATCATATAGCTACTGCTCCTGTCACATCATCATATAGCTGCTGCTCCTGTCACATCATCATATAGCTGCTGCTCGTGTCACAGCATCATATAGCCACGCTGCTCATGTCACAGCATCATATAGCTGCTGCTCATGTCACAGCATCATATAGCTGCTGCTCATGTCACAGCATCATATAGCTGCTGCTCATGTCACAGCATCATATAGCTGCTGCTCATGTCACAGCATCATATAGCTGCTGCTCATGTCACAGCAGGAGACTGCTGCTGGTGTCACATGATGTAGGTTATTCTGCTGGGGTCATAGCATGAGGCTACACTGTTGCCTCGTCACAACATATGTCTCTTCTGCTTATGCCACAAAATCGGATTACTGCTCTAGGCTCTCTCCTGCTCATGTCACAGCATCACACCACTGCTGTCCTTGTCACATTACGTGCTCACTACTACTCGTGTCGTCACCATGTGCTCATTGCTGCTTTTGTCACAGCTCGTGGTTCTGCCATTGATGTCTCGGCAATAGCATGCAGATGCTCGTTTCAAAGTGTGTGCCACTGCTCCGCATATCACGGCATGTGCCCACTTCTTCCCTGTGTCCCTCTGTTGCCCATAATGACATTGCCTCCCATCATGGTGGTGCAGTTTGCTACTCATGGCTCCCGTGACAAGTGCAGGGTTACATGCGGCAACGCAAGCATGCAAAGATGCAACGACGGGAAGCGTGAACATATCGCGGCACATGCGACCGTTACTGTGCGTGTTACGCGCGGGGTTGTCCGCCTTGTTTGCTGGCGAGAGGGGGGCGATGCCAGACGACGTGAGACACTTCTTAGCGGAGGCAGCACCTGAGGCTACGTCACGGCTCATCAGGGCTGGCCTAGCCACCGGTGAGTTGGGTTATTGATGGAATGTCACATGCATGCGAGGAACTAGCGCACAGTTGGCGACTTATGAAGTGTCCGCAGTTGGGCTCTTGAAAAGTGTGGGCGCATTCTTTGCGCGCGCACCTTGGTCCACGGTGGGGAAGCGTGGGCGACGGTGGGGAAAAGCGTTGGCGACGGTGGGGAAACGCGTTGGCGACGGTGGGGAAACGCGTTGGCGACGGTGGGGAAACGCGTTGGCGACGGTGGGGAAACGCGTTGGCGACGGTGGGGAAAAGCGTTGGCGACGGTGGAGGAAAAGCGTTGGCGACGGTGGGGGGAAGCGTGGGCGACGGGGAGGAAGCGTGGGCCACGGTGAGAGGAAGCGTGGGCGATTGTAAGAGGAAGCGTGGGCGACGGTTAGAGGAAGCGTGGGCGACGGTAACAGATTAGCGTCGGTGACGGTGGGGCTGAAGCGGGGGTGACGGTCGGAAGAAGCGTGGGCGATGAGCGTGCGTGAATGTGGGGGAAGGCGTGCGCGATGGTGTGGGGAACAGTGGGTGCACCCACGGAGCAGGAGGCAGCGACGGTAAAGGGGAAGCGTGAACGAAGGTGAGGGAAAGGGTGGGGGGAAGCGTGTGCGTGTGCGTAGGGTACGCAGAAGGCGATAGGGCCGAATGTGATGTTTGCGGAGGGCGATGCAAGGGCGACCGTGATAGGAAACGCGATACACAGTCGCGTTGCTGTCATACCGATAAGCTACGACTAGAAAATATATCGGAGTGTCTATATTGGCCGAGAGATTGACGGCGGAGGCGGAAGGCTGGGGATACTGTCGCGACGCGCGAGTGTGTGCTTCTTTCTACGTCGGAGAATACTTGTCGCTGCAACGACACTAGGGGAGAACGTGGCGGTTGCGTTAGAGGAAACATAGTTGCAGCGGCTCGGTTGCTTGCCAGGTCGACAAAGGGCACAGATTCGTGTCTTTGAACTGAGCGTTTAGACCGAAGATTGCCCGTATGTGACGGGAGAACGACTACTACGTGCCTCATAATATGCGTGTCCAAGCGTTCCCGATGGTTTTCAAGCAGGCCCTCAGAAGTCAGACTTTTTTCTCTGATTTGGACTTTTTTCAGTTTTTTTTTCCTGTGTACTCTGATAAAATCAGACTTTTTTGGGCCTCAACTCTGTAATTTTCAGACTTTTTTTAAGGCTAACTCTGAGAGTTCAGAGTTTTCTGAGAGTGTACTCTGATCATTCAGAGTACAAACGCGTCCTTGACTGGTGATTCGGACTTACGGGTCACAGCAGATTCGAATTGTCAACGCAAAATCGCCTTGACACAGCAAATCCGAGTCTTACAGCACTAGATTTTCGGACAATCATAGGAAAATCGCTCTGACACAACAGATTTGCGCTGTCAGAGTACAACAATCTTCGCCCAATCACAGCAAAATCGCCCTGAGATTGCAGATTCGCCCATTCGCACCACAAGATTCGCCCTGACACATATATTCGCCCTGTCAGAGCATGTTTTGATAGCAAATGATTGAAACATTGAAAACACTTCCGATGAAACATTGAATACATTGATTTTGAATGATCAGACTTTTGTTTTAAGGCACTCTGAAATTTCAACCTTTATTCTTTAGCAGGTCTGAGATTTTCAGACTAAAACTGTGTACTAGTCTGACGAATCAGACAGGCCAAAAACGAATCTGAGGGACTGTTTTCAAGTTTACTCAAGGTGAACAGTGCTTTCCTCTGAGGAGTTTTCCCTGCTGGTTGTTCTAGGTTATCGCTGGCCAATCACGGATCACCTCTGCTGCTTGAAACCGACGGATTGTTCAGAACCAGCTGGTAACATGGTTATTCACGAAATCAACTTCAAGAATCTTGAATTTGAAAAATGCCATGTGGAACTCGGGTTTTAATACACCACATGAGAATGAAACACCACATGATCTCATGAATATTGTGCTCAGATAATCTGCTCCCATCTGAGTTTTTGGTATCCACAACAATAAGCATCTTCCGCATGAGAGCAACACAAGAAAGCTTGACAACCTATGGCTTTACTCTGCTTTGAAGAAGGGACGCTTGACTCTGCAAGAACGCATCTGCTGATGCTCCGACGGTACTCCTGCTTCAGCTTGTGCTGTTACAGTGATCCAAACAATAGTCATACATGGTTGAAGCGTGGATAAGTGCATGCATCAGCACATACTATACCCAAAACTAGCCACTATCGAGCAGCGATAGCGCCTCAGTAAAAAGAAAAAACGTGTGGGAGGGGGCAGAAAGTAAGATTATGCTCTCCCTCTCGCCCTATCATGTTATTCCGTCCTAAGCATTAGCGTCCTATGTACTAGCACCCTCGCTATAGTGTCGTTTCCATAACGTCTCCATCACTGCACCCCGTTACAGTGTCATTGTCCCGCATAGAGTCACCTCTCGCAGCCGTACTGTAGCTGATAACCTCCTCCTCAGAAGGTATATACACCGGAGTTTGACTTGATAATCTCACAACAGAGCTAACAGCTAGTGACCCTTGTAACGATTTCAGCACCACGGCTTCGTACTGGCTGGTAACCAGTTTCGACCACCGCTCGGCAACGCTCGCTTTTCGGCTTTGGGTGTCGTGGGTGGTGGTGGTAACGGTGAAAACAACATCGTAGCTGAAACTTTGGGAGTTGTAACCAGAGGAGATGTGACCGCTGGAGGCGTGTTTTTCGGCTGCATTGACGATTTCTAAGTGCACAGCCGCGTCCTGATGGCGGGAAACGGAAGGGGAGATCAGACGGATGGCAGAGAAAGAAAATGGACAGAATGATAAGGATAGAAAATGGTAGGGCGGATTTCGAGAGAAGGTGGAAGGTAGTAGCGACATGTATTGTACAGACCAGCAGAGAAATGAACAGGAGAGGAAGATGGGAAGGGTGGTGAGGGAGGGAGCGAGGGAGGGAGGGAGGGGAGGAAGAAGGAACGGAGAGACAGGATGGAACATGTCTGCGACAGCAACCTATAAGAGTACGCTCCGACTCTACGCATCTAGCAACTCGGCTTGCTACAATGTTCGGAGGCAATCCTATCTGGGGAGGCTCACCATCTTGGCATTCATGTCCGCGACCACGAATTCTGCTATCTGTGCCACCTCAGCACTTCGTGGGTCCACAATGACGTAGCCTCCAGGCAGCAACACTCCTGTATGTTCCGGAAGCGATACTGTAGACGCTAGCGGCAGAGTAGTCTGCATTCGTGTTTGGTCTGGAAACGACACCGTGGATTGCGCCTCGGAGAGGCTACAGGTCAGTAACGTTGTCGTGGCTACGAGTAGAGAGAAGGCCCGAGGAAGTGCCATGGTGCGATGACGATCGGCAAGATACCGTAGTCTACAGACGATAGAGACGTCTTAGTTGTTAGCAAAAGCTCAGCCAGACAGGAATCTCAACGTAGGCTGACAGTTCAGGAATCAGCGACTTCAGAGCGTCAACGGAGCATGCAGGACAGTAGTCTCTGACTAGAACTACTTGCTTCAAGGTATACTATACGTCGTCTTGGCACAGACAATACTATCGTATGTGCAGTTCGCTGAACCTAGTAATGCGGCGGAGGGAGTGTCAACTGAGCGAGAAAAACGGAAAAAGTTCTGAGCCGAAATACACGGAGTAGGGCACAGGAACATGACGGGGCGTCGACGAATGACAAGCCACCACCACACCACTACGCTATGAAAGTGAGGAAAGGAATAAACCATGCGAATGAAAGTTGGAAGCGACAGACTAGACTACCATTCCAGCAAGCCTCAGCCCAGCTGGAGCTAGAAAATTATGCTTCAGCATCAAGTTTCTACCAGTTACCGTTCTTGACCGTTGGTAAAATCTTACAAACGTCTGGCACCTACTTAAATGACCGTATTTGAAGCATCTTTCAACAGCAGTATCCCTATCGTACCAATCCCATCCCATCCATCCATGTCTCGCTGGAGTCCTTTCCGGGCGGGCTGGAGGAATATTTTCCGGCGACCCGACTTCCAGAAGTGACCGAGTGCCAGGCTGATGCTGACGAGGCCCACGTCAGTAAACGCCCAACCACAACCGGTATGCCGGGCAGCGACAACTTTTCTTTCTCTAGGTGACGTTTGTCAGACACGGTGGTTATGGTGAGAAATACATCATGAGACTATGGCGCGCTACCTCCGGAGTTTTCGGTTGCCCCAATGCTACAGTAGTATCGAATAAAACATTTACACGTGCTGGCGGCGACGAGGCCGACTTATTGGTTCTGCTTCCGTATACGGGCCGCGAGTTGAGCAGTTTGGGCCGCTGATTTGGGATTCCACCATGCGGAATATGCGCACAAATTCGCTCGCTCGCCTGCGATGGTATAGGCGACGGCCTTGCGATTGCTGTCACAGTCGTTTCCAATCAATCGGCCTACAACACCAACCAGCCAATAAACGGATCGCAATGTCACTGAACGTATCCCCGTCATAACCTCGGCACATTGCTTTGTCACCTCACGATTTGCGACAAAGAATCACCACTGCCGACTGAATTCTCTCACTCGTTGGATTATTGGGATCAAGTTTCTGTTGATACTATGCTCCCCGTTGAGTCACAATCTTTTTCCAACATACGGTACTGCATATTTCTGAACAAAATCATGCAACGCTTAGGGGAACCATACAATCCACACCTATGCTTCTAACATAAATAGCAAAGTCACCGCAAGCACATACATTGTCACGCCCTTTGAGCCAGCAGAGCTTCTGCGGCTCTTCTACCTGAAGCCAACGCTCCATCGAATGTAGGGGAGCTCTTGTGATCCCCACACACATACACTCCCTCCCTTCCTCCCACTTCCACTTCCCCAGAAAAGTCAGTGGGAGGCCTTTGCCCCGGTTGAGCAAACGGAATTCTGTACACCCGAAGCAACTTCCAAGCCTCCACTTCCTCCTTCCCGAACCACCCCGACAGCTCCGTACGCACCCGAGCCTCGAGTTCAGCTTCGGTCCGGCCCTCATAGGCACCAACAAGGGACACCGAAACCAGTGTCTTGCCGGGGGGAGCATAAGAAGGAGACACTACACTGGGGAAGCAGAGATTGTTGACAATGCCGCTACCGGAGCCGTTTAAAAAGAGGATGGGCTCAGCGACAGGGGGAGGGGAGTCTGACGCAAAGTAGAGACACACGGTGCTCCGGGGCTCTTGAGTGGCCGTAGGAGAAGTGCTGCAGCTGGGAGCAGTGTTTTCAGAGCTATCGGCTGTGTCACTGCTGCTGCTGCTGCTGCTGCTGCTGCTGCTGGTGCCAGTACCTTCCTCCCCTAGAAGCAACCTCTGAGCCACTGGTTGCTCCACTGCCACTATGACCCCTCCCTTGGCCAAAATCCTCTTCCCATCCTGCATCGTCAGCAGGCTCGGCACGCCCGAACCAGCTCCCGAACACTTGCTATCGGCTTCGTCAGTGGGAGCAGCAGGGGAAGGAGACGGGGGAGTTGAGGCGGATGGAGTCGGAGGGGAGGCGAGAGGTGAGGTGAGAGGCGAGGGCTCCGATGCCGGATGAGGGGAGGGTGTTGGGTGCGAGGGCGAGCATGCGAAGCACAAACTCCATTAGCCTGCAGGGGAGGGAAGGGGGAAAGAGGGAGGGCGGAGAGTGAGGGAGAAGGGAGGGGGAAGACAGAGAGGGAACATGTCTGTGAGAAAACAGGTTGAAAAGAGGGGAGATGGAGAAGACATGGGAGTTGAGGCGAATGGAGTTGGAGGGGAGGCGAGAAGCGAGATGGTTAGTGGAGGAGTAGGTGTGGGGAAGGTGGGAGGCGTGTGGAGTGAAAAAGTCAGGTGAGGGTGTGAGGCAAGGGCTTGCGTGCTGGATGTGGGGAGGGCATTGGGTGCGCTGACAAATTGATGTGCAGACAAAGTGATTAAACTACTCATCTTCCTCAGAAGACAGATTTATCCTAGAAGAGCTGACATGGATGAAAGAACAAACCTAGACAAAGTGGTGGTGAGCTCGTTGTCAAAGAAGAGCCCTCCGAGAAGAAGGCCACGCGTGCGAATATGTTTTCGAAAAGAGCAGGAGGGAGGACTGATGAATCTTCACCCGTTGAAAGAGCATACCTAGATGAAGTGGTGAGGTCGTTGTCAAAGAAGATCCCTCCGAGGAAGGGCCGGAAGAAGCGGTCAATCATCTGGCATGGGATGGGCGAATGAGTGGGAGGGAAGAGGCAGAGGTCAAACAAGGGGGCAGAGGGATGGAGTATGCGCTGTGAAGAGTTGGTGTGTTGGTTTGAAATGCTGAGGTCGTTGTCGAAAAAGACTCCTCCGAGGAAGGGACGGAAGAAGCGGTCAACCATCTGGCATGGGAGAATGAGTGGGAGGGAAGAGGGAAACGGGAGAGAGGAGATATGAGGGCAGGGGCGCAAGGCACAGAGGTAGCGCTCGGAAGAGGGTGCGGGAGTGTCGGGTGAAAGTGGTGAGGTCGTTGTCAAAGGAGATCCCCGTTGAACGCTAAATCCTAAGATCCCCGAACAGCTTCACGAGGTGACTAGAGCCAAAGGAGATACCAGCCAAGTTGGCATGAGTTGGAAAAGAAGCACGTACCTCGTTGGAGAACCCTTGGCACTTCAGTGCTTCCTCGATGCTGCTCTCCAGTGCTGAGAGAATGCTGTCCACGGGCGTGGAGATGGTTTTAAGGCGCATGCCCACTCCCAGCTTTCATGTGGTGAGTGGAGAGTCAAGACAGCGCATTATAAGTCGAAAGAAGCACATACCTCATTGGAGAACCCTTGCTTCTTGAGTGCCTCCTCAATGCTGCTCTCTGGCGCTGAGAGGATTCCTTCCACCGGAGTGGACAGCGCATTCACGTAGTGAGTAATTAGAGTAAAGCTGAAAACGGCATACCTCAAGCCAAGTTGCTACACGGGCGTGGAGACGGCTTCTTGATGTGGGCAGTGTCAAGCCAAGTTGCTACGGGTCAATGGCAACATTTACCTCATTGGAGAACCCTTTCTTCTTCAAAGCCTCCTCGATGCTGCTCTCCGGCGCCGAGAGAATGCCCTCAACAGGTGTGGTCACAGTCTTCAGGCGCAGCAGTCCCACGCGCAGTTTGTCAAAAAAGGAACCGATGGGGTTGAAGAGGGAAGAGAGGCCATCGGAGGTGTGGCGGAAGGGGTCTGCCACCCTGGGAGGGGGAGACAAGGGGGGAGTGGAATGGGAGGGAGAACGGAGCAGGGAGAACAGCCTTGAGGCGCAGCAGCCCCACGCGCAGCTTATCAAAGACAGAACCGATGGGGTTGAAGAGAGAGGCCAGGCCGTCCGAGGTGTGACGGAAGGGGTCTGCCACCCTGGGAGGGGGAGACAAGCGGGGATGGGGGGAGTGGAATGGGGAGTGGAATGGGGAGTGGAATGGGGAGTGGAATGGGGAGTGGAATGGGGAGTGGAATGGGGAGTGGAATGGGGAATGGTAGTGAGAAGTGAGCAGGGAGCACAATTATGAGGCGCAGCAGCCCCACGTGCAGTTTGTCAAAGACAGAGCCGATGGGGTTGAAGAGCGAGGCAAGGCCGTCTGAGGTGTGGCAGAAGGGGTCTGCCACCCTGGGAGGATGGGAGGGAAGGAAGGGAGAAGGGATATCAAAGGTAACAGGGAGCAGGGACAGGCTGTGAGGAGTGGAGAGATGGTTTTGAGGCGCAGCAGCCCCACACGCAGTTTGTCAAAGACAGAGCCAATGGGGTTGAAGAGAGAGGCGAGGCCGTCAGAGGTGTGGCGGAAGGGGTCTGCCACCCTGGGATGAGGGGGAGTGCACGGAAAGAGAGAGTGGAATGGGAGGGAGAACGGAGCAGGGAGCACAGCTTTGAGGCGCAGCAGGCAGCCGCACACGCAGTTGATCAAAGACAGAGCTGATGGGGTTGAGGAGCTAGGAGAGGCTGTCTGAGGTGTGGTGGAAGGGGTCTGCCACCCTGGGAGAGAGAAAGGCAAGCCTGCCTGTTAGCCTCAACAAGCCTCACCTGTGGAAAGAGCCGCCAAACCACACGAGAGCGCCCGAGTAGAAAGGCCGCAGGTCCAGCGCCTCGTAGTCCATCACCTGCTGTGCCTCGGGGTAGGCTGGAAGAGGGGAGAGGGAGTGGGTGTGGAGGGGGGAGGATTGACGGTGTAAGTGATGGGAGGAGGAGCAGGAGCTGGGGTGGTTGAGTAGAAGGGCTTGAGGTCCAATGCCTCGTAGTCCATCACCTGCTGTGCCTCGGGGTAGGCTGGGAGGGAGGGAAGGGATGGAAGGGGACGAGGGGGAAGCAAGGGGGTGAAAAGGGGAACAGGGTGGGACAACAGGAGCGTCTGAGTAGAAGGGCCTTGCAGTCCATCACCTGCTGTGCCTCGGGGTAGGCTGGGAGGGGCGGGGGAGATGAAGGGGTTGGGAGATTCGAAAGAAGGATGGGAGAGGGAAAAGTGGTGAGGGGAGGAACGTGGTGGGAAAAACGGTTTGATATATAACGCACCCATGCTTGAGGAGGTAATCTCGCCCCGAGAAGAAGATCTGGAAGCCTCTGTTGAGCAGGAACCCGTCGACTTGGTCAGTGCGCACCCGGCCTCCCACACGCCAGAGAGGCTCACTCGAGCCCCTGCCCCTACCTGAGAGGAAGATCTGGAAGCCTCTATCTAGTAGGAACCCGTCCACTTGGTCAGTGCGCACGCGGCCCCCCACCCCGTCTGACGCCTCCTCCAGCACCACACACGCTAATTCTTGTGGTGCGGCTGTCACCCAGACCAAAGACCACAGAGAGTCTCACCTGAGCCCCACTCTTCTCCGTCGTACGTACCTGAGAGGAAGATCTGGAAGCCGCGGTCGAGCAGGAAGCCATCAACCTCATCAGTGCGCACGCGCCCCCCCACCCCGTCTGACGCCCCTCCTGCTACTGCCGCCCGAATCAGACCCTATAGAGCGCCTCACCTGAGCCCAGTGGCTCGTACCTGAGAGGAAGATCTGGAAGCCTCTGTCAAGCAGGAACCCATCAACTTGGTCAGTGCGCACACGCCCCCCCACTCCGTCGGACGCCTCCAGCACCACACACGCTGATGGTGCTGATGGTGGTGCTGCTGTTGCTGCTGTCACCCTGACCAGACACCAGAGAGCGTCTCACCTGAGAGGAAGATCTGGAAGCCTCTATCCAGCAAGAAGCCACCCACTTCATCGGTGTGCACGTGCTGCGCCCTCCCACCCCGTCTGAACTGAGGCTGCATGCGCGCCCGTCTCAGGTGTGCGTATGAAACCAAGTGCCCCTACCTGAGAGGAAGATCTGGAAGCCACGGTCGAGCAGGAACCCGTCCACTTGGTCGGTGCGCACGCGCCCTCCCACGCCGTCTGACGCCTCCAGCACCACACAGGGCACGCCCGCCTCCTGCAGAGCCACTGCTGCCCGCAGCCCCGCCAGCCCTGCTCCAATGATCACCACGTCCAGCTCCTCGGGGGGCTCTGTGAGGGAAAGAGAGAGAGTGAGGAGAGGGAGAGCAGCGAAGTGAGAGGGAGAGAGGAAGTGTAAGGGTCAACGCCTCCAGCACCACAAACGCCACCCCCCCCTCCTGCAGAGCCACTGCTGCTCGCAGCCCCGCCAGCCCTGCTCCAATGATCACCACGTCCAGCTCCTCGGGGGGCTCTGTGAGGGAAAGAGAGAGAGTGAGGAGAGGGAGAGCAGCGAAGTGAGAGGGAGAGAGGAAGTGTAAGGGTCAACGCCTCCAGCACCACAAACGCCACCCCCCCCTCCTGCAGAGCCACTGCTGCTCGCAGCCCCGCCAGCCCTGCTCCAATGATCACCACGTCCAGCTCCTCGGGGGGCTCTGGGAGGGAAAGAGTGAGAGTGAGAGGCAGAGAACAGGGTCAACGTTCCCAGCACCACACACGCCAACCCCACATCCTGCAGTGCCACTGCTGCTCGCAGCCCTGCTAGCCCTGCTCCAACGACCACCACATCCAGCTCCTCGGGGGGCTCTGTTGGTGTGGAATGGTAGGAGAAGGAAAGTGAGAAGAAGTCAATGAGTGCAAGGATTAACGCCCATCTGAAGCCTCCAGCACCACACATTTGAGGCGCCTCAAAAGTCACCACACACGGCACCCCCGCCTTCTGCAGAGCCACTGCTGCTCGCAACCCCGCCAGCCCTGCTCCAATCACCACCACATCCAGCTACTCGGGAGGCTCTGTGGGTGTGGAGTGCGGAGGGAACGGAGAGGAAAAGTGTGAGAAGGAATGAACGAGGGAGGGAAAAGTTGAGCGCCCGTCTGTTGCCTCCAGCAGCACCACACAGGGCACGCCCGCATCCTGTAGCGCTAGTGCTGCTGGCAGCCCTGCCAGCCCCGCTCCGACTATCACCACGTCCAGATCCTCGGGGGTCTCTGAGGGTGTGCAATGGAGAGGGAAAGTGAGAGGATTAACGCCCGCCCGTCTCCCGTTTCCTGCAGAGCCACTGCTGCTCACAGCCCCGCCAGCCCTGCTCCAATCACCACCACGTCCAGCTCCTCGGGGGGCTCTGTGCGTGTGGAACAGGGAAGGTGAAAGGATCAACGCCCGTCCCCCGCTTCCTGCAGAGCCACTGCTTCGCAGCCACGCCAGCCCTGCTCCAACTATCACCACATCCAGCTCCTCGGGGGGCTCTGTGGGTGTGGAACAGGGAAAGTGAAAGGATTAACGCCCGTCCCCCGCTTCCTGCAGCGCTAGTGCTGCTCGCAACCCTGCTAGCCCTGATACGATGATCACCACATCTAGCTCCTCAGGGGGCTCTGCAGGTGTGGAACAGGGAAAGTGAAAGGATTAACGCCCGTCCCCCGCTTCCTGCAGCGCTAGTGCTGCTCGCAACCCTGCTAGCCCTGATACGATGATCACCACATCTAGCTCCTCAGGGGGCTCTGCAGGTGTGGAACAGGGAAAGTGAAAGGATTAACGCCCGTCCCCCGCTTCCTGCAGTGCCACTGCTGCCCGCAGCCCCGCCAGTCCTGCTCCAATGATCACCACGTCCAACTCCTCGGGGGGCTCTGCGGGTGTGGAGAAAGATGGGAACGGAGAGCGTGAGTGCAATGATTACCGCCTGTGCGCCGCCTCCTGCATCACACACGCCACTCCCGCCTCCAGCATCACACACGCCACCCCCGCCTCCAGCAGCGGAACAGTTACCGAGCCAAGACCTGGCCTTTGTTGTACTTTGTGTCAGTCTCTCTGTGTGGATTCCATGACTTTTTTCCTCCTGTGGGCACCAACTGACCTTCCTTCACTACTTCTGGCTCCGCTTCCGAAGCGGAAATCGAGAGTGAGGGAGCTCCGCTTCCGTAACATTCTCTTCCGAAGCTCCCCCACGCTAAATCTCCGAACTCTTCACACCTTGCATAATTATGCCTGTTTTTTCCGGAAAGAACTGACCTTCCTTGACCACGTCGGGCTCCGGCTCTGTCACATTATCTTCCAAAGCTCCCTCGCTCACTTCCTTGGAACCTGTCTTAGATACTTTGAAGTTTTGGATTTCCTAACAAGCACACCAACTGACCTTCCTTCACCACTTCCGGCTCCGGTTCTGTCACATTCTCTTCCGCAGCTTCCTCATTCTCCACCTCCGAGCTCGTCTTCACCTCCGTTTCTCCCTTCTTTCCGAATAGTCCGTCCAGGGCTGGAAGTTTCAGCCATCCGAAAAATCCGGATCCTTCCGAGCTTGCATCATTCGTCGCGTTGTCGGAGCTTCCAGTGCTGCTCGCACGCACGACACGTATGCAACGCGGCTCGCGACGTGGCTGACGTGGCAGCTGCACGAAGGCGACTCTGTTGCGCAATGCCGGGGATCGAGCAGCGAGAGATGAATGGTGTACCGAGGCTCGTGCTGACGTGGCGGCGGCGCTAAGTGGCCTCGACACGTGGCGCTCTATCGCGTTGCCTGAGCTAATTGCTGCTGCTTGAGCGGCCGAGCAGGCAGCGCGAACGGCGGCCATGATTGCTTACAGGATTCCGAGAACCAGACTTGAAATCAGCAATTATGAAGCACCAAGACTGCCAGGCTGATATGATCTCCAATGAAGCAAGAACTAGATTGGTCCTCCTGTGCAGCTGCTGTGTCTGGAAGTGCCTTACCGATGTTACTGGTGCTGCTTTTTCTCGTCTGACCATTTCTGCTGAATTTCCGACGTTCACTTTCCAGCATCACTGCCGCAGCCTTCTGGTATCAGGGCTGGTTATGGGGTGGTGGAAAGCGGTCACGGAACGATTCTGAGTGGTGTATAGTAGCTTCGACTTTTCTTGATGTTGCCGTGTTTCATTGCCATCCACTCCTCCGTTCAAGTATCAGGGTCTCCTCGTGGTTCCACAAGAGACGCGTGTCGCACTCTGGCTGGCCTTGCCACGTAATCAAGATCTTCAACTTTCTTGTTCGTCGTTTTACTAGCATATTTGCAATACGTTGTAGTTACACGTAAAGGATCTAGTTATATCGGATCATCAGGTGGGCACAGTCAGGCACGAGCTCGCATGTGGCTTGCAATTCAGCGGTCTGCCACTTTGCCCTCCGCTATTGGTTGGGGAGTTTCCAAAATCCTCCAAAACAACTGGACTCGATTCCCATTTGCAGGAAAGGAGCCACACAAAATACACTGCGGCTCACTCACTACACGCAGCGGACACAAATTCCCAGGTCCAAATCGAGAACCGTAAGATTCCCGAAGCATGTCAATAACGAAGACCTCGCCACCGCCGTCTGCCCTCCGCCCGAGAAAGGTTTTCTCCGCCCTTCTCCCAAATATTTCCCCCCTCGTTTCCCCGTCTGATCAAGCTCCCCTTTTCCCCCCTTTCGTTAGCTCCGCCATCACGGCTCCCCCAACAGAATCTTCCCCCTCCTATCCCCCTCCGTACATGTCCCACACGTTTGCCCACATTTCTCTGCGTACGGTTTAATATGGTTCACGAGGGTATCAAGCGGTATGTTTAACTGAACGCCTTCAACCGCGATGTAATCCCAAAAACCAGGGAAAACGTGCTCTCCCACATCTCAGCTTCCCCTCGGACTTCAGCCCAACCCCCCATTTCTGCTTCTTGGTCAGGCCACTATTTTCCATTAGCTCTGCTACCTGTGTAGCTCTGCTGTAGAGCTACTAAGCTCCTGCTTCTAGAAGGCTAGACCTATCTTGAAGCTTGCACGGGCTTCTGGATCTTCTTGATCCAGTTCCTCCTTCTCCTGCGTGCACTTACACGCGCTCTAGGGCTTGCATTAAGCGTACCACTCCTTAGCACTTATTTCAACAGATAAATAGCCATGTGGAGGCAAGCCGGCGCTCGCCTGTCGCTGGTTGCGCGCCAGTCGCTTCAGCGCAGCCGCTCAGCCGCGCTCCCCGCATGGAATAGCCTCGTTGCGGAGAGTGCGCCGGCTGGTGCGGGCCGGAGCGTTACAGACAGGCTCGTTCACAGCGGCTGGCTCTCCCAGACCCCCTTCGCCCTCCGCGCAGCCTCCCCCGCAGGTTAGGGTTAGGATCGGAAAAAACGGCCAAGCTAGTTATCGAGTTATTTGCCCTTGTTCAGATCTCATAAGTTTTAAGTTCGGTGCTAGAAGGTTTTTATGAGCTACGTCTAGATTGATATAAAGATCTCGACCTAAAATTACTATATGATCGAATTTCTGAAATGCAGTGGCCACGAAGGACGTATCCGATGAGTTGGAGCATGCTACTGGACTTGAGAGGGAGGAGCTGGCTGCGGAGCTGGAGGTACGCCATTTTAGTAATAGTGAAAAGTTACGGTATACTCGATCCATTGTAGAAAGTATCAGATGCTGAGAGGGAGGACCTGGCTGCTGAGCCGGAGGTAGAATAAGGCGGATTAATATCTGGCATTTTTTTTCTCCTAGCCAGTGCGTTACATTTCCAAGTTACGTGCTGTATCAGCTCTACGTGAACCTCGTTCAGTTCGTCTTTCCTTTTCTTTTGTTTTGTTCGTGGGGAAGAAACAGATTCTTGATCCTAGATCGGGCCAGTTCAGTCTCGAACGCCTTGGTTATTCTTTCTCTGAGGCGGTCGTTGCGCGCGTTTTCTTAACCGTTTGCAAACCGCTTATGGTCTCCCTCCGCTGCAGGGGAAGGAGCGTTTTGAGCTGGAACCTCCTCGCGGACCCTTCGGAACAGAGGTACTGTGAAAAGTTTTCTGCTTCACCATTTCAATGATGCATTTATATAATAATAACGATCTATCAACATACTTGGTGGCCTGCTTATTCTTCCTTGCTACTTCTTCATTGCACCTGGGGGTGTGGTACACCCTCGATTATTTGATAGAATTTCTGCCTAGCAATATTTACCATCCTTGCGCTTTTCTTTTGCACGACATGTCGCGATGGTTTGTTTGTGCGTCGGAGTTGTTATATGACAAGTTTTCACCCATTTCCTGTTTTTTCTTTCTTTATTTCGTTCTTTCTTTATTATCGTTTCTATCCCCCGTTTTTGGTCCACCTTACAATGTGTTCAGGATGCTCCTGCGATTGTGGAGGCTCAGTTCGACGAGCGTCTCGTTGGCTGCTCTGGCGGGATTGGCGGTGAGTGATTCATGAGATGACGGCCTTCTTAGGGCCCCTGTTGACTCCGATCATCCCTCTTCATTCCTGCATCGTGCCACCTGATCTGAGCCGTATGGCTGCCCTCCTTAACCTTCCTTCCCTCCCCCCCTTCTCTACCTTATCTCCCGTCTTTTACCTTAAAAGGTAAGGAATCGTGTCTCAAACTAGATAGCTAAAATGCTATTGTTTTAATTCCACTCATCTAAGACCTTTGATGTTTTGGTACCGAATTTTGACCGCCCTTTCAACCCTTTCCACCCCTTATTCTTTGTTTGTTTCCTTCATCCGGGCAGAGGAGGAGCATGATGTGGTGTGGTTCAAGCTTGCAAAGGACTCCAACCACTCCTGCAGCGTCTGCGGCCAAGTTTTCAAGGTAACAATGGAGGCAGGGACTACTTTTTTTCGCATTATTTCTGCAGCGTCTTGAACTCGATTCTGCTCCCGCGTGTTTCCGCTGTATGCTTTGGTCTTACTGAGTTTTCAATTAATGGGATTTTCACCCTTCAGTTCTCTGTTTGACATTGCCGTTGCGAGAAGCACTAATGACCCTCTATTATCTCACTCGTTATGCTGCTGTTTCTGCCTGCAGCTGAAGGTCGTTGGCCCAGGAGGCATCCCAGGCCACCACCACTGAACAGCTCGCTGACTGGCTGGTTGGCCGGAAACAAGGTATCACCTTGTGTAACGAGATGACAACGAGTCGTCTCACAAGTCATCCTGTAGCAAGTGCTCTGGAAGATGGAGCGAAGGAAAGAAACCAGCCTTGGAACAAAGGCAGCTTGGGGCAGTGTTCCATCGATACTATGAACCCTCAATACTATAATCAGGAAAAGGACTGCTGTTAGAATAGAAATGTCACGCCTGCATATTTCTCTCATGTCGCCATGACCCATTTCCACCTGGACCATCATTCAACCTCAACGCCCCCTTCCATTCCATACCCATTTCCATCATCCTTTCTTTTCTCATTCCCACCCAATTCTTGTATGCCGATAGTAGTCTATAGCATTGCTTGTCAATAGAATATGTGCAACTTGTTGCAGGTGTAATGAAATGTGCAAATTGGGTTGAATGTTGTTCCATTGCACTGCACCCCTTTTGCCTGTCTCCTCGCCAGACCAAACCACTTCAGAATGCAACAAGGGGTGAAGCTGCTGCTATAGTGTATATGGCAATATGGCCCTTCTGTTGTTGGGATAGTCAGGAAATTTGGCTAGATAACGTTGATGGGTTTCCAAAGCTGATAGTGTCAGGTTGGAGACCTGCGCAGGACAGTAAAAGATAGAAATTTAAGAGGGTGTACCATGGCTGAATCTGAGATGCAGAGGATACAAACGAGATAAGGTGAAGCAGATGTTTTACTCAACCACACACACTACGGTATGCATGCGCTAAGAGTGTGTTGTGCATGCCCAACCCGTTACAAGATAAGCATGGGGCCAGCATAGAAGCATCCATCATCCCCAGCACCCAAACATACAGTCGCAGACCAAGCTTCACTCATGCAATCATGAGCACTAGGTCCAGCGTTTTCAAAACAACAAGCACCGGGGCAGCAGGGCACAATCTTCTATACCAATGAATAAATGGAGCTGTACTTACCGTACCCCTATGAACACATGGGCACCACCGTGGAGTGTGTAAAAGGGCAAAAAAGCAGGGACACTGTATAGCAAGCTCGTGTACACCAGGGCTCTCGTTGTCAGACCAAATTGGCCTGATTTTCTTCATTTCTTATTTCATCTGATTTGTAAGACAATGCTTTTTATTTCGTCTGATCCATAAGACGAAGAGTTATATATCGTCTGATTTTTTAGAGCACGCGTTATACTTCATCTGAAATTTCAGATAGCGAGGATCTTTTCGTCTGATACCGACAAACCTGGCCTCTGACTATAGGTCGTCAGATTCGGCAGATTCGTCGTCAGAATTCCGCTAGTCCAGAACCCCAGCCCAGCCCAGCCCCGTCTACCAGCCCAGCCCGAAGGCCCCGTCGCTTCTCCAGCCCAGCCCGAAGTCCCCTCCCTGTTAACAGCCCAGCCCAAAGCCCCCATCACCTCTTCCAACTACCTTGCGCCACATCCAGCCCAGCTCTTCTCTTCCAACTCCCACATACTCAACCGAGCCACTCCCACAACTCCAAGCCAATTCCCTCGTAACCCAACCCCTCCTAGTCCCTCACCTCTCTGCCTGGTAGTGTTTAGCTAACGCGCTGCTGCGTCATGAAGTTGCAAGTTGCCACATCAGATGTGGAAAAAAAATCCGTATGAAATTTCAGACATGCCATGAACTTTCATCTGGAAAAACAGACCAGCGAAATTTTCCCGTCTAAGCGTCAGACGAAACGATTTTTTTTGTTAGGGTTTCCAGACGGGCCTAAAACCTAGCGAGAGCCCTGGTGTACACCCAAGTACAATAAAAGAGCTGTACTTACCACCCAGGCAAACATGAGCAGTAGTGTTGAGTCAAGCGTTCTTGATCCGAGCGATACGAGTAAACCGAAGTAAATCATCTGATAGTGGGAGATAAAGTTACAAAAACAAGCTGAAATATTATGCCTGTGCGTCGTCTGTGCAAGAGAAGGCAACATCAGCGGAAAAATGATGAACACTTGCATATTTTGCTGCCTTTCGTAAGCACTTCATCTTCTTTAGCGGCATCAGAAACACTTACAATCTCTGCCAAATAGTGTGGGCATGAGACATGAGCGAACCAATCGCCTTGAGGTATGAAGTAGCCTTTCTTACCGCCTTGCCTCAAACTGGCCTGGGGCAATGTCGAGGGAGTGAAGAGGGAAAGTGGAGGACAAGTGAAGGGGGGAGAAGCCCGTAAATGAGTGTGAGCATGAGACATGTGCATGCCAGTCCCCTTGAGGGACGAAGTAAGGGATTGGCCTACCCAAATAGATACATGAATATTTCACTTTATCTAATAGGAATGTTAAGCACTTTATGATGCAGTGTACCAAGATGGTATGATACAGGGCTCACCAAAATCGACGTTTGAGATGTCTCCAAAGTGACCCACACACGACTTTTAAGCACTTTATGATGCAGTGTATCAAGATGTTATGATAAATTGCTCACCAAAATCGCATGGCAACTGTGCTGGTGGACATTGTCTCATGCGAGCGCTCACTGGAGTTTGACGCACTCGGTAGTGGTGCAGTGCGGAACACCAAGATGCAAAACGTACCAGTATAGCGTGGCATCGGTGCTGGTGAAGGTTGCCCCATGCGAATACTGCTGCTCCAGCAACCAGGCACGCTATACTCGTGACGTCAGCAGCAGCGGGTGAAGACAGGCCAGGTGGTAAGGCAGAGCGGCCAGTGAGAAAGAGTGAGAGTGGAGCAGCGATGTAGTAGCTGGCGGGGGTGGTGAAGGTGGAGAGAGGGGAGGAGAAGGAGGTTGAGGATGATGATAAGAGAGTTGGGGGTACGGCAGAGCGGCCGGCGAGAAAGAAGGAGAGCGTAGTGGCTATGTAGTAGCTGGAGGGAGAGGGGAGGGAGAGAGAGGGGAAAGAGGGTTGAGGATGATGATAAGAGGGGGATGGTGATAAGAGAATTAGGGGTGTGGGAAGACGAGCAGCAAGGAAGGAGGAGAGCGGGTTGCTGCTCCTCATACAATGATGCTGCAGGGTATTTTTGAGAATTCTCAAAAATACAATGACCAAACGGCAGGGGACAGACAGCAAACTCACCAGAGGCCGAGGAGGTGGGCTGAGATGTGCATGCGGGAGGAGGGTGGCGAGAAGGAGAGGGCAGTGGACTCCCATAGCCGCGTGGAGAGATGCAGATGGAATAGGAGCGAGTAGGCAGGCACTCGCTGTGGAGTGGCGGGACGTAGCAAAGTGCACCGAATGATGTGAGACGATGTTGGGGAGACAGAGAGGGCAGTGGACTCCCATAGCCTCCTTGAGAGATGCAGATGGAATAGGAGCGAGTGGGTAGGCACTCGCTGCAGAAGAAGCTGCAGTGGTTGAACGCTTCTGGTGGCTGTGGTGGTGTCGGGTGTGCTTGTGTGCGCAGGACAGCACTCACCAGAGGCCGAGCAGGTACGCTGAGACGTGCATGTGAGATGACGTTGGGGAGACAGAGAGGACAGTCGACTCCCATAGTCGCCTCGTAAGATGCAGATGGAATAGGAGCGACTGTGCAGGCACTCGGTGCAACAGACGCTGCAGTAGAAGCTGCAATGTTTGAACGCTGCTGGTGGCTGTGGTGGCGCCAGGTGTGCTTGCAACGGTGCTTTCGCTGCTGCTGCCATTGCTGCTGTTGTCGCTACTGCTGCTGTAGATAGCACTGAAGCTCATGGGGACTTCGGTGTTGAGGATTGCAGTGAGGTGGGAGGGCGCAGTGAGGGCGAGGGCGAGCAGTGCGAGGCTGACGGCGACTCCGACCATGTAAAAATGGGAGAACCAGCCATGGGGAACGGTCATATGCTGGCAGGGGGTGGGGGGTGGAGACAGAGAGAAGAAGAGGGAACTATGAGGGTGAGGGCGAGGAGTGCGGAGTTAAAGGCGAATCCGAGGATAAGGGAGTGGGAGAAGCAGCGATGGGGCACTGCCATTTGACGGGTTAGGAGGGAAGTGGGAGGGAATTAGAGGAGCACTGAGGGTGAGAGCGAGGAGTGCGGGGTTGAAAGAGAATTGGAGGAGAAGGAGAAGTGGGAGAAGCAGCGATGGGGAAGGAGATGGGGTTAGGAGATGGAGGTGGGTGGGAGATGGAGGTGGGAAGGGTACGATTTCAAGGGATTGGGTGATGGAAGAAAGAGGAAGAACGGGAATGGGAGATGAGGGGAAGGGTACGATACAAAGGGACATAATCAAAGGCTACAGGAGGGGTGATATGATGTTCGAAGACACGTTTTCCAGTTTAAGACTCACGCGTAGAGAGAAAAATCTCGAAGACGCGGGGGATTTCGCGGGTTTGCTGGTCGAGCCGCTTTGGGTGATTCCACGTCCGGCCAGAATTCGCATGAGATGGCGGAGGGGGGTAAGCGCGGGGAGAGGCAGGAGCGCGAGGATGACTGGTAGAGCGATTATAGCCCAGAAGTAGCGGAGGAGGGAGATAACTACGTCACGGACAGTCAGACTCGCCACGTCAGCAGCAACGTTGATTGGTGACATGGCTGTTGGGGCTTGCTTCGTCAGCTTCCTAGAAACGGAATTGATCAGACCAGAGATTGTTGTCAATGGACACGTGTAAAAAGGGTGGTTTAAAGACGTCTCAAAACCACTCTTCTTTCACGCCGATAGAGGTTGCTTCGCCAGCTCTTTAGCTCATCAGACCAAAGAGTGTTGTCAATGCGTTCGTGCTTTCTGGATCCGCGAAGAGAATGAAGCGATATTGCGCGAACCCAGAGCGATAATCTATGCGCTAAGCCGATTCGTTATGCGCGCGCTGCGCAGCGCGTGAGGCAGTGTGGATTGCAGATAAGTGGTGTGCTAACGGGTACGGTACCCCGAACAGGAAACGGCGTGAGAGAGAATGAAAGGGAGAGAAAACGATGTAAACGAAAGAAGATGTAAATGATTGTTCTCAGGCGACGACGTAGGGAGGAATGGAGTCTACAAGTGTAAATAGCCTAGTGAATAACCTCACTGACACATCTGGAGCAGAATTCCATCGGTAGATGCGTGGATTCAACAGATTCGAGCAGTGTGTGTTCGGCCAGTTCACATCCACTCACAGCCCACCCTACTAAACCTGCTTTATTATCCAGGTAAACTCTTTCAAACGAACATTAGCCTTCTAAACCGAGGACAACCTGCTGTTCTCACGAATCTAGGACAACCTGCTCGTTACAAGAGCACAAGTCAAAACGGCTATTCTGCAACCAGTTCATTCGAAATTGCAGGGTGGGAAGGGTGGAAATTCCTGGGAGTGGGAAATCCCTGAGAAGGGTAAACAAATGATAGAAACAATTTGAAGGGGGTGGAAGACCTTCCTATGTTCGACGAACACGGTCATTGAAATACCGCGTTAAAGCTTTGTTTTTTACAGTAGAGCCTTCGTATAACGGAGTCGTTTAAAAGATTACCCGTCCGTACTTCTACCCATTTAATTTAACATTGTTTGAAAGAATAGCCCACCGTCATTATGGGGCTGGCTATTGATTCCGTCGCAAGCACCACCGTGCCTGATCCGTTTGTAAAGTTTGTAAAACTTGTGAGATTCGTTTGTAAAGTTTTCCTCCATAACTGCGTCATGAAATCCCTGCGAGAGGTAATTTTTCAAGATAGAGACAATTTGAAGGGTGTGGGAAGTCTTCGGAGATCCACAAACATCGTCATCATAATACCTGCTTTGTTCTCGACAATATAACCTTTGTATAGCGGAATCGTCTAAAATCGTTTAGAACCTTTGTATAGCGGAATCCTTTAATTATACCCGTTAATTCCACCTTTTCTTAAAACATAGCCCACCGTCATTTTGGTTCTGGCTATCGATTCCGTTAGAAGCAACACCGTGCCTGATCCACGAACCTGACATTCGTAAAGTGCTCCTCCACAAATACGTCATTTTTTTTATTTTTTATTTTTGCAGGAGGTGAAATTGCATTAACGCTAAAAACACCATCATCATAATACCTTGTTATTGCTCTATTCTCGACAGTAGAACCTTGGTATAATGGAGTCATTTATTAGATTACCCGTCACGTGTTTGTACCCTTCAAATTACATCTCATTTTTAATCATATCCCACCGTCACTATGGCGTTCTTGGCTGTAATTCCATGCGTGATTCACGTACCTGTGAAATTAGTTCGTAAAGTGCTCCTCAGCAAACACGTCATCCCTGGGAGATGTAATTTTATAAAAGAAACAGTTTGAAGGGTGTGAAGAATCTTCGGATGTTCGACAAACGCCGTCATTGAAATACGTGTTATAGCTCTGTTTTCGACAGTAGAACCTTGGTATGACGGAGTCGTTTAGTAAATTACCCATCACGTGATCGTACCCTCTAAATTACACCTCTTTCTAAAGTATAGTACACGACAATATGATGCCTGACTATTGATTCCGCTGCATCGTAAGGGTTGGCTTCTGACCAGGCGACAGCCCTGTTTGGTATTCCCACTGAATCAAACTAGTCCGAAACTGTTCGTAGGGCAACCCCTGTGAACGCACGGCAGCAGGGTTCATACTTGGGACACAATCCTCGAATAATCCTTGGGACACAATCCTGTGAACTCTCCTCAAATAACCCTTGGGGGACACCATCCTCGAATTCATCGTTCTTCCTGTCACCTCTCACCCGTGGCTGCCGAAACTGGTAATCGTTCATTTCCGTGTTATGCTGTCCGCTCGAGATGCCAAACATCAAGTGCGTCGTATTCCCGTTTCGCAATCCCGGTGGTTCTAACGACGCGCAGCTTTCTTGAAATCAGCAAGATTATGTTCAGAGCATTCTGGGATGGATTCGACGTATTCTCGCGGCGTTTCCCATTAAAATTTACTCGAAAGAATCACGACTCGGAAACGACGTGGCCTATCGCCTTCTTACCGCTAGCCGGTGCCTTTGGAAAACGGATTTCACTGGCTCAGTCGTCATGTTCACCGGTTTCTTTATCCTCGGTTATCGAGCCTCGTCTTCATTCCGACGAGCGTCGCCTGATTTCTCGGAATGGCTCCTTCATTCTTAAGCTGCGCGGCATTTCTTCAAATTCCCCTGATCGTTCTTCCGTATGTTCTCACTCCGTCCTGTTGTTCGACAAAGAGCATTTAGAGGTTTCTCGTTGTGACTTATTTTTGTGGTTCAATCCTTTCTTCTCCACCTTCCTTGTCGTTTCGCAGTCTCTCTGTGACCGTGCATGCACGGAGCTTGTCATCACGTGATGCTCTTCGAGACCTCCAGCCAGATGCGAATATTCATGAGAGTGCTTCAACACCCCACTTTAAATCTTCTGCCGGAAAGCTGACTGCCACCAGCGTGAGTTTTCGTGTCGCACAACCTGACGCTGTCAGATACAGGCAGTCCGAGTGGGTGGTCGGACAATGGGTTGGGAAACTGATATCTACTTAAGTCCCTTATGTAGACGTATTCTGCGATTTCGCATTCTAACTGCTTGTTTCCTATTTGCAGACGCTTCAACAGCCTTCACAGCACTCTTGGAAGCGCCTGGCCACCTCATGGAAGTTGATGTTCAGAAACCAACGACCTCATGAGTCACAGCTTGAAATCAGTTATCGCAATGACAACGCAGACGCTGGTATCAGAAACACTGAAGCAGGAGATGGTATTGGTCTTGCGGTTACTTCGCTGAGCCATTTGTTTCCCTTGCGGACACTGGCCTCCAGGAAGCAGGTTCTTGGGGGGTCTGGAGCCACTTTCTTTGAGCAGGACGCCAATGCCGGGAGCATTAACAACCTAGGAGTTACCAACAGTCAAAGAAGCAGGGTGGGAGATGGCATGGGTTACGCTTCAAGCTTTCAGGGCAATACAATGGCCCAACAAAGTGCAACTAACCCTACTATCCCGACAGTGTATGCTGGGTCTAGTGTCTCTACTACAGCCGCAACAAATGGGGTAGGGTCATCGTTTCCTTTTGCAGGGCTGGGAACGACTGGCAATGTGTTTGTTGGCGTGGATGGTCAGTTGATTCCAACAGGTGCAAGCATTGGAGATTGATACATTGAGTTGAAACAATCTGTTTAATAGAGTTTAATATCTTCTCATCCATTACAGAGCCTGCCACCCCTGTAAACAAGATAGGCACATCTGAAATACCTCAAAGAGTATCTAACTAAGTCTTGGCCCCGCGAGACTACCATTTGTAACATTACTCTGAATGTGAATGCGACGTCTCTTCATTCCAACAGTAACATATAGTATACTATGCCTCCACCTTATTCTTCTAGTCACCTCGTAAACCCAGCTTTTCCTGCATCACAGCAACTGCATCGTTCTTGTCTATAAACGTTTCCGAAGCCAGAAAGGGGCGACAATTTATGTCACTAACTGGCCGCACGAGGCTCTCGTGAATGAAGCTCATCTCACAGCAATGCCAGCACTGCGGGTTGTACTCGATGCTGAACATGCGATACCCAAGCTTCTCCAACGTGTAAACGAGCGGCAGGGTGACCTGGGGCAGGTTCATTCTGGTGGGGGGACGAAGAGCATGTGAGACAGGGAGAGGGAGAGAGAAGCAACGAAGAGTGTGGGGAGCATGGGATGGAATGGCAAGGTGACCTGAAAACAGGTGCCTTCTGGTTGAGGGAACGAGAGAGACGATGAAAATTTTGCGTCCTTGCGCACCCAGCTTGTCCTTGTGAGATATGCTAGCCCTTTTGCAAATGAAAACTCTCTGTTGCGACTCGAACAAGGTATTTGCTTTGAGTCAAAACTCATTCAACATCTGTGTGTTGAGTCTGCTCACTTGTAGAACACATACGCATGAATACTCACTTGTGAAACTCGACCAAGATTTGTCCGAACGGCAAGGTCCCCCCGTGCACACTGAGCTGCGCTGCCGCATTCCCATTCGCTGCCCCGATCTCCGGAATTAGCGCCTCCTCACACCCCTCGCAGTCAATCTTGAAAATGTCCACATAGGTGTGATTTAGCAGCTCCATGATCCCTCCCAGAGTCATAAACTTCATAGCAGGGAACTTGGTGGTGTAGTTTTGGAGCTCGGAGTTTGCAGAGAGGCCGATGGGGTGGAAGTGGAGGCAGGAGACGTTCTGCATGCGGGCAGTGGTGGCGGGCACGAGGAACGGGTCGAACGTGTGGGGCTGCACGTGCAGAAGCTTGTAGATAGAGTCTTCAAACGAGTACTGCCCGAAGCTTCCAATGCTGAGGATGGATTGGGTAGGGCATGCACAGAAAATAGAAGGCATACGCTTTTTCAGATACACACACATACACTCTCACTTACACTCACCTACCCACTCACCTACAGACTTTGTCAAATTGCACCTACCCTCATACCCTCCTCAGTACTCACACCTCCTGAGAGCCCTCACTTCTCATGTATGACAACCCCCGTCCCCCCTCCCCCCTCACCTGTATACGACAGGGTCCTTCTGAATGGCTCCTGGCAGCACGCAAGTCCACTGCGGTTGGTGGTGAACGAGGAGGGGGGAGGGTGGGCAGAGGGGGATGGGTGGGGTCGAGAGGGTTAGGCGTGTGTTGAGAGAGATAGGCGTGGTTGAGAGGGAGACAGAGTGGCAGAAGGCAAGTCCATTGCGGTAGTTGGTGAGCGAGGGAGAGGGGACGGGGGGTGGGCAGAGGGATGCGGGTGGGGTTGAGTGGGTTAGGCGTGTGTTGAGAGAGATAGGCGTGGGTAGAGGGAGACAGGGTGGCAGCAGGCCCGTCCATTGCGGTATTTGGTGGTGAAGCGGGGGAAAAGGGAACGGGGAGTAGGATGGGAGGATGAAGATTGGGGTGTATAGAGGGAGATTGGGGTGGATATAAGGCGTTTGACACTTTCGCTGCAGCAAGCTACAGTGCTATGTCTTACCTTTCCGCCATCCACCCACTTTCGATGCATTCGTTCCCCAGGCACGGATACGTTAGACCATCTCCCGCGTTCGACTGACCTCTCCAATCCCTTACCCTTCTCCGAACCATCTTCCCCCTTCGACCCCTTGTTCACACTTGATCTCACCTTCCCGCCGTCCCCCCACTCCCCAATGCGCTCGTTCGCCGGGCACGGGTACGTGGGGATAAGCACGAGAAGTTTCATCATGACATCTGTCATCGACGCTGGTGGCGGGTACAGAGTTCCCTTGCACGCCTTCCTTCGCAGCACAAGGTTCTCCTGGGGGATGTGGGGGGGTTGCGGGAACGCCGAGGTAGTGGGGGGGAGATTAAAAAATGTCAAATCATCGATCTCGGTGGTAGGTACGATGTTCCCTGCATGCATGCCTTCCGTCTCAACGCAAGGTTCTCCTGTAGACGGTGAAGGGGGAGGAAGGGCCGTAATACAAAGAACTCGCTCTGATCACGACAGCTGTCATGGATGTGAGCAGTGGGTACAGCGTTCCCTTGCACGCCTTCCTTCTCAGCACAAAGATTCTCCTGTGCGTGGGGTTGCGTGGAGAACGCCGATTTAACAAGCATTATAACAGAGAAGGAAAGGGAAACTTGGTCGATTGCTGGTACGGTTCGCCAAAACAACAGTTCACCAAGAATGATAAGCTGCTGGTACAGAAAGAAGAAAAGGTAAGAAAGGCTCGGAAATGAGAACTCACCCAGTAATTCTCCTCTGCACGGCATACAGCCGCATCAATGCCGCTCATGCTCGGAAACAGAAATGCAGCCCATCCGAGGCTAGGTGGCTGGTACGGAAGCGACACTGCCGAGCCTCCGCCACTGCTCCAGCCGCTGGAGAGCAGACCGGGGTTCGACTGGAATGCCAGATTGATGGGGATGACTATAGCGAGAATGACAGCGAACGGGATGACATAAGGACGGATGGTGCTGCCGACTTGTTCGCTTATGGTGCGTAGTGATTGTAACGCGGGCTCGGCCATGGTACGAAGGGTTGCTGGCTCGACTCTGGTGGGTAAGTCTGACAGGACCTTTTCAGCCATTTTTCCAAGCTTTCAAGCTCTAGAAATATTGCTGAATATAATCAACGTGACTTTGCCGCTTGGCGAGAGCTGCTGGCGCTGAAGGCAAGAGCGGAAACGGCGAGCTATTCAATAACGACCGTAAGTTTGGGACACTTGAGTATTCAATACACAGGTAGGCTAATCAAATCTCAAATGTAGAAAAGCAGGAGTCTAGGCTACAGGAACAGTTTATGACTTCAGCAATTGAGATGTACAGGAAAGGCCTGAATACATTAGGATGAATTAGGATGAATCTGTTGTGCCAGAATCCGAAGCGGAAAACTCGGACAAAGAAGAACTTCAGAAAAAAACCTCGTGCATTAGGCGACGATACAAGAAACTTCGCCCCTGGATAATCACCGCGACTTATCCAAGACACTCACGCAGCCATGAAACGCGAGTTATCGAGCTGCGAACTGAAATGTAGGCAGCCATGGATTCATGGTTCATGGTTCAGTGAATGTGCAATGGTGAAGGTTGCCTTGCCATCCAATGAGCATCCACCGCCTTTTCTTGTCAGCGGATGCGCGGAAGGTTTTGTTTCAGCGGACGCGCGGAAGCAGGTAAATTTTGGCGGGCTTTTCTTGGTCAGCACCCACCGCCTTTTCTTGTCGCTCCCTACCCACGAGCCAAAGGCCAAACGGTCAGAAGGATGAAAAGCAGGGCTGTTGATTGGTCAGGGCCCAAAGCCCCGCTGCTTTCCAGGCCGACCGTCGGGCTTTCTCGGCAAAAGGCCTCAGAATTTCGATATTAGGGCGGAAGGGGTGAAGTTACGAGGAGTTGGTGGAACAAAAGCACCTTCTTCACTTGATTTTATGGCATAACGCTTCTCATACCTCTATCCACATAGGATGAAAAGCGTCAGATCAGAACAACTGAAAAGTCGGTTTGATGGTTGCTCTCATTGTCATTCATAGCTGCATTTAACCTGCTCATTGTCTTGCAAAGTGGTTGGAACCTTGCATATGAATGTATAGGTAGCATATGAATGTCTGCCAGGTACTATGCCGAGTGGGAATGTGCAGATTGGTAACGCATCACAAAATATGAGATCATAAAGCAGAACCATTTTATCGTTAAGACATGCAGTGTTAGCATATTCTACGGTCACGGATGGGGGTGCTAGTGTCAGATCTACCTACCCTACTCCGGAACCCAGCTTTTCCTGCATCACAGCATCTGCATTTTCCTTGTTCACAAACACTTCAGAGGACAGAAACGGATGGCAGTTCTTGTCACTACCTGGGCGCACGAGGCTCTCGTGGACGAAGCTCATCTCGCAGCAACGTGCACATTGCTGGTTGTACTCTATGCTGAACATGCGATACCCAAGCTTCTCCAATGTGTAGACGAGCGGCAGGGTGACCTGGGGCAGGTTCATTCTGGTGGAGGGAGAGAGCAAGAGAGCAAGAGAGCAAGAGAGAGCGGGAGAGGGGGAGAGAAGCACGGAAGAGAGTAGAGAGCATGGTATAAAAGTCACTGTCTTTAGAAGGCCGCACAGCCAGTGCAAGCGCCTTACCTTAGGCTTAAACATACCAACCAATCCCACTCGTCCTTGCTCGTTTCTCTTGAAAGTCAACTCACTTGTGGAACTCGACCAAAATCTGCCCAAAAGGCAGTGTGCCCCCGTGCACACTCAGCTGCGCCGCCGCATTCCCATTCGCCGCCCCAATCTCCGTAATCAGCGCCTCCTCACACCCCTCGCAGTCAATCTTGAACACATCCACATAGGAATGATTCAACATCTCCATGATGCCTCCAAGTGTCTTGAACTGCATTTGAGGGAACTTGGCGTGGTAGTTTTGAAGGGAGGAGTTCGCGGAGAGGCCAATGGGGTAGAAATGGAGGGAGGAGACGTTCTGCATGCGGGCGGCGGTGGCGGGAGCGAGGAACGGGTCGAACGTGTGTGAACGCACGTGCAGGAGCTTGTAAATAGAGTCTTCGAATGAGTACTGCCCATGACAGCCAATGCTGGAAACGGGATGAGCACAGAGAGTGGGTGAGTCAGCACATAGGAGGAAAAACTTCTTGACGGGAAGATGGGACGAAGGTGATAGGTTTGCAAAGAGGCTGACTGGGTGGAAGTGGAGGGACGTGAGGTTGCTTGGTATAAGGGGCCTCAGAAACAGAAAGAGTTGAAGAGAGGCTGATGGTGTGGAAGCAGAGAGGAAGGCCATTCCATCAATGATGCCGCTTACTTCCATTTTCCCCATTTATAGAACTACGTACACAACTTTGTCCTCACCTCCCTCACCTACCGCACCCCCACCCTCCACCACTTTTCCCCTCCTCACCTGTACACAACAGGGTCCTTCTGAATGGCACCTGGAAGAAGGCAAGTCCACTGCGGGGATCACGCAGATAAAGGGGGTAGCACGTGGAGCTGGGTGGGGTTGGTGGCGGAATGCAACAAGGGGTTGGAAGCCTATTCAGCAGCAAGCTGGAGTTCAGTCGAGGGTTTCACCTTTCCACCGCCCCCCCACTCCCCAATGAGCCCGTTTGCAGGCCACAAGTACGTGAGGATGAGCATCAGCCCGCAATTGTCCCCATCCCCCTCTGTCTTCCCATCCCCCTCTTCACCCTCCTCCACTACCGCCCTTCGTCTCACCTTTCCGCCATCCCCCCACTCCCCAATGCGCTCGTTCGCCGGGCACGGGTACGTGGGGATGAGAACAACCGTCTTCATCATGACAGGTGATATCCATTTGGGTGTCGGGTACAATGCTCCCTTACACGCCTTCCGCCTCAGCACAACGTTCTCCTGGGGGAGGAGGGGGCGGGCGAGCGGGGGGAAAGAAGCGGGTGGGGGCGGGGGTACCACAAACCAGGATGAGCACGAGCGTCTTCATCATGACAGGTGATATCCATTTGGGTGTCCGGTACAATGCACCCTTGCACGCCTTCCGCCTCAGCACGAGGTTCTCCTGCACGCGGGGTTGGGGGGAGGGAGAGGTGGAGTGCGGGGGGGAATTTTCATCATTCAACTCAAAACAACGTGGGGATGAGCACAAGGGATTTCATGGCGACAGCTGGGAACAGAAACGCGGAAGGATGGGAGAGACTCGAGAACGCCAGTTCACCAAGAAAGATTTGCTGGAAAGGAACTGATTTGCTTCCGCACGCAAAAAAAGTCGCTTCAATGACACGCATGCTGGAAAGATGAAGCAAACCAGAGTGTCGGAAGCGCCAGTTCTCCAAGCATGATATGCTGCTGGTTCAGAAGAAAGGAGAAAAGGCTCAGAGTCGAGAACTCACCCAGTAATTCTCCTCTGCACGGCATACAGCCGCGTCAATGCCGCTCATGCTGGGAAACAGAAATGCAGCCCATCCGAGGCTAGGCGGCTCGTACGGAAGCGACGCTGCCGAACCTCCGCCGCTGCGCCAGCCGCTGGAGAGCAGGCCGGGGTTGGACTGAAACGCAAGGTTAATGGGGATGACTATGACGAGGATGACGGCGAAGGGGATGACGTACGGACGAATGGTGCTACCGACCCGTTCGCTTATAGTGCGTAGTGATTGTAACGCGGGTTCGGCCATGATACGAAGCGTATTCAGAACCGGCTCGGTTCTGGTGTGTAGGTCTGAGAGGTCTTTCTCAGGCATTTTGTTTAGCTGTCAAGATCTTGAACCGTTTTTTTAATATTATCCTTGCGATTGATCGCTGGCGGGAGAGCTGATGGCGCTGAAGACAAGAGCGAAAACAGCGAGCTAATATCAGTTTGAGCAGATTCTGAGCAGATTGGATACGAGTAAGCTGTTCAAATATTCTGTTGCGAAATGCAGGAGTCGATGCTACAGGAACAGTTCACGGCTTCCCCAAGGATGCATCCAGAAAGAATGTATTATGGACCGCACGACACCAGGATCATGCATTCGTTGCGTCAGAGCTCGTTGTGCCTGAATCGGAAGCAGGCAAACTCGGAAAATGAAGCACTTTAGGAACGGAGAACCCAAAGCGCGCTCGTACATTAGGCGACTAGATAAAATAGTTAAAAGCTTGAATACCAGTGCGAGTTAGGCACAATGGAGCATTCTCAAAAAAGAAGCATTCTTGAAGCATTCTTGAATGTATCCTGAAAGAAGCATTCACCGCGAAGTAGCCATGGATTCGTGGTTCATCGTTCAGCGAATGTGGGTGGTGAATGTTGTCAGATGGAAAGCAGGATGTTTTGGCGGGAATGTCTCGGTCTTATCCACCGCCTTTTCTTGTCCCTCCCTCGACACGAAAAGATCATTGGGCCACGAGGCACCAAAAGCAGCGCCGAAAACACGCTGCTTCCGAAGGTCAGCTATTTCATGAATTCGGCTAAATCCCTCGATATAAGTTTGGCGTTGCTGAATCTACGAGAGGGTGGAACGAACGCATCTGCGTTACATGATTTCACGGTATATCAAAGTTTCACATACCTCACTATGTACGGTAGGTCAAACTGAATGAAACCACATGTTGTAAAACTTTGCCTTTCAGCATTTGCCACATGCTATGTTGAGCAAGAAATACAGCGAGATCAGTACATGGGCTCATTGCATTGATTGACTTCCGCGTTTCTACTTCATAAATTCTCAGTCTCCACCCACCTTCTCCTACATCACAGCATCTGCATCTTCCCTGTTTACAAGCATTTCCGAAGACTGAAACGGGCGACAATCTTTGTCACTACTTGGCCGCACGAGGCTCTCATGAATAAAGCTCATCTCGCAGCTTCAAGCACTGCTGGTTGTATTCAATGCTGAACATGCGATACCCAAGCCTCTCCAACGTGTAAACGATTGGTAGGATGACCTGAGGCTGGTGCATTCTGGAAGACAGAGAGAGAAATCAAGGGAACCAGTGAGAGAGGGAGGCAGGGGAGGAGTGAAGCAATGAAGGATGTATGGAGCACGAAATCGCACAGTAGATTAAAATGACCTGGGGCAAGTGAGTTCTTAACCCGACACCCAACCAACCAACCCCACGCCCTGTGTTATATCCCTTTTGCTCCTTTCCCTTGCCTCAACTCACTGGTGAAACTCCACCAAGATCTGTCCGAAAGCGGCAGGGTGGCAAGTGCCTTCCTTATCTTTAACATACCAACCACTCCCACTCGTCCTTGCTCCTTTCCCTTGCCTCAACTCGCTGGTGAAACTCCACCAAGATCTGCCTGAAAGGCAGCATCCCCCCATGCACACTCAGCTGCACCGCCGTATCGCCAGTGCAAGCTCCCTATTTTGAATACACTCGACTCAAACCCACCCACCAATACTCACTGGTGAAACTCCACCAAGATCTGCCCGAACGGCAGCGTCCCCCCGTGCACGCTCAGTTGTGCCGCCGCGTTCCCATTCGCCTCCCCAATCTCCGTAATCACCGCCTCCTCACACCCCTCGCAGTCAATCTTGAACACATCCACATAGGAATGATTCAACATTTCCATAATCCCGCCCAAAGTTAGGAACTTCATTTCCGGGAATTTCTTGTGGTAATTTTGGAGGGAGGAGGATGCGGAGAGGCCGATGGAGTGGAAGTGGAGGGAGGAGAGTTTATGCATGGAGGCGGAGGTCTCGAGAGTAAGGAAGGGGTCGAACGTGTGCGGCTGCACGTGCAGGAGCTTGTGAATGGAGTCTTCGAATGAGTACCTCCCGTGACTGCCAATGCTGGTGTTTGGGCGGGCATGTGAAGGGGAAGAGCGCTCAAGGGGAAGAGCGCATAAGGGGAAGAGTGCATAAGGGGAAGAGCGCAGGGGAAGGATTGGACATGCAGTGCAGACGCTTGTACATGGAGTCTAGGGTTGAGTGCTGCCCGTTCTCTTGCAGATGCACAAGGATGACTCATCCTTGTGGGTAGACTATGGACACTCCTATGCTGAGAACGTGGGAAGGCTATGGACAGAGAGAGGGAGAGTACGCACATGGGAGGGGGAACTTTTGTTAGGGATGATGTGCCCGGAGTGAGGACAGATACACGCACAGGCACACTCATGCTGCACAGACGGACGCATGCACTCACCTGCAAACTGCACAATTGCCGAATTGCACCCCTGCCACCTCCTCATGACTCCCACCCCCTCACTACTTTCATCTCCCGACAGCCCCCCCTCCCCCCACCTCACCTGTACACAACAGGGTCCTGGAAGAAGACAAGTCCACTGATGCCGCTTATTCCATCATTCCAACAGATGGGTCTGATGCTGCTGCTATCCATCTGTTTTCCCCTTGGACTGCCCCATCACTAGCCCCTCCCCTTTCCCCCTCCCTCCTTCCTCTCACCTGTGCACAACAGGTTCCTTCTGAATGGTGCCTGGAAGAAGACAAGTCCACTATTACTTCTGCTACCCATCTGTTTTCCCCTTAGTCTGCCCCGTCACTAGCCCATGACTTGCCACTCCCCATAACACTCCCTCCCCACCCTCCCCCGCTCACCTGTACACGACAGGGTCCTTCTGAATGGCGCCTGGCAGCAGGCAAGTCCACTGTGTTGATCATAGTGAGGGAGTGAGTAGGGGGAAGGGTGGGTGGAGAGAGATTGGGATGGATAGAGGGAGATTTGGGTGGATAGAGGGAGATTTGGGTGGATAGAGGGAGATTTGGGTGGATAGAGGGAGATTTGGGTGGGTAAAAGGAGATTTGGGTGGGTAGACGGAGATTTGGGTGGGTAGAGGGAGTTGAAGGATTTTCTGCAGCAGGAGTTTCAAACCTAAGGCATCACAGGGTACAGGAGTATCTCAGACGCTTCTTCGCCTCACCTTCCCGCCATCTCCCCACTGCCCAATGCGCTCGTTTGCCGGGCACGGGTACGTGGGGATGAGCACAACGGTCTTCATCATGACAGGTGTGTACTGCGCAGGTGGCGGGTACAGCGTTCCATTGCACGCCTTCCGCCTCAGCACAAGGTTCTCCTGTGAAAGGTTGGGGGGGGGGGGGGGGGAGGGAGAGGAGGGAGGGGGGTGGATGAGAGGATGTGGGGTACAGCGTTCCGTTGCACGCCTTCCGCCTCAGCACACGGTTCTCCTGTGGGAGGTGTGGGGGAGGGAGGTGGGTGAGGGGGGGATGATCACAACGGTCTTCATCAGGACAGGTGTGTACTGCGCAGGTGGCGGATACAGCGTTCCATTGCATGCCTTCCGCCTCAACACAAGGTTATCCTGTGGGAGGTGGGAGCGGCGGGAGGGGGAGAGGAGGGAGGGGGGTGGCGTGAGGAAGCGGGGTACAGCGTTCCATTGCACGCCTTGCGTCTCAGCACAAGGTTATCCTGTGGGACGGGCGTTGGAGGGCGGAGGATTAGGAGGGGGGGAGGATTAGGAGGGGGGGTGGAGAGGAACCATGAGGTACCAGCATTACGTGACACGCCCTTCCCAGCACAAGGTTCTCCTGTGGGAGCTTGAGGGGTGTTGGTTGATTGGGGAGGATAGAAGAGACCCGAAACACCGATTCACCAAGCACGATATGCTGTTGACACGGATGAAAGACAATAAGAATCCAAGTTGGAACCTTGCCCAGTTATTCGCCTCTGCGGCAGATGTATTTTGAGTCGACTCAAAATGGACCTGGCCAATCAGTCGTCAATATCCCAATGGAAACGTAAGCAAATGACTGGCCTTCTATAATCCTGGGAAGTGAAGTGACTCCGCGTCTGCACGGAAAATTGCCGCATCAGTGCAACTCATGCGGGAAAACAAAACGCGGAACGTCACAAAGGCTAGGAAGGCCGACTAAGCTAAGCAAGAATGATTGCTGATGTATACAGAAGAAAAAGAAAGGAAAATACTGGTATCCATTTTTTTTATCGACTGACTAGGGAAAAAGGAATTACGATCAGTGAAACTCACCCAGTAATTCTCCTCAGCACGGCAGATGGCCGCGTCAATGCCGCTCATGCTGGGAAACAGAATTGCAGCCCATCCGAGGCTAGGCGGCTGGTACGGAAGCGACGCTGCCGAGCCTCCGCCGCTGCTCCAGCCGCTGGAGAGCAGGCCAGGAGTCGATTGAAACACCAGGTTAATGGGGATGACTATAGCGAGGATGACGATGAAGGGGATGACGTACGGACGAATGGTGCTACCGACCTGTTCGTTTATAATGCGTACTGAATGTGACACGGGCTCGGTCATACTTCGAAAGGTGTTCAGAGCTGGCTCGCTTCTGACTTGTAAGTCTGACAGGATTTTCTCAGACATTTTAGAAGACACGGACATCTTAAAACGGCTATTAAAAGTAGTTCACGCGACTCGACACTTGCTTAAGAAGTGTCTCGGCCCTGATGACTGCATGATCACTTCCTTGAGAAGTGCAGGGACGGCGAGCTCATGTATGTGGATTCATGAACATGAATCGGATTCATGAACATGAATCCACCCTCAGGTTGGCGTACTGGATTCATAGCAAGTTGTAAGAAAGGCATTCACAGATTCAGGAATAGAGACCACGGAAACTGTTCAGGGCTTCAGATGAAAAGAGATGCATTGGGAAGGCCTGAACGCAGATTGGTCCCATGACACTAGATTTGACGGTTCAGATAAGATCGTAATCAGAGTACAAGGTTCCATGACACAAGAATGATCTCTGATGTTCAGCTGAACGGGAAGCAGGGAAGCACCTGGACAATGACGCATTTCAGGAGCCCGAAATCCAGCGTCGTTCGTCCGTTAGGCATGCAGATAAGAAGCCGTGCAGCTCAGATTCCAGCTTGACTTTTGCTTGCACCATCGAAAAAAGGGCATTCGGCACCACTGATGCAGCCATCGAAAAAAGGGCATTCGGCAGCTGCCACTCGAAAAAAGGGCATTCGGCAGCTGCCACTCGAAAAAAGGGCATTCGGCAGCTGCCACTCGAAAAAAGGGCATTCGGCAGCTGCCACTCGAAAAAAGGGCATTCGGCACCACTGATGCAGCCATGGAAAAAAGGGCATTCGGCACCACTGATGCAGCCATGGAAAGCTGTTACTCGGAGCTAAAAGAAACAAACAAAAATGTGCAGTTACAGCCTGTATCCATGAATCATCGGTCAGCAGCGTCAGTGAGGGAAGCTAGAAGAGGTTGGATTGGATGGATGCACAGCACAACCCTCATCGCATCCTCTCACGCCCTAAATGCCTAACCTGACATAACCTGACGTAACCTGAAATAAGAAGTGAACTGCTTTCAGATGGTCAGGTTAGCTTTTGGCACAAACCTTACCATCTCGGAGCGCGTGGACGTTGGAGGTTTGCTCGGGAAGTTAGGGGGCGGAGCGCATAGACGAAAGGGACAGGCTTATTTTCCTCGCTATAGTAACAGTAGGTTATGCCTGAATTGCAGACTGACCGGTTTCACATGATAAATATGCTATAAATTCTGCAAAAAAGAACATAAAAAACATTGATTTGTTGAATGCAAACACTACTGTAAATCATTGCTCCAATTAACCTCATCCAGATTTACATTTAGCCCAGTTATTGGGTTGTACCAAGCTTTCGTGAATGAAGCTACCTGTGATGCATAGGTCACATAAAGGATTGTCCTCAATGTGGAACATCCGATATCCAAGTGTTTCCAAAGAATACACCAAGGAAAGAAGCTCTTGAGGCTCATCGGCCCTGCATCCAAAGAACAGGGGTGCACACAGAACATCGTAAACCATGCAAAGCAGATAATAATGAAGGAAGAGGGGGGGGGGACCAGGGACACAGGAATTGAGTAGCTGATGGAGCATCGAAACTCACTCATGAAAGTCGACGACGAGTTGACCGAAAGGAAGCTTCCCTCCATCGATGGCCAGTCTAGCACCCACAGATGGGTCCTCTGCATCTTCCCTCCCCTCCTCATAGTTCCTCACTCCTCCACCACCACTATTACTAGCGCCTGCTAGTTCGGCAACCGGACCTGCTGGTTCAGCAACCACACCTGCAGGTTCGGCAACCGCACCTACCACCTCACCTGCACCAGTACCTGCAGCTGTTGCTTCTGCTGCAGGTACATCTGTTGGAGCAGCTGGTTCTGCTGCGTCTGCTGCTGCTGGTTCTGCTGCTTCTGCTAGTGACCGGAAGTGACCTAACTTTTCCAGCATGCCCCTTCCCACCCCCTCTGCTGCTGTCCCATTCACATTGCCCTCAAACACATCGAATATCACCTCCTCCTCGCACCCCCCACAGCTGAGCTTCAGAATATCGATGTACGTGTGGTTGAGATCCTGTAATAATGGTATAGGAGGAAGGGGGCGTTACAATATTAGCATGAGAGCGCATTGAATATCACTACCTCCTCACACCCCCCACAGCTGAGCTTCAGAATATCGATGTACGTGTGGTTGAGATCCTGCGACAAGGGTAGATGAGGAAGGGGGCGTTGGGATGTCAAAAAGAGAGCACATCGAACATCGCACTCCTCCTCTCACGCACTCCTCTCAGCTGAGAGGAGCTGAGGAGCTGAGAGCACATCGAACATCGCCCTCCTCCTCGAACGCACCACCTGTATCAGTTCAGGTAGCGTGCGGAAAGTGACATTCGGGATCCACTTCTGTTAGTCGTTCAAGGGAGCCCTCCCCCCACCCACCCTCCCTCCATCCCCTCCCCACTCTACCTGCATAAGCTCAGGCAGAGTGCGGAAAGTCACATTGGGGTTCCACTTCTGGTAATCGCCCAATGATGCCTTTCCAGCCAGCCCCACGGAGTGGAAGTGCAGGAAGCGCAGCAGCTGCATGCGCGCCTGGGCTTGCGGGGAAAGGAAGGGGTCGAGCGTGTATGGCTGCGAGCGGTAGTGGCGGAACATGGCCTCTTCAAAAGAGTACTCCTCGTCACTGCCCACACTGTGAGGTGAGTGGGGGACAGACACGGGGAGAGCAAAGGGTCGAGTGTGTAGGGCTGCGAGCGGCAGTGGCGGAACATTGACTCTTCGAAAGAGTACTCCTCGTCACTGCCCACACAGGGAGGTGAGTGGTCAAAGTGGGGGACAAACAGTTGGTAGGGTAAGGAAGGGGTGGAGCGTGTAGGGCTGCGAGTGGTAGTGGCGGAACATGGACTCTTTAAAAGAGTACTCTTCGTCACTGCTCACCGCGAGAGAGAAGGGAGACATGAGGAGTTGGGGACAGGGAGAGGGAGAAGAGTGAGAAAAAGAGGAGGGACGGAGGCTTGAGGCTTGCAGGGAGAGGAAGGGGTCGAGCGTGTAGGGCTGGGAGTGGTAGTGGCGGAACATGGACCCTTCGAATGAATACTCCTCGTCACTGCCCACACTGGGGAGAGATGGGGTGGGGGGTGAAGTGGGGAGAAGGGGGGAGGGGAGGGAGGGGATGGAGGCGGGTTGCATAGGAAAACAACATGGACTCTCCAAATGCATACTCCTTGCCACTGCCCCACACTGGGGAAAGAGGAAGGAGAGGGGGCAGGAGAGAGAGTGCGGGAATAGGAGAGGAAGGAGGGTGTGGAAGGGAGAAAGAAAGGGATCGAGTGTGCATGAACGATAGTGGTGGCCACATCAAAGGAGTATGTGTGGAAATAGCGAGCAAGGGTTCAGAGACTGAGCGAGGGGTTAGAGGCTGAGAGAGGGTTCAGAGGTGTTGAGAGGGGTTAGAGGCTGAGAGAGGGTTCAGAGGTTGAAAGAAATGTTCAGGGATGTCTTGTTGAAACGCTTTAATATGCAAGACTTCACCGTTAAAATGCCTGTGTTTGCACGTGAAAGGCTAAACTCACAGGCAAACATGCGCACTCGGTAAAAAAAAACGGGGCAGCTTGAAAAAGTCTCCCTTGATTGGACTCACCTGTAGACAATGGGTTTGGCTTGAATGGCTGTTGGAATTAAACACACCCACTGGGGTAAGGAAGGGGCAAGGGAGGGCGTAGATGGGGAGACGAAGAAAAGGAAGGGAGGGGAGTAAGGAGGTGACATTCTTGAATCGACTCAAAAAAAGGAGGTGCCATCTGGCAGACGAAATGCCCTTTCTGTAATCAAACACTTCAGGTGCAATCACAGCCCAGGTGCAATCACAGCCCAGGTGCAATCACAGCCCAGGTGCAATCACAGCCCAGGTGCAATCACAGCCCAGGTGCGATCACAGCCCGTTACAATGATCTTACGCACACCCACTGGGAGAAGAGGTGGAAGGCAGGGCAGGGTGGGAGGGTGGGAGGGAGAAAGGAAAGGAGAGAATTGTGAGTGAGAGGGAGGAGGCATTGAGGAGTCAGATGAGTATAGTGGCATAGAAAGGTGGGTGAAGACAGGCAAATTTACTACGCCAGGCAGTGATGGAGCAAGTTTTACTTCCATTTCTGGAAGGTGAGTTCTTCCATTTCTTCATTTCTGTGTGATGGAGCAAGTTTTTGTGTGTGTGTGGGTGTGTGTGATTTTCTTTTCTTTTCTTTTTCTTTTCCCTCGCACCCTAGGGCCCCCCACGCACCTTTTTTCCCCACGCCTCACGCCCCCACCCTCTCCTCATAGGGGCACGGGTAAGTGGGAATGAGCACGCGCATGCGCACGTGATAACATCTCCTTAGCGTTCACCCAGATACCTCTGTCCTCATACCCTAGGCTCCCCCAGGCATCTTCCTTCCCCCACACACCTTTCCTCCCACGCCCCACGCCCCCACCCTCTCCTCATAGGGACAGGGGTACGTGGGAATGAGCACGCGCATGCGCATGTGGTGGAAATCCTTCAGCATAGGTTGTAGATGGCCCCCTAGGGACGCCTTTCTGTTGGCCATGTTGGCCTGAAGGGAGAGAGGGAGGGGGAAAGGGAGAGCGGCGATGTGGGAAGAGGAGGGGGGAGGCACATCTCAGCATGGGTATAGGTGGCCCCCTAGGGACGCCTTTCTGTTGGCCATGTCGGCCTAATGACAATTACAACCCTTCGACTTACCCAGTATGCTGCCTCCGCATGCAATAAAACAGCATCCACCCAGTCGGGATCTTATTCGCTCTATTCCCACATTGAAATTAACTAATTATTGACTAAAAAGACACTAATTGACACACCCGGCATACTGCCTCTGTGTTCCATTCCCCGCGAATAATCCATCCAAGTTGATTTTCTAGTCAACATGGCGTTACCTAAATGGCTCACCCGGTAAACCGCCTCTGCATGGCATAAGACAGCATCCAGGCCATCCCGTCCAGCCTTGGTGTTCCATTCCCCTCGCAAATCTCCATCCGCTCCCGCATTTTCCGAAAGATATACACTCGATCCTGATATGCTAGAGACTAGCCATAGCGGTGTGATAATAACAAGGATGATCAGAAGCGCGGCGAGATATGGCTTCGCTCTGGGAAACCAGTCTTCGCTATTCGCGAATGCAGATGCGATGAACTCGCGAGGGTTGTTACGCAAATGCCGAGAAACGGACTCCCACCAACGCCGGTCTAGTAGCTGGCGGAAAAATACAGCCCATTCTCGCCTTCGGATTGGAGAGATCGAGAATGAGGTGGAGAGCGAGGACAATGGCAGGGAGAAAAACGAGTCTCGAGAATCCGGAGAGGAGGATCGGTGGACAGGCGGAGCGTGAAGTGGCGGATGAGAGGAGGCTGCTCGCGAGTGGATGTTCATGAACGGAGAGCTCTCCTCAGTGATTGCTTCGTCTGGTCCAGCCATTGATGATAAGAGTGCGGTACTTCCGTCGCAGGATCGGACTCGCGCCGCAGGGGCCCTGCAGAATGTGGATGTAGCTCAGCTATCGCGACAGGTCTATCATCTAAAAAGCCAAGAGCAGCATGCACCATACGGGTGATCCGCTATGGAAATCCGCTATGCATCATCTCTCGGCTTGCTCAAGCCAAAGCTGGAAATTTACTGTAGTGTCGCCCATATTAAGAATTAGTACATAAACTCCAACAGATTGTTACCTTCTGCCACAACTATCAAAGAAAGAAAGAAAGAAAAAAATATGAGCTACATCAAGAAAAACGCCAATGTCTTATTGCTAACTCCTAGAATAATCATGCAAGAAACTGGCGGTTTTGGTCTTCATATCTCCTCGGTTCACGTCGCTGCAGTTGTCTGTGCCATTGACCGTCGGATAGCCTCAGCATATGTGCTGTACTGGTATGTCAAGGTCACATCCAACAACTCCTCCAAGGAAGTCTCTGGCTCCCAACCTGCAACACAGTCCCAACTTGTTAAGACACACCAATAATCACAACACAACAATAATCACCATAGCACACAAATATGAGAAGACTCACCCAGCTGCTGCTGAATAAGCGTCATGTCTGGAATCCGCCGGTCACTATCATCATAGCCCTTTCCGTAGAAATCACTTGATGTAACGTCGATTGTGGGTGTTGCAGGCTCTGCTTGCTTGCTCACTTTGCAGTAGATCTGCACGGCATCAGATGAGCAACCATTAGAGACGAGATACCCACTTACTTCATAGACTACTTGGAGCCATCTGACATACCCTCGTCATCATTGTTGCCAGTTCACGAACAGAAGCCTCGTTCTTGGGGTTCCCGACATTGAATATGTGCCCATTTGCTCGCTCTGGGTTCTCCTGCAATACGTAAACTTCGTCAGGCTACAGAGCAATTAAGCATACATACATGCGGGAAATCTATCGAATGGACTTACAATCATAAGCATCACGGCGCGGATTGCATCCTTGATGTACACAAAGGTGCGTTGTGACTTGCCACCGTCAACCAGCTTCAGTGGTTCTCCGCGCAAAAGTTGCTGCAGGGACAACGCGAGCAAGCTTAGATATGACAAAGTGGAACACATGGACCACCATATACTAAACCTTCAGTACCTACATTGCTGAAGCAAGCAAGAACTCGAGGCACGCCATCCTTGGGACCATCGATTCCAGGGATAAAATCCATACGGGGACCAATCCAGTTGAACGGGCGGACGATGGTGAATTTGAGATCATTTTCAGCCCCCTCAGCTGTGACACAGCACAAAAGATATTCCACTTAGTCCCAGCGAGCCAACCAAATGAACCAACGGAAGTGGTGTGCACTTCTCACCATAGATGACCCTTTCAATGAGCTGCTTTGCACAAGCGTATGACCACCGTTGCTTTTGCACGGGCCCGAAAATGCAAGGCGTTTCGTCTTCTTTCAGCACATAATATTGGGGATCCTGTTATGTTTAGAGCAAAGACGGAAATCGTCAGACACTCGTTAGCGCTTAATCACGATGAACTTGACGATACAGACCTCAAAAGGGAGGCTCTTACATTGCGCATATTGCTGTCAGGAGGCAAAAAGGCTCCAACCGTCTTGCCGTAGACCTCACAGGTGGAGAAATGAATCAGTCTTCTTTTGAAATCTGAGCAGAACTTGGCCTGGAAAAGACAGTCCATTATGTTACATCCCGCTAGAGAAAACAGTTTCACATACATTGTGATTGGAAGGCGAACTAACCACGGGGAGAGCATCGACGAAGTTGCTGTAGATAGTATCCAGCGGCCTGGTGTTGTAATCCGCTGGAGTACAGATGGCAGCCAAATTAATCGTCTGCGCGAAGAATTATCGCTGTTAGTAAGTGCTGAAGTTTCCTAAGACGCATTTGGGGTGGAAGCATTGAGCATTTATTGCGATTAGAATAGCTAGACCCACCAAGTCACATGACTTGATTATGCCTTCAAGACGCGGATCATTGCTGATGTTAAACTGGTGAAACTCCATCCGACCGCTCCATGGATGAGAATCACCCAGCAGGTGCTCGATCTTGTCATTGTACATGTCAACGTAGCGCCACCACTACATGGTTGGTCTCCCACATCAAAGCCTCGCATAGGTGCGATCCAATGAAACCTGCTGCTCCTATAATACACATCCTAATAGGTGCGATCTCCTTGCCATCTAGGTCAAACCGTTTGGCCATGACTACCCTATGTCGGACGTTCAAATTCAGCCTGCTTACTAAACCCAGAAAGGGAAAAGAGCTCGAAAGACGTGATACCAATAAATAAGTACTACTTCGTTTCAGAACTTCTGGCCAGCACCTTCAAGGCCGGCAATGGCTGGTTTAGGATGCTGAGGTGACGGAACGGAGATCACGGAGCATGGAGAATTCCACTGACAGGTGAATTCGGCAAGAGAGCACGGATCGAATTGGTGAAGTAGTGAATGAATGGGATGGGAGGGAAGGGGGGAGGAGAAGCGGGAAAGCCGTTTGCCTGATGACGACATCTTTCACTTTCGCAAGTTCACACGCCAATAGCGTCGTCTCGCCCATGCGAGCAGCGGCGAGTGTCGTTCTTCATGCCCGCGGTCTGCGATTCTCTGACGACACCCTCCTCGCCAGGCAAACCGCTCGTTTTTGTGGACTATCCATTCCAAGGGCTTCTACACGGTTCTCCGTTACTGGCAAATTCTTTCGCTGCTTACACAGTTACGATTCAAACATTAAGTTACATCTGGTAAATCGATAACTGCTTCCCAATATCAATGATTTAATTGCTAGTTTCATTGTTGAAGAATTGAATTCGCTTTAATCTTTTCGTGCTTTCCAAACTTTTGAACCGATACTTATGAGGAGGGCCTTTTTTAGGATTAAAGTGAGCCCAGTCCAAGTGTGCAAAAGTACAGGCTAGTTTATGGGCCCTGTGCCCAGGCCATTGCCTGAAAAGTCTCGGTATAGATGATAAATGGCGCAATATCGAATGCAACAATGTATAAGAAGAACAATATATACACTACCATGACGAGATTCCCTTCTTAGGGCAAATAACCCTCGGGCCTAACATCCCCCTCCAACCCCATCTTTTTTGTGTCACAGCAGCATCAGGGCTATTCTGACAAGCAGCCACACGCCGTTCCGCTCCGCCTTTCACGCAGCCACACCGCCAGCAGCAGAGCTATTCGCTCCGCGTAGTCACCGTCCATCCGTTCCGTATATCCCTCCGTCGCTCGCCTACCACCATGTCTCAGGCTCTGACTCGCTCTGTCCTGCGGCGCGCGGAGATGCTGCGCAACGTGTCCGTGAGGCAAATGTCGTCGTCGTCGTCGCACGCGCATGACGTTGGTGAGACGTGATTTCACCTGCGAATAACATATATAGTGGATCTCGATCTTTGCGTGAGGTGACTATTGAGTGGAGTCAGCAGTTACATCGTTGGTGAGGGGCACTTCTTGTGGATCTCGACGTTAGCAGAGAGTCGTTACAGTTTTGTTGCGTGAACAGAGACGTCAGACTTTTGTCCCGTTCTTCGAGCCGAGGATCTTTAGGAGCGGGCAACACCACCGAGTATTTATTCTTACTCGCTTAGTTGATGTTTTAGTCGACTCGGGTCCCCTCGTCACAATGCCACACGGCACGTCATTTTGAAGTAGATGGACGGCTTTTTTTCTCGTGTAGGTTATCCTTGATGTGTTCTTTTTGATCGTCGTCGGGATTCCTAAGGTAATTTTGTCACACCCAATGTGTGCGTGTTGTCATTGGCGTCTCCTAGGTCGCAAGAACTTGGTGTATTCTTTTTCTATCGTTGCTCTTAGCCGGAGAATCTTAGGTCGCTAATGCGTTTGTGTTCGATGCTTTTAGTTTAGTCCCGGTGCATTGCGTTTCGCTGCTGTGCTTTGCGGTGCGTTGCGGTGTTTCATGGTGCGTATGAACAGAGGAGACCATCAAGTGGCGCAACATCACGGCTGTCGCCATGGTCGGCTGCTTGGCCTTGGGCGTCTACAACTTCGCGGGAACTCCTCACCACGAGAAGCATGAGCGACCGGTGAGTTACCCTTCGCACTCATTTTGTTTGATTCTCTAAAGTCTTTTAAAACAACCCATTACGGGTGCTTTCTGATAGACGATCTTGCATAATCATGAGCTGCCAGCAGGCTTTAATGCCAGATGATATCGTTCTCTTGCCAAGTAAGGATATTTTTTATGTACTACAACGTGCCCAGCTCTACATTGTGTACAAGGCTCGAGTTGTGCATGCGAGTTAAACAGCGTGCTGAAATACTTCCAGGGGATAATATCCGATTCTATTATTGTGGTCTTCTGTTTCTCCCTTGTGGGTGTGTTCACCAATCATTACGCCATTGCAGGCATACCCCTACCTTCACATTCGCAACAAGGAGTTCCCTTGGGGTAAGAGAAACCAGGGCCCCTACCCTGTTCGTTTCAGTCCTTTCACTCCACAACCCATCCTCCCTAAATACCCCGACTTTTTTTATCTCTGCAATGCATGTCTACAGCTGTCAGATGTAGAATCTGAATGGCCGTCCAACTTGGTTTTGATCACTTGTCTGCTCCGAAAAAACTTCACGTAATGTTGCCTTTATTTCTCAAGTCACCTCGTGTGCATTTTGCATGCCTGCAGGACCCTGCGGGCTGTTCGAGTGGGATTGCAAGACTGCTGCCGATGCCAAGTGAAGCAGAGTGTAGTGCAGGCTCAAGCGCAACACCAGATATGCCGTATGGCAGAAGTACCAAACCGTATTATAGTCTATGTTGAAGCGTATTCCAAGCGTATTATAGTCCCTGTTGTCTGGAAAAGAAAGCGGACAATGGCTGTTGGTACTGTGTATAGCAAGGATCATGGTTCTTACAGCACACAGAAGCTGTGATGCGATGCGTTACCTTGCAGGCGTTTCCATGTATACTTACTGAAGCTATTACAAGCGTAGTACAGGTAATACTACAGTTTGCCTTATTCTGGACCTACAGGTACTATGCTGCGCGTCTGAGCCCCGCGCCCCTGAGTAAAGCTCCGTTCTAGGTGCCTTACCATGCAAAAAGTGTACAGTAATGAATTACATTGCTAGTCCTGTACACAGCGCTCTGTAACAAGCACATCACCCCTTGAGTCTCGTGAAATACGAATTTCCTCATCAATGTAGGTGTTGTCAAACCTGTTGGAGTGGTGCAGTAGATTGGGATGTACATATTCCAACATGGAGTGGCATCAACAGGGACAGAAATAGGATGAGATACAAATCTCCTCGTCAATGTACTGCTGTAGGTTTTGTCAAACCTGTTTAGGGTTTTAACCTTAAAAAAAGCAGCAGCAACTGGGACAAAGATTGGACGGACGCGCAGAGTGTGCTTCAGACAATCTTTGAGTCAACTCAAAAATTGCCCCATCACACAAAGATTGGACGGTCATGAGAACAGTCGTTGTGTGCTTTTGAATCAAAGTCTCACAATCATTGGAAGGGAACACCTTGACTCACCATCCTTGGAACGAAAAGCAGAACAGGTAGGTAGGGGTCCACGAAGCAGTGATCAGTCCAGAAATTGGAAGACCCCTAAGTTACCTTGTTACCCTACAATGCCACATGGAATTGATGAAACAGCACATTCCCACTCACCATCCCTGGCCGAACGGTGGAACAGGTAGGGTCCAGGAAGCAGTGACTAGCCGAGCACCTGTGAACCTGTTTGACGTGGGAAAGGGAAAGCAAGAGGCTGTTTGAGTCGACTTTAAAAAAAGTGGGAGTTGGGAGTGGTAGGGTCCAGGAAGCAGTGATGAGACGAGCTCCAGTGAACCTGATTGACGTGTGGAAGGGGAAGCAGGAGGCGATTTGAGTCGACTCAAAGGGTGGGAGTTGGGACTGGTAGGGTTCATGAAGCAGTGACAACACGAGCACCTGTGAACCTGGTGTGGGGAAGGGGAAGCAGGAGGCGATTTGAGTCGACTAGAAAAAGTGGGAGTTGGGACTGGTAGGGTTCATGAAGCAGTGCGAGACGAGCACTTGTGAACCTGATTGACGTGGGGAAGGGGAAGCAGGAGGCTCTTCAAGTCGACTTAAAAAAAAGTGGGAGTTGGGACTGGTAGGGTTCATGAAGCAGTGACGAGACGAGCACCTGTAAACCTGGTGTGGGGAAGGAGAAACGAAAGCAGAGGCAGGTTCACCTGGAAAGCTTCTAAGGTGAACCTTGATGGATGTAACTATGGCAAGCAGAGGCATGGCTTAGCAGACCTAAGGGGGCATGCGACAAGCAGGGGGAAAGGGAGGGATACTGAGGGGACAGTCATGCTGGGTGAAGTCATCGAACTGAGGGACATATAAAAACCACGTGAAATGATGCAATTTTGTAGGCGCTTCAAATCGTCCAAGGGGAAGGTCGTTATAGTGGCAGTGGTAGAGACATTGAACAGAGGGGCATGCGTGAGAGAGATGGAAGGGGGGGACTGGCAGGTGGTGCGTGAGAGGGGACTGACTGGAAGGTGACGCGTTGTGCGGAGGCGATTTGAATGGAGGCAGAGACAGGAGCGAAGAGAGAGGGCGAGTGGTGGGAGGGAGGGAGAAGGCATGCAGAGTCGGTGCACAGGCTGACAGGGAGAAGGGATGGCAGGGATGGCAGGGGCGATACTGACTGGAAGGTGACGCGTTGTGCGGAGGCGATTTGAATGGAGGCAGAGACATCAAACATGCCCGCAGGAGAGAAAGGGGGGATTGGCAAGTGGTGTATGTTGGAAGGGAGAGGGCGGATGTGGAGGGATGGATGGTACTGACTGGAAGGTGACTTGTTGGGCGGAGGCGATTTGAATGGAGGCAGAGACATCAAACATGCCCGATGGGGGGAAGGTGATGGTGTTGCTCAGAGTGCCCTTCCCCACGTCTATGGTCTGCATGGGGTGACAGGGAAGGGGAAAGCGAGTGAGTAAAGGAGGGGACAAGGGGGGAAGGTGATGGTGTTGCTTAGAGTGCCCTTCGCACGTCTATGGTTTGCAAGGCAGGGGGGAGAAAGGGGGGGTACAGAAAAGGAAGGGGAAAGGTGATAATGCTGCTTAGTGTCCCCTTCGCCACGACTAGGGTCTGCATGGGGTGGTGGGAGTAAGTGAGTGGGTAAGTGGGAGAGGAAAGGAAGGGGAAAGAGGGGAAAGGTGATGATGTTGCTCACCTATAGTTTGCATGGTCTGGTAAAAGACCATGCAAAGCAAAGAAGCTGCTTACTTGAAACGTGTCTCCGGCGGTGGTGCCGAAAAACGGAGCCTGCTTGAAAATGAACAGCGTCTCTTTCTCTGTCGTCCATAGAAGCTTCCACGTGGCGCTCAATGATTCGTTAGAGGTTGTCACAGGAGCTTCTTTCCCCCCATCCGCGCTTCCCCCTCCTCCTAACCTTTCCAGCGATTCAATAGCGGCCAGAATTTCGCGAGTAATCGCCGAGTCTGTTACCACTCCGCGCTCCGACTTCGCAATTACGGCGCGGAGCCTGGCTTTAACCGCTGCTGCGTCATTCGCGGTAGAAGGTGATTCGGATACGTTAGAAGCAGGATTCGTACCACCCGTCCCGTCGTCGGATTCGCCCTGCAATTGTAACCGTCGCGAAAAAAATGTTACCAAATTCGGCAATCTTTCGTCATTAGAGCAGCTCACAGGACCGGTAAGACGACTGGTGCGACAAACACGAGCAATACGATTGCTGGCGACGCGCGTAGTAACGAAGGGAGCAAGTGTGCGACGTGGCGGCGACAGCACAGATGCTGTCGTGGGCTTGTAAATGACGGCCATGGACTCCATGCGACCGTGGCTGGCAGACGGAAAAGTCCGACGGAATCCGTCTTTCCACGGACTGCGGCTCGCGCAGACGAACTGTCAGAATCTGTTTGGACTAGAACTCCAAGTTGAACTGGGCACTGAACTGAACTAGGCGCCTGTGCTGGGGGCTAGAATTCTAAGTTCCATTGTTCGCGGTATACAATGGTTAGATGGGAGTCAAGAAAGTATATTCGGGTTTCCAGTGCGGTTACGAGTAGCTCCTTGGGCTTCGCATCCAAAAATTTGCTGAACCTCCCCCACGCCCAAGCCTGCTTTTGTTTTGGTCCTGATGCAAGGGTGCCATTGGGGTTTCACTTACTACTGCTCGGTGCTGAACATTTTGAAGCGGTACAGATTGCTCACCGCTCTGAACCGCCCTATGTTCCGCTTTCGGAACATGGCACGGACTGGACACTTCTTTACAGCATTTCTTCTTTCCGCTGTCTTCCACGCTTCTCAGTAATGTACAGTCACGGGAATCTTGCAAGCCATTAGCTGAAAGAGCGCTGGCTTCCTTCACAACATTCACGTGGTCCTGCTGAAATTCTCGTTCTCACAGCAAAAACCTCGCGAATATTCTTTCTGCTGAAGATTTTCCAGCAAGGTTGTCGTTCCGAGCACGCACTCGTATATTCTTCTTCCTCAAGTTCGTGAACCCAAATCCGAACGAGTTTTGTCTGGCGTCTCAGAAACGACCTTTTGGTGTCACGTGATCTCGCTGTACTTCCCTGTTGTGCGTAGCGTGCTAGCCTCAGTTAGCGTCAGCTGAGTCTCAGATAACCTCAGTTTCCGTCAGTTAATCTCAGTCAGGAAACAGTGGAGATTGGGTCGCGGGGCCGCGAATCGTCTCGTTTGGGTTGCAATTGTCCGAATAATAGGAACGGTTACACCGAGTGGTAACTGTAAGGGGTCGTGTAAAAGGCTCGGAGCGCCTCAGAAAAGATTAGGAACAATCACCCAGACAGGTGATTATAACGGGTCGAGAATCGCTTGTGAGTGTGGAAGCTAGTCCATTAAGCCAGCGTTAGCCACGTCACCTGCCACGTCAGCACGATGCTGAAGAACATGTTCGGCCCGAAGCTGACTCCGCAGCAGCAGCTGCGGGAGTGGCAGCGCAAGCTACGGCAGGAGCAACGCAACATTGAGCGGAACATCCGAGGTAGGTTGTTGGGGCGAGCGGTGGGATGGGATGGTACGGAGCTGAATGAGATTGATTTAGATGGGTTGATTTGGGAGAGAGTGGCAGCGCAATTTGCGGGAGGAGCAGTGCAACATTGAGCGGAGCATTTGAGGTGGGTTGGGGATAGGTTGGGATGGGATCTGATTGGGTGTGCTAAATTGGGGGGGAGTGGCAGGGCAAGCTACGGCAGGAGCAGCGCAACATAGAGCGGAACATCTGAGGTGGGTTACAATAAGACGGGATGAAATTTGATGGGGTAGGATGGAGCGTTGTGGGATGGGATGTGGTAGGGTGGAGCGGGGTGGGGTGAGGGATGGAATTGAGTGGGATGGGATGGGTGGTATCACGTAAATGCTGTAATTCTGGAGAGTTGTCTTTGAGTCGCTTTAAAAGAAAATCAGCCAACAGCGGAGCATCCGAGGTTGATTAAATTGTCACGGTTCTAGGACGGTATGCAGACACTATATTTTCATGAACGAGTTTAAAGTGGTGAATGTGGAGATGGACTTTTAGAAGGCGATGAAGATTCATTCAAATAGGTCAGTACTTTTCTATCAACCATGTCCATCACTGTATCTTACCGTTTTGTCCCTTTCATCCCTCCTCCCTCCGTCCTCCCCCAGCTGTCTCCCCCCTCGTGCGTCCTTCCTCCTCCTTCATTCCCCCCTACCCCTGTCCTCCCTCCACCCTCCTTTCTCTGCAGAGATTCAGCGGGAGGAGGTGAATGTGAAGAAGGGAATCAAGGAGGCGGTTGAGAATCAACAAAGTGCTCTCACCAGCGTGCTCTCTCAATCTTGCCACTTTGCCGCATGCCTTCCTCTCTCCCCTTTCTCCGCAGAGATTCAGCGGGAGGAGGTGAATGTGAAGAAGGGAATCAAGGAGGCGGTTGAGAATCAACAAAGTGCTCTCACCAGCGTGCTCTCTCAATCTTGCCACTTTGCCGCATGCCTTCCTCTCTCCCCTTTCTCCGCAGAGATTCAGCGGGAGGAGGTGAATGTGAAGAAGGGAATCAAGGAGGCGGTTGAGAATCAACAAAGTGCTCTCACCAGCGTGCTCTCTCAATCTTGCCACTTTGCCGCATGCCTTCCTCTCTCCCCTTTCTCCGCAGAGATTCAGCGGGAGGAGGTGAATGTGAAGAAGGGAATCAAGGAGGCGGTTGAGAATCAACAAAGTGCTCTCACCAGCGTGCTCTCTCAATCTTGCCACTTTGCCGCATGCCTTCCTCTCTCCCCTTTCTCCGCAGAGATTCAGCGGGAGGAGGTGAATGTGAAGAAGGGAATCAAGGAGGCGGTTGAGAATCAACAAAGTGCTCTCACCAGCGTGCTCTCTCAATCTTGCCACTTTGCCGCATGCCTTCCTCTCTCCCCTTTCTCCGCAGAGATTCAGCGGGAGGAGGTGAATGTGAAGAAGGGAATCAAGGAGGCGGTTGAGAATCAACAAAGTGCTCTCACCAGCGTGCTCTCTCAATCTTGCCACTTTGCCGCATGCCTTCCTCTCTCCCCTTTCTCCGCAGAGATTCAGCGGGAGGAGGTGAATGTGAAGAAGGGAATCAAGGAGGCGGTTGAGAATCAACAAAGTGCTCTCACCAGCGTGCTCTCTCAATCTTGCCACTTTGCCGCATGCCTTCCTCTCTCCCCTTTCTCCGCAGAGATTCAGCGGGAGGAGGTGAATGTGAAGAAGGGAATCAAGGAGGCGGTTGAGAATCAACAAAGTGCTCTCACCAGCGTGCTCTCTCAATCTTGCCACTTTGCCGCATGCCTTCCTCTCTCCCCTTTCTCCGCAGAGATTCAGCGGGAGGAGGTGAATGTGAAGAAGGGAATCAAGGAGGCGGTTGAGAATCAACAAAGTGCTCTCACCAGCGTGCTCTCTCAATCTTGCCACTTTGCCGCATGCCTTCCTCTCTCCCCTTTCTCCGCAGAGATTCAGCGGGAGGAGGTGAATGTGAAGAAGGGAATCAAGGAGGCGGTTGAGAATCAACAAAGTGCTCTCACCAGCGTGCTCTCTCAATCTTGCCACTTTGCCGCATGCCTTCCTCTCTCCCCTTTCTCCGCAGAGATTCAGCGGGAGGAGGTGAATGTGAAGAAGGGAATCAAGGAGGCGGTTGAGAATCAACAAAGTGCTCTCACCAGCGTGCTCTCTCAATCTTGCCACTTTGCCGCATGCCTTCCTCTCTCCCCTTTCTCCGCAGAGATTCAGCGGGAGGAGGTGAATGTGAAGAAGGGAATCAAGGAGGCGGTTGAGAATCAACAAAGTGCTCTCACCAGCGTGCTCTCTCAATCTTGCCACTTTGCCGCATGCCTTCCTCTCTCCCCTTTCTCCGCAGAGATTCAGCGGGAGGAGGTGAATGTGAAGAAGGGAATCAAGGAGGCGGTTGAGAATCAACAAAGTGCTCTCACCAGCGTGCTCTCTCAATCTTGCCACTTTGCCGCATGCCTTCCTCTCTCCCCTTTCTCCGCAGAGATTCAGCGGGAGGAGGTGAATGTGAAGAAGGGAATCAAGGAGGCGGTTGAGAATCAACAAAGTGCTCTCACCAGCGTGCTCTCTCAATCTTGCCACTTTGCCGCATGCCTTCCTCTCTCCCCTTTCTCCGCAGAGATTCAGCGGGAGGAGGTGAATGTGAAGAAGGGAATCAAGGAGGCGGTTGAGAATCAACAAAGTGCTCTCACCAGCGTGCTCTCTCAATCTTGCCACTTTGCCGCATGCCTTCCTCTCTCCCCTTTCTCCGCAGAGATTCAGCGGGAGGAGGTGAATGTGAAGAAGGGAATCAAGGAGGCGGTTGAGAATCAACAAAGTGCTCTCACCAGCGTGCTCTCTCAATCTTGCCACTTTGCCGCATGCCTTCCTCTCTCCCCTTTCTCCGCAGAGATTCAGCGGGAGGAGGTGAATGTGAAGAAGGGAATCAAGGAGGCGGTTGAGAATCAACAAAGTGCTCTCACCAGCGTGCTCTCTCAATCTTGCCACTTTGCCGCATGCCTTCCTCTCTCCCCTTTCTCCGCAGAGATTCAGCGGGAGGAGGTGAATGTGAAGAAGGGAATCAAGGAGGCGGTTGAGAATCAACAAAGTGCTCTCACCAGCGTGCTCTCTCAATCTTGCCACTTTGCCGCATGCCTTCCTCTCTCCCCTTTCTCCGCAGAGATTCAGCGGGAGGAGGTGAATGTGAAGAAGGGAATCAAGGAGGCGGTTGAGAATCAACAAAGTGCTCTCACCAGCGTGCTCTCTCAATCTTGCCACTTTGCCGCATGCCTTCCTCTCTCCCCTTTCTCCGCAGAGATTCAGCGGGAGGAGGTGAATGTGAAGAAGGGAATCAAGGAGGCGGTTGAGAATCAACAAAGTGCTCTCACCAGCGTGCTCTCTCAATCTTGCCACTTTGCCGCATGCCTTCCTCTCTCCCCTTTCTCCGCAGAGATTCAGCGGGAGGAGGTGAATGTGAAGAAGGGAATCAAGGAGGCGGTTGAGAATCAACAAAGTGCTCTCACCAGCGTGCTCTCTCAATCTTGCCACTTTGCCGCATGCCTTCCTCTCTCCCCTTTCTCCGCAGAGATTCAGCGGGAGGAGGTGAATGTGAAGAAGGGAATCAAGGAGGCGGTTGAGAATCAACAAAGTGCTCTCACCAGCGTGCTCTCTCAATCTTGCCACTTTGCCGCATGCCTTCCTCTCTCCCCTTTCTCCGCAGAGATTCAGCGGGAGGAGGTGAATGTGAAGAAGGGAATCAAGGAGGCGGTTGAGAATCAACAAAGTGCTCTCACCAGCGTGCTCTCTCAATCTTGCCACTTTGCCGCATGCCTTCCTCTCTCCCCTTTCTCCGCAGAGATTCAGCGGGAGGAGGTGAATGTGAAGAAGGGAATCAAGGAGGCGGTTGAGAATCAACAAAGTGCTCTCACCAGCGTGCTCTCTCAATCTTGCCACTTTGCCGCATGCCTTCCTCTCTCCCCTTTCTCCGCAGAGATTCAGCGGGAGGAGGTGAATGTGAAGAAGGGAATCAAGGAGGCGGTTGAGAATCAACAAAGTGCTCTCACCAGCGTGCTCTCTCAATCTTGCCACTTTGCCGCATGCCTTCCTCTCTCCCCTTTCTCCGCAGAGATTCAGCGGGAGGAGGTGAATGTGAAGAAGGGAATCAAGGAGGCGGTTGAGAATCAACAAAGTGCTCTCACCAGCGTGCTCTCTCAATCTTGCCACTTTGCCGCATGCCTTCCTCTCTCCCCTTTCTCCGCAGAGATTCAGCGGGAGGAGGTGAATGTGAAGAAGGGAATCAAGGAGGCGGTTGAGAATCAACAAAGTGCTCTCACCAGCGTGCTCTCTCAATCTTGCCACTTTGCCGCATGCCTTCCTCTCTCCCCTTTCTCCGCAGAGATTCAGCGGGAGGAGGTGAATGTGAAGAAGGGAATCAAGGAGGCGGTTGAGAATCAACAAAGTGCTCTCACCAGCGTGCTCTCTCAATCTTGCCACTTTGCCGCATGCCTTCCTCTCTCCCCTTTCTCCGCAGAGATTCAGCGGGAGGAGGTGAATGTGAAGAAGGGAATCAAGGAGGCGGTTGAGAATCAACAAAGTGCTCTCACCAGCGTGCTCTCTCAATCTTGCCACTTTGCCGCATGCCTTCCTCTCTCCCCTTTCTCCGCAGAGATTCAGCGGGAGGAGGTGAATGTGAAGAAGGGAATCAAGGAGGCGGTTGAGAATCAACAAAGTGCTCTCACCAGCGTGCTCTCTCAATCTTGCCACTTTGCCGCATGCCTTCCTCTCTCCCCTTTCTCCGCAGAGATTCAGCGGGAGGAGGTGAATGTGAAGAAGGGAATCAAGGAGGCGGTTGAGAATCAACAAAGTGCTCTCACCAGCGTGCTCTCTCAATCTTGCCACTTTGCCGCATGCCTTCCTCTCTCCCCTTTCTCCGCAGAGATTCAGCGGGAGGAGGTGAATGTGAAGAAGGGAATCAAGGAGGCGGTTGAGAATCAACAAAGTGCTCTCACCAGCGTGCTCTCTCAATCTTGCCACTTTGCCGCATGCCTTCCTCTCTCCCCTTTCTCCGCAGAGATTCAGCGGGAGGAGGTGAATGTGAAGAAGGGAATCAAGGAGGCGGTTGAGAATCAACAAAGTGCTCTCACCAGCGTGCTCTCTCAATCTTGCCACTTTGCCGCATGCCTTCCTCTCTCCCCTTTCTCCGCAGAGATTCAGCGGGAGGAGGTGAATGTGAAGAAGGGAATCAAGGAGGCGGTTGAGAATCAACAAAGTGCTCTCACCAGCGTGCTCTCTCAATCTTGCCACTTTGCCGCATGCCTTCCTCTCTCCCCTTTCTCCGCAGAGATTCAGCGGGAGGAGGTGAATGTGAAGAAGGGAATCAAGGAGGCGGTTGAGAATCAACAAAGTGCTCTCACCAGCGTGCTCTCTCAATCTTGCCACTTTGCCGCATGCCTTCCTCTCTCCCCTTTCTCCGCAGAGATTCAGCGGGAGGAGGTGAATGTGAAGAAGGGAATCAAGGAGGCGGTTGAGAATCAACAAAGTGCTCTCACCAGCGTGCTCTCTCAATCTTGCCACTTTGCCGCATGCCTTCCTCTCTCCCCTTTCTCCGCAGAGATTCAGCGGGAGGAGGTGAATGTGAAGAAGGGAATCAAGGAGGCGGTTGAGAATCAACAAAGTGCTCTCACCAGCGTGCTCTCTCAATCTTGCCACTTTGCCGCATGCCTTCCTCTCTCCCCTTTCTCCGCAGAGATTCAGCGGGAGGAGGTGAATGTGAAGAAGGGAATCAAGGAGGCGGTTGAGAATCAACAAAGTGCTCTCACCAGCGTGCTCTCTCAATCTTGCCACTTTGCCGCATGCCTTCCTCTCTCCCCTTTCTCCGCAGAGATTCAGCGGGAGGAGGTGAATGTGAAGAAGGGAATCAAGGAGGCGGTTGAGAATCAACAAAGTGCTCTCACCAGCGTGCTCTCTCAATCTTGCCACTTTGCCGCATGCCTTCCTCTCTCCCCTTTCTCCGCAGAGATTCAGCGGGAGGAGGTGAATGTGAAGAAGGGAATCAAGGAGGCGGTTGAGAATCAACAAAGTGCTCTCACCAGCGTGCTCTCTCAATCTTGCCACTTTGCCGCATGCCTTCCTCTCTCCCCTTTCTCCGCAGAGATTCAGCGGGAGGAGGTGAATGTGAAGAAGGGAATCAAGGAGGCGGTTGAGAATCAACAAAGTGCTCTCACCAGCGTGCTCTCTCAATCTTGCCACTTTGCCGCATGCCTTCCTCTCTCCCCTTTCTCCGCAGAGATTCAGCGGGAGGAGGTGAATGTGAAGAAGGGAATCAAGGAGGCGGTTGAGAATCAACAAAGTGCTCTCACCAGCGTGCTCTCTCAATCTTGCCACTTTGCCGCATGCCTTCCTCTCTCCCCTTTCTCCGCAGAGATTCAGCGGGAGGAGGTGAATGTGAAGAAGGGAATCAAGGAGGCAGCAAAAAGGGGCGATCTGGGATCAGCCAAGGTGCGTGGGTTGTGCGTGGTGTGGTGTGGTGGGATGGGATGGGATGGGATGGGATGGGATGGGATGGGATGGGATGGGATGGGATGGGATGGGATGGAATGGGATGGGATGGGATGGGATGGGATGGAATGGGATGGGATGGGGTGGTGGGTGGGATGGTGGAGCGAGGTCAATGGGAAGAAGGGAATCAAGGAGGCAGCGAAGCGAGGCGATCTGGGATCAGCCAAGGTGTGTGGGAGACGTGTGCATGCGATAGGTGTGGTGCGGTGTGGTGCAGTGTGGTGGGATGCGATTGTAGTGGTGTTGTGTAGTCTGGAGCGGTGTTCTGTGCTGTGATGTGGTGCTGTGTGGTGTGACGTGGTGTGGCGTGGTAAGGTGTGGTGTGGCATGGTGGAGGGTCTCCAATAGAGGATTTGGTATGTTGTGTGTGTGTAGCGTTCGTGCGTCATAACTCATTCAAGGCTGCATAACTCATCTCCCATCCCGCCTCCTCTTGCCCCTCCCACTCCTCTCGCCTTTCATTTCTCCCCTCTCCCCTGTTCTGTCTCCCCTATCCCGTCACCCCTTCCCACTTCCTCCTTACCCCTTCCATCTCCTAGCATCTAGCCAAGGAGCTGGTGCGATCACGGAAATCCATAGGTCGAATGCACATGGCTCCAGTTAATCCTCACAATCCCTCTCTCCCCCCTCCTTCCCCCCACCCTAATCTCCCCCTTCCCGTCCCCCAGCATCTAGCCAAGGAGCTGGTGCGATCTCGCAAGGCAATTGGCCGCATGCATGAGCAGAAGGTTCAGATGAACTCCATCTCCTCTTTGCACTCTCCCTCTCCACTCCGTGCTGCCTTCCCTCCACTCCACACTAACTGTTCCCTCCACACACATTACGCATGCAGCATCTGGCCAAGGAGTTGGTGCGATCCCGCAAGGCCATCATTTGAACGCACGCTTGCTCATGCTAACTCCCTACTTCAACGCTCTGTGCGTGCAGCATCTAGCCAAGGAGCTGGTGCGATCTCGCAAGGCAATTGGCCGCATGCACGAGCAGAAGGCTCAAATGAACTCCATTTCGCTGCATCTGGGGGAGAACATTGGTGAGTGGGGGGGTGCTAGACATGTGAGGGTTGGAGAGGGATGAATGGTTGGGGAATAGGGGAGCACGAGCACAAGTCTCAGATGAATTCCATCTCGCTGCACATGGGGGAGAACATTGGTGAGCGGGGGGGAGAGGGGAACTTGCTGAGGTTGGGAGCGGTAGAGAAGTGTGACGGTTGGAGAGAGAATATGGGAGGTGTGAGCAGCACGAGCAGAAGGCTCAAATGAACTCCATCTCGCTGCACCTGGGGGAGAACATTGGTGAGTGGGGGGTAGGGTTAGGCATCTGTGTAGGGATTGGAGAGATAGGGTTGGAGAGTGTGAGTGCTGGGTGATAAGGGGAGGTGTGAGCACGAGCAGAAGACTCAAATGAACTCCATTTCGCTGCACCTGGGGGAGAAAATCGGTAAGGGGGGGGAAGAGGGGAAGTTGGTGAGGTTGGGAGCGGCAGGGAGCTGTGTTTGTTGGAGAGAAAATGATTGTTGAGGATCAGTTGTTGGGAAAGCGAGCAGAAAACGAGGAGAAAAGGAGCAGAAAACGAGGAGAAAAGGAGCAGAAAACGAGGAGAAAGCGAGCAGAAAACGAGGAGAAAAGGAGCAGAAAACGAGGAGAAAAGGAGCAGAAAACGAGGAGAAAGCGAGCAGAAAACGAGGAGAAAAGGAGCAGAAAACGAGGAGAAAAGGAGCAGAAAACGAGGAGAAAAGGAGCAGAAAACGAGGAGAAAAGGACATTATTCCAAATGATCTTTATCTCATTGCGTTTGGGGGAGACCATTTGTGGGCGCAAGGATAGGGGAGGGAGTGGCGAAGATGGCGGGGCACATGGCAAAGAGCACAGAGGTGATGAAACTAATCAACGGGCTCATTCAAGTGTTCCCCACTCCCCCTTCGCTCTTCTCCCCGTCCCCCACTCTCCCAATTCCCTCTTCTCCCCTTCCTCCCCTGTTTAACCCCTCCCAATCCCTTCCCACTCCCACCAGCCATGGCGAAGGTGGCAGGGCACATGGCGAAGAGCACAGAGGTGATGAAACTAATCAACGACTTAAAGTGCCACATGTGCTGGTGCTGCTTTGTTTTGTTGACCCCCCTTCTTACCAACTCCCCCTTTTCCTGACTCGATCTCTCCCAACCCCTCCCTCCCTTCCAGCCTTGGCGAAGGTGGCGGGGCACATGGCGAAGAGCACAGAGGTGATGAAGCTAGTCAGCGGGCTCATTCAAGTGCCTGTGCTTACATGTTGATCCCTCCCCCACTCCCAATCCCTCGTAATCCCTCCCAATCCCTCCCAATCCTTCCCAATTCCTCCCTATCCCTCCCAATCACCCTCAATCCCTCCCCCCCCCCCGCCCTCACACCAGCCATGGCGAAGGTGGCGGGGCACATGGCGAAGAGCACCGAGGTCATGAAACTCGTCAGCGGGCTGAGCCATGTGCCTGTACTCACATGCTGATCCCTCCCCCAACTCCCCCCTCCCAATCCCTCCCAATCCCTCCCAATCTCTCTCCGCTCCCTCCAGCCATGGCCAAGGTGGCGGGGCACATGGCGAAGAGCGCAGAGGTGAGGAAGCTCGTCAGCGGGCTCATCAAAGTGTTCCCCACTCCCCAAATTTCCTCTTTTCCCCATCCTTCCCTGTCCAACCCCTCCCAATCCCTTCCCATCCCCTCCCGTCCCAGCCATGGCGAAGGTGGCGGGGCACATGGCGAAGAGTACAGAGTGATGAAGCTCGTCAGTGAGTTGATCAAAGTGCCCTCCACTCCCCCAACTCCCTCTTCTCCCCGTCCTCCCCTGTACAATCCCTCCCGAGCCCTCCCAATCCCTCCCAATCACTCCCAATCCCTCCCAATCCCTCCCCAACTCCACCAGCCATGGCAAAGGTGGCGGGGCACATGGCGAAGAGCACAGAGGTGATGAAGCTAGTCAGTGGGCTGATCAAAGTGCCTCAGGTGGCGGGCACCATGCAAGAGCTTTCCAAAGAGATGATGAAGGTGAGGGGGAGGGAGAGAGGGAGCATCTAAGGGCTTCTAAGAGCATGTGAAGCCGATCTTCAGTTGGGCTCATCAAAGTGCCCCAGGTGGCGGGCACGATGCAAGAGCTGTCCAAGGGATGATGAAGGTGAGAGGGCGGTGGGGACGGTGAGAGGGGAGACAGTTTGAGGGAGGGAGTGGGGGAAGTGCACCTCATGAATAGGCCGTAGTTGCCCATTAACGCGGTGGCGGGCACGATGCAAGTGATTTTAAATAAAATGATGAAGGTGTGATGGAGAGGGAGGGGGAGGGGGGGAGAGGAGAGCACTTGAGGGAGTGGGAATGGGGGAAAGAGATTCTCATCGATAGGCTATCGTTGCTCATCACCTGGCTGATCAAAGTGCCTCAGATGGGTGGCACGATTCAAGGTGCGAGGGGGGGAGTGGGGGGGGGGGGGGGGGGTGAGGATGGAAAGGGAAGAGCACCTCATCGATAGGCTATTGTTGCTCATCACCGCGCTTCAAAGTGCCTCAGATTGCTGGCAGTGGACGATGCATTAGACACTGATCGAAGAGCACAGAGGTGATGAAACTCCTCAGGGTGTTTTTGAGAATTCTCAGGCTGTATTGGAACTCATCAGGGTGTTGCATTACCGCAACACCCTGCGTGCGACACTGACCGAAGAGCACAGCAGTGATGAAACTCATCAACGGTCAGAGTGAGAGGGCACTAGCAGTGGACATATGCACTGCAACTCACATTTTTCCTGCCTTCTCCTCTCTGTTTCCCCCCTCTTCCCTTCTCAGGCTGGTCTGATTGGCGAGATGCTGGAAGAGGCAGTGAAAATTGCTTTAGACACGGGGGAGATGGAGGAGGGGACGGAAGAGGAAGTCAACAACCCTAAACTATCCAGTTTTTCTGTTTTTCCCTATCTTTTCCCTTCCATTCCCGGTTTCTAGGCTGGTCTGATTGGTGAAGATGAGATGGAAGAGGGGGGAATCACACACCAATCCACCCACCATCCCTAATGATTCCTGCTCTCTTCCCCCCGTTCCAGGCTGGGTTGATAAGCGAGATGCTGGAAGTGGCCGTAAGACGATGCTTTAGATTCCGAGGAGATGGAGGAGGGGGTGAACAAGGTTCCATCCTCCCACCTTCCTTGTCTTTCCTGCACCCTTTCACCCTGTTCAGGCTGGTCTTATCAGTGAGATGCTGGAAGAGGCAATGGACGATGCTTTGGATTCCGAGGAGATGGAGGAGGAGATGGAAGAGGAGGTGAACAAGGTCTCATCTCCCCACCTCCCTTGTCTTTCCTGCTCCCTTTCACCCTATCCAGGCTGGATTAATAAGTGAGATGCTTGAAGAGGCAGTGGACGATGCTTTGGACACGGAGGAGATGGAGGATGAGATGGAAGAGGAGGTGAACAAGGTTCTTGATGAGCTGGCGACGGAAACTACCACGCAGCTTCCCACGGCGGTGCGGCAAAAGCAGAGGGCGGCAGAGGCAGCAGGGGTGGAGGAGGAGGATGAGAGGGTGCCTCAGATGGAGATGGGGTTGGGAGCAGAGGACGAGGCGGAATTGGCTCGGCTTAAAGCCAAGTACAAGTGAAGCGGTGCTGGTGGTTACGGTATGGCAGTGATGGTTGGTGGCTTGAGCTAGTCATTGGGTCGGCGCAGGGACGACGGAGAGGAAACTATACTGGTTGGAACAGCACCAGCAGCAGCAGTAGCAGCAGCAGCAGCAGCAGCAGCCACAGTAACGGCATGAGGAGACGAGAAGGAGAGGATTTTATGAGTTGGTCAATGGTCACTGGAAGTTGCTAGAGAAGCTGTGGTAGCTGCAGTGATTGCAAAATTGTTTGTTTGTTGGTAATTTACAGGATTTAAGCTTCTGCAGCCGTTGTGAACTGGCAGGCCATTGTAGAAGCAAGTGTTGGGAGGGGGTAGAACGTCATCAGAGTGTCTTGTAAATGTCAATTACAACATCATAGGTCAAGAAATTTATTCCAGTGTTGGTGGTCTTTAACGTACGTCTCAGGCGTGTATAGTTTCCAAAGTCTCCACAAAATGATGTTTGGCCTTCATTTAATCCTGTACAGCAATAGCGGATCTTTCTCGAACCGCTGGCGCGAAAAACTAAAATGAAAAAGTCAGGACGAGATCGCGCGCATCGGCGGAAATCGTGTTTGTCTCAAAAGAATCGACCCAAATTGCTCCCCGCTCGCCACGTGGGCGTTTTTCTCAATTGATTCGACCCCCTTTACCCCCGCCCCCCCACCCCGTTTTTCCCGCCCTTGCCCTCCGAAATTCGGGCACCCGCTAGAATCTCGTGAAATCACAAAACGTCACGAATACATGTTTTTTCGTAACGCTAAGGCTTCAACATGCGAGCGACATCTGATTGGACAGAACACCTATGACTTCTTATGACAAATTTAGCCGTAATATGGATTTTATTAGAAATGCCACTGCAGTAACATATTTTTTTAATCTTTGTAATACGAGTAAATATTTTTTTTCTAAATAATATCAAGAAGTACAATCAAACAAAATATCTACCTATTTCAAAAGAGATTTATTTTTATTTGCCGTGGAGCTATTATTATTATAAATTTATGAAATTTAACTCTTATTTTTTAAGTTTTCTGGAAGAAGCTTCATGTAGATATATAGAAAACATAAAGAAACTATAGGTTGATTTGTCATGTGTTTTTTTTTGCGCCCTTATCTACATTACTGGCATGGGCTAATCCAAAAAATACGATACAATCAACGTGCATATGAGCCTCCTGAGATTGAGAAGCAACCGCCGAAATTATCGATTGCGAAAGCTGATGTGGCATGCCACAACTACATGGTGGATTTGGCATGATGTAAAAAGCATGTATTCGTGACTTTTTGTGATTTCACGAAATTCCAGCGGGTGCCCGAATTTCGGAGGGCAAGGGCGGGAAAAACGGGGTGGGGGGGCGGGGGGAAAGGGGGTCGAATCAATTGAGAAAAACGCCCACGTGGCGAGCGGGGAGCAATTTGGGTCGATTCTTTTGAGACAAACACGATTTCCGCCGATGCGCGCGATTTCGCCAAAAGTCAGCGACATTCAGAACGAAGATATTTCCAGGTGTCCCCAATGATCGGTGCAGTCGCGTACCAATCGTTTGAGAACGGTTTCTGTCTATTTGTGTAACTTATCTTTTTTTGCTGTCATGACGGTATGGCATGGAGGGCTTGGTCTTCTTGGAAGAACCGCGTCGTACCTAGCCGCCCCAAGACCGAGGCTCTCTGACAGCCTTCCCACCAAACCGCCACCAGCCAGACCTCTCCTTTCATTTTCAGACACACCAAACCTGACACCCAGCTGCCAAGGCGGCTTGGTACCAATTGGCGTGAAGTGCTCTTGAATTAAAGTCGGTCTCATACGGTCGGGTCGGTTCCATCACAGTTTACCGCGGTTTGGATACCTCGAACACGCAAGGCGCTGCCCTACAACTTGGTTCGGGAAACAAAATCACCGTGATGAATGACGTGGTACCTCACCAAGCCGTACCGAAACGAGTCACTGTGCTGGCTGGAATCTAGCGGGAACACTGATTTTCTCCCGAACAGTGCGTTCTACCGATTGTGTATCTGTGATGGAATGGAAAGGGCTATGGCCGCTTTCCAGAACAGCTACTCACCAGTTTGCGGTTCTTTGAAAGGTACAGATCGTGTAGTAGCAGCAAGAAGAAAATCCAGATCGTTCCATCGAAAGTCTGCAGGACGAAATGACGACCCTCGAAGAGAAACTCAAGACGCCGAAATCCTCCCTCCAGCGTGTTCCATCGCTCAATACCCTGACATCGCTATCCGTACTCAAATCCATCTTACCCCACGCGGTTATTATTGCGGTTATCACGGCGATTATCATTCCCATTTACCGGGCGTTCGCGAATTCCGAGTCATTGTCCCTGTCCTGGAGCAATGCCGGAGGGTCATTCCAGACGCCTGCTCTCGAATGGACTGGGAGGATGTTCTCCAGTATGAGCGGCTTCGACGCTGCGTTATGCCGAGCAGATGCAGTCTATTGGGTGCGTGCTCATTCCTTCTTTTGTCTTCTATTTCGCTTAGGTATTTGCATTTCTTTTACTCAGCTTTCCTGTGCTCGATTTTGTATTTTTCTTACATATGGTAACTGATATCTGACATCGTCGTTGCCATGTACCATATTCGGAATTGAGGCTGCACTGCTGTGCAATTTGGTATTTCGTCTCGGCGAAACCAGCAGTGGCAGTACCCGAGCTTTGAGCTGTGAAGCGAAGTGCTAAAACATCATGGCTTTTGAGACGAACCAAGGGTCACCATCCCAAATTTGTTCGGCTCAGATACTAAGATCTTAAATGTAGCGTGAAGGGCTCAAACATCGGGGATGTGAAAACAAGAAGCGAGATTCTGCGACTCATGAGTTCGATTCTAAGTCAAAACAATGATTCGGTGTGAATAAATCCCTGCATCACTGGTCTCAAGTGTGACTTTCCTGTGCAGAAAATTGCAGGCCAAGATGTGGAATCCCTTGATTGAGTGGTTACCCTGTAACATTCCTTTCGTTCATTTCGTGCAGAAGAACATTGCTCGCCGGAAGGAGGCCTTGAACGGCGCGCTACAACCCAAGATATGGAACCCCGTGCGCATGAAGGAGCTGGTGCTCATCCCCACGTACCCGTGCGCTATCAACGAGCGCATTGGGAAATGGGGTGACGGAGGCAAGGTGAGACGGGAGTTTGGAAAGGTGAAGAGGAAGAGAAAGAGAGAGGGCTGCAGTACGGTTCTCAACCCCGTGCGAATGAAGGAGCTGGTGCTCATCCCCACGTACCCGTGCGCTATCAACGAGCACATTGGCAAATGGGGCGGCGGCGGGAAGATGAGACGGAGTTTGGAAGGTGAGAGACACATGAGAAGCGGAAAAGCGAGGATGAGGAGGGAATGGTGGGGAGAAGGAAGATGGCGAAAGGGTACAATACAACCATGCGATCCCCCACGTGGCTTGTGACTTGTCCTCCCACAGTCACCTTTATGAATCCTTCGTGAGACCATGGCCTCTTGACCCCTCATGACCCCATCACCTGTTAACCTTTCATGACCTCTTGTTTTCGCTCCCGCCTTCCTCCCCATCCCCATGTGCCCTCTTCTTTTGCTCTTCCTGGGCGGAGGGGACGTGCCTTGTGCCCAACACCATCTAAAGACTAATGAACCCTCGTGAACCTTTCATCACCCCTCTACACCCCTCACGACCTCCACCCCCCATGCCCTTCCTTTCTGTGCGCAGTGGACGTGCCTTCTGCCCAACGCCATCCAAAAGACCAACCCCGTTGTGTACAGGTGAGGGTGAGGGGAGTGTGATGGAGTGAGGGAGAGTGTGGCGCGGTGAGGGCAGTGTGGGTTGAGGGGAGTGTGAAGGTGAAGGGAGTGTGGTGAAGTGAGGGGAGTGTGATAGCATGAGTGTGAGGGTGTGGACCCCGTATTTCCGTCGTCTTGTGTCCTTCCTGGAAGCCTTATGACTTTCAAAGCGGCATGCACGTTTTTTGTCAAGTCATGCACAAAATACTCACTTATGATTCCATATCCCTCATTTGTTCCCCCATTCAACTCCCCTCCTACTCTTCTGTCTCCCTTGTCCACTGTTGGCATGTCCATATATAAGATGCTAGGTGCCTAACCTCTCACTCCCCTCCCCTCACTCCTCTCCCGTCTACCCTCTCCCTGCAGCATTGGGAGCTTCGGCATGTACTCGTTTGAGGAGTCCATGCACAACATACTAGGCGTGAAGCCCTACACCTTCGACCCGTTCCTCAATCCGACCAATTTGGAAATTATGAAAAATCTCACGTGCCTTCACTTCCACGAAATCGGCATGTCTGGGGCAGCATCTCTCGCCGGCTACAAGAAAAACTCCCCCGACAAAAAGTTTTTGACGCTGCCCGAAATTATGAAGCAGATGGGGCATACTTATGTGGATGTGTTCAAGATTGACTGTGAGGGGTGCGAGGTGAATATGGTGAAGGACTTGGGAGCCGCTTATTTGAACACGGGGAACAAGCTTGCGCTGCACGGAGGGAATTTGCCGTTCGGACAGATCCTCATCGAGTTGCACAAGTGAGTTGCTCTATATGGGGTATCTTCGTGACTGGGTGGGTACCCAGTTTGTGATTGAGCGTGGTCAGCCTTGCTCCTTATGATCAACAGGTATTGGTTCTTTTTTACTCTTGAATCCGCCTACATGTTGGAATGGCTTGAATGTCGCATGTCCCATAACACTCTCGAGTGGTTCGGGTATCGCAGCCTCAGCTAAAACCCCTAGTCTGCTCTTCCCTTTACCATATGACTGCCCCTTCTTTCCCCCACCCCTCCCTCTCCTCCCAAATCCCCATCCCTAAACAACCCTCCTTCCCATTACCAGCATGAACAGTGCTCCTATTTCCCTCGAGACCTTCTACACTCTTGAGAAGCTGGGCTATCGCATGTTTAGCATCGAGTACAATCCGTACTGCCCCATGTGTGTTGAAATGAGTCTCATTCATGAGAGCTTAGTGAAGCCGTCAAGCGAGACTGACTGCCGGCCGTTTTTAACTCCCGAATATAAGAATGCAGGTGAGGAGAAGGGGAAGGTCGCGGGTGCAGGTGAGGAGGCGGTGTGAATAGGAGTTTTTTGGTGGAGGAATTAATAGTTGGTGCAAGATTTGCCAATAGATATAATTAGAGGTACACTTAAGATTATGTATTGACGAGCGCTAGTGCTGCTTTTTAATTTCCTGCCTATGTTGACGACCAGCAGCAATATGGTAGTAATTTGTCAAGTTTGAAGGCAATACTGGTAGATGAATGTCCTCATGTTATGAATGAACTTGTCAGAGTGCGCAGATATCGAATAACGAGAATGTTGAACTACCGAATGCCTGAACAATGAAGTAGCGAGGTCCAAATAGGGGAAAACCTAGCTAGGCGGGGATGGTGTGGTAGAGTTGGCTCGCGAAGTGTCGCGATTGGTGCGGAGGCGGCTCGGTGAGGTTGGGATGCGAAATTGTAGGCCGAACCAGTTGGTCGCGTGGCCCTCGGGATGGCCTCGCTATCGAGCGCCTCAGTAAGGATTTGTAAATCCTTACACTCTCCCACCTCCTAAATAAGGCAGCCCTGTACTGAAAAGGGTCACCCAGTAGCGAGGATGCCGTTGATCTTCACTTCAGCTGAATCCGACGGCTGAAATGCCCCAGACAATATTGTTGAAAAGGTTGGAATGTCGGCCGTTGATGTTGTCAGATTTCGATCTGACGGTCGAAGATGAAGTGACCTCAATTGTAATGAAAGTTGGATTGTGAGCCGTAGATGCATATGCTGTAGATCCGACGGTCGAAGCAGATGCGAAAAGGGAGGGAACCTGCTGACGCGAATTCAAACGCAATTGAGCAGGAACCGTAGATCGTGTCGGTGTGATCGCGGTCGTCCGTCGTGCTGTCGCAACCTGACAAAGTCAGAAAAGGACCAAGAAAACGCCAAGGAAAGAACAGTGCGAAGCACTTTCTCCCCCACTCCAAGAAAACACACCATAAAAGTTCCAGCAGCTGCGCCGAGATGAAAACAAACAAAACCGGGTGTTAAGTCCCACGAAGGAAGCCGTTGATGGAAGGAACCCAAGTGAAAATGCGTCGGTGTGGAAATGTCGATGTCGAAACCAGGAATTACGTGCCCAAAAGTCGTCAAGGGCGAACCAGCGAAAGTAGACCAGAAACCGAAACCGAAATTGCCGAGTACTCGAACTGAAGCTTTTTGTCTTCACATCGCCAGAATCATGCAGCATCCGCAGCAGTTGCAGCTGGCAGCACCTGACGTGGCTGAAATTAAATATGTTTGTCGTGGGCGGGTCGATGGCGAGTTGTTGGAAGCAGAGTTGGGATGGATTCTCCAAGAATTTTGTGGAGAGTTCGTGGGCAGGGATGAAAATTTGCAGCTGTCTCTCCCCCCCCGTCACTGTTGCCGCCGCCTTCTCCAGTTCGTCGTAAGTCGTTCGTACCCCTTGAAAAGTCCGTGTAGTTCCCGCGCCGTGTCAGAAGTAGTAGGAGAAAGTTTAGAAGCAGAAAGAGGGTTTGGACTAGCAGCAGTTGAGATACAAATAGCAAACCCTAGATTGGGCTGTACTCGCTATAGAGTACCCCACTGCAGGCTAGACAAATACAACATTCTGACACACCCCCATAGCCAAAGTGGGGTGTAATCAGCACAACAAGCAGTCATAATAGTAGTTCACATTTTATGAGCAAAGCTAGAGGCAGTCACAGAGGGCAAGTGAGGAGGAGGAGGGCTGGCGAGAGGAGAGAAGAGTGGAGGCGACGACTGAAGCTGCAGACACACGGGCAACAGACGGCTCTGGTGCAGCTCTAGTGGCTACCGGGAGCAAGGGCCCCGGAATACAGGAGTAACAGGCTCTGCGTCTGATCAGCAGCGACAGGAGCAACGGACCCACGGGCGACAGGTGCAACCGGCTCTCTGAGCTACCGGTGGCTATCAGAACCCCGGAATACAGGCGCTGCAGACGACACGACGGCGGCCTCCGCTCAACCTCCCCCAACAGTCCCACACCCCTCGACACACACCCCCTGCTTCGCCCCTAGCTCCACTCCCCTTTCACCCCCCTAGTACCACTCCGTCGGCTCCCCACACACCCACCCCCCTGAGCGGCAGCTGCAGCAGCGGGAGACGGAGGAGGAGGAGAAGGAGGGGACGGGGCACACAACCGGCACCCCCACACCCGCCACCCCCAAACCCTAACACAGGAACGCGGGCAGTAGCGGGGGTGGGGCGCCGACAGAAGCTTGGGGGACGGACGAGGCGCGCGCACGGGTCTGCCGCAGGCGGGACGAGGCGCGCGCGGGCTGCCCGGGCCGCGCGCGGGCCTGGCGCAGCCCGTACGGGCCGCGCGCGGGCCTGGCGCAGCCCGTACGGGCCGCGCGCGGGCCTGGCGCAGCCCGTACGGGCCGCGCGCGGGCCTGGCGCAGCCCGTACGGGCCGCGCGCGGGTCCCAGGGGCGCTTCGACGGGCGACGGGGACGTTTCGACGGGCGACGGGGGGCGCTCCGACGGGCGACGGGGGCGCTTCGACGGGCGACGGGGGGGAGCGCTTCGACGGGCGACGGGGGGCGCTTCGACGGTGGGAAACCGCCGCGCGCCTCGGGGCGCACGGTAGGCAGAAAACCGCCGCACGCCCCGAGCGTACGGCGGGATGAAAACCTTAAAAAAATTCCGCCGAAGGAGGCGTCGCGCGACCGAGGCGCGCGACAAGTAGAACAGCAGCGGAAGCATTAGGTGGTGGGCCCACCCACAGGATCGACCCAAGGGGGTCGACCTGCTCTGATAGCATATCAAAATAGGAGCTAGAATCATGAGCCATAGCTAGGAAAACCCTAGCTAGGCAAGAGAGAAACGAGCAAAGGAGGGTTTGCACTAGCAAGAATGGGGATACAAATAGCAAACCCTAGAAGGGTTGTACTCGCTATAGAGCACCCCACTACAGGCTAGAACATAATATTCTGACACACCCCCATAGCCAAAGTGGGGTGTAATCAGCAGAGCAAGCAAAGCAGTACAAGCTCAGGGTGGATCACAATGTCACCACACATTCTGAGCACAAGTTCAAGAAGCAATAGTTTAAAGTTCACAATTATGAGCAAAGCTAGAGGTAGTCACAGAGGGCAAGTGAGGAGGAGGAGGGCTGGCGAGGGGAGAGAGGAGTGGAGGCGACGACTGAAGCTGCAGACACACGGGCAACAGACGGCTCTGGTGCAGCTCTAGTGGCTACCGGGAGCAAGGGCCCCGGAATACAGGAGTAACAGGCTCTGCGTCTGATCAGCAGCGACAGGAGCAACGGACCCACGGGCGACAGGTGCAACCGGCTCTCTGAGCTACCGGTGGCTATCAGAACCCCGGAATACAGGCGCTGCAGACGACACGACGGCTGCCTCCACCCAACCTCCTCCAACTGTCCCACACCCCCCAACACACACCCCCTGCTGCAACCCCTAACTCCACTCCCACGTCACCCCCCTAGCACCACTCCTTCGGCTCCCCACACACCCACCCCCCTCAGCGGCAGCTGCAGCAGTGGGAGACGGAGGAGGAGGAGGAGCAGGGGACGGCTCACACTCACGGCACCCCCATACCCTCCACCCCCAAACCCTAACACAGGAACGCGGGCAGTAGCGGGGGTGGGGCGCCGGCAGAAGCTCGGGGGACGGACGAGGCGCGCGCGGGCTGCCCGGGCCGCGCGCGGGCCTGGCGCAGCCCGTACGGGCCGCGCGCGGGCCTGGCGCAGGCCGTACGGGCCGCGCGCGGGCTGTACGGGCCGCGCGCGGGCCTGGCGCAGCCCGTACGGGCCGCGCGCGGGTCCCAGGGGCGCTTCGACGGGCGACGGGGGCGTTTCGACGGGCGACGGGGGGCGCTCCGACGGGCGACGGGGGCGCTTCGACGGGCGACGGGGGGGAGCGCTTCGACGGGCGACGGGGGGCACTTCGACGGTGGGAAACCGCCGCGCGCCCCGAGCGCGCGGCGGGAAGAAAAAAAAACGAACATCGCGCGCCACGGGACGCGCGACACACAGGAAGGCAGCGGAAGCAGGCGGGCCCACAGGCCAGGAGCGTAACCGCTCTGATAGCATGTCAGAAGTAGTAGGAGAAAGTTTAGAAGCAGAAAGAGGGTTTGGACTAGCAGCAGTTGAGATACAAATAGCAAACCCTAGATTGGGCTGTACTCGCTATAGAGTACCCCACTGCAGGCTAGACAAATACAACATTCTGACACCCGCGCCGTTGCCCTGCGTAAATTTCGCGCGCGTGTAACCAAACTTCGAAAGTACTGCCACAAAATTGCCGCGCTTTCGCCGTAAAACCGTGAAGTCCTTCGTCAAACTCCGAAATCGTCGCTCGAGAAGTAGCCCCGTAAATCCACAGGTCTAGGTGCAGTTCTCCTCCGAAAATCTCAGACGTGCTATAGCCGCCCACCCGGTCACCATCAGTTTCCTTCGGTTACCCGACCCCAGCATGTGGGTTAAATCGAGAACCGGGGACTGCCCTGGGTCTTCCGAGACCGAATTTCACGGAACCTAGAGGCATCAACGCCGTTGACCCCGTCGTCGAAACTGCTCCCGTCGATGTCGCTTAACTGAAAACCACGCAAACTCCCACTGGCGCTTTGCGATGTTTCACCTCATCGCGCGTCACCGGCAGGTAAATCCCGAAGCCTCGGCTGCTCCCACGCTCCCTGAAGAATTTCCCGCGGTGTACGTTTAAACACCCGTGGGTCCTAGGTATCAACCGCACTCCAAGAAACGAAGAAAACACCCTCAGCTTCAACTCCTTTTTTTTTTTTTTTTCGTAGGAAGATAACCCCGAAAATCGTGGTTGAGGCTGCAGTCCCGAAGGTTATCTCCGCCGTATAGCCCCGACGTTTCCGCCGTTTTTTCCCTGGTTTCCGATGTTCACCCATCTTCGTACCCGCCGGACTACTTAGCGAATCCCAGGTATCCTTGGCAATGTACCGCTCGCCGCGCCTCCATGTAACGATATCAAACCCTTTCGGGGGTCTACCGAATAGACTCCGAAATTCGCGGTAGATTGGTGCACGGGCTCAACCTATCACTCAAGTGATCTGCTGGATCACCCACAACTTTCCCTTCCGTCATCAATTTTTTCGTATTCACCCCCCGACAATTCCGCTTCCCGCCGTTCACCCAGCGTCCGCTTTTGTCGGATGGGGTATCTGTCAGAATCCCAGCCACTAACCACTGGGATAAAAGGGCTTGTTTGTGTAGCGGGTGAGTGCGCCCATAACCCCCCAGGCCAACATGCCTGTAACCCTTCCCTAGGATCATCGGGGATCTCCAGTGGACCTCTGACACCCCCCCGCACTGGGATGCCCGAAGTGCACACACCGGGAATCGAACCCGAGACCTTCGCTCTGATACCATGTCAGAATCCCAGCCACTAACCACTGGGATAAAAGGGCTTGTTTATATAGCGGGTGAGTGCGCCCATAACCCCCCAGGCCGACGTGCCTGTAACCCTTCCCTAGGATCATCGAGGATCCCCAGTGGACCTCTGACACCCCCCCGCACTGGGATGCCCGAAGTGCACACACCGGGAATCGAACCCGAGACCTTCGCTCTGATACCATGTCAGAATCCCAGCCACTAACCACTGGGATAAAAGGGCTTGTTTGTGTAGCGGGTGAGTGCGCCCATAACCCCCCAGGCCAACATGCCTGTAACCCTTCCCTAGGATCATCGGGGATCTCCAGTGGACCTCTGACAGTATCGTCGTTGTTGCCCACGCGAACTCGGCCACGGTGGAGAGGCAAAAACTATCGGAGTCGGGGCAGCCTTAGTTAAAAGGAAACTGTCGCCCAACCGTTTTGCAGCCCGCCGTGCCTATCACGTCACGTAAAATCCACAGCTTCCCGGTCTCAGCTTCGCCGCCGCGCCGTCGATTCGTGTAGACGCCCGGGTCAGGAGAAACCTGTAGACTGCACCATTTCTTCTTCGCAGCTCCCCGACTTTTTCGCGTGCCGTTCACCCAGCCCGCTTTTGTCGGAGTAGAACAGTGCCGCGAGCTCCACTTTTTTTTTGTATTTTTTCTGTACAGCTGTCGAACGGGCACCAAACCCGGTACCTTTAACCAGCGCAGGGTAGGCCACGTGTTCACCCCCGTTATTCGGCCAAGTAGGTTGACTGCATGAGTCAGAACCAGGACTTGGTGGGGATGGTGAGGTTCGGGCGAAGTAGGGCCGCAGAGCGATTCCACCGGCTTTTAATCTGCCCCCGCAACGTTCTTCAACCCCCGCTTAGCCGTTGGGCCGTTTCTTCTCGCGTGTCCCGGCAGCCTGTACCGACCCCTCCGAAATTATCGGGCGGTACCTTGGACACCGTTTAACCGTGGGTTGTCAGCAGCTGTCCCCGAAAACAACATCCTTGGTCAGGGGAAACTGTTCTCGATACTGCCGGCCAGCTTGCAACAACACCAGGCACGCAGCGTCGCACGAGTTCTTTCGAGGTGTACCTGCCCCGATTTCCCTCGTCGCCTGCGTCCCACTCCTCGTAAGTGCGGTTTAGCCATCGCGTTTTCCGTTGCAGCCCGTAAGCGTCAGCAGGTATGAAGTCCCGTCTGTCCACGAGCACTCCTGCCGAATTTGTTGATGACGCGCCCGCCAATGCAGTAAAAGCTGCCGCACTTAACTCCCGCGAAGTCGGGCAGTCTTGTGTCGTCTCTCCTCGCCACCGACATTTTCGGACGCAAACTCCTTTTGCGCCTGGCGAGTTCCCCAGCCGACGTTTTCTTCAACAGAAGCTCCGAAATTTTCGCCACAGTGACGCACGTTCCTTGTCGCCAGCTGCCGAGCCACACTCCGTGAGTCGCGCGCGCATGATGACGACGAGCCACCGTTGTCACTTGCCGCATGGGACGGACTCCGAAGTTGTCGCAGCAGTTGTTGACTCGGGTCCGACGGCGTCAACTGCCACACATCGTGACGACTTCCGAAATCTTCGTGCAGGTGCCGACGCAGATCCGCTGACGCCAGCTGCCTCACAGTTTCGAAATCGTCGTTAAAACCGCAGCGGAAATAGTAACTCACGTTCAGAGTCGCGACAGCTCCAGCTGTCCGTTGCCCGGGGGGAGGGAGGCCACGGTCGATCGCGACCGTTCGAGCTAAGGATCTGGCGGTGCCGAAGGAGTGCCCCGTAAAACCATGGCCGCGAAGAGCAACTAACGAGTTCTCTTGGCCGGCCTACGCAACTCCTGGACCCCAAGGCATCCTTACTCGTCCCCCCCCCCGAGGGGTAATACACTCTAAAAAACGGGGTAGGCTAGGAAAGTAGCTCTGATACCAGGTGTTATGAATGAACTTGTCAGAGTGCGCAGATATCGAATAACGAGAATGTTGAACTACCAAAATGCCTGAACAATGAAGTAGCGAGGCCTAAATAGGGGAAAACCTAGCTAGGCGGGGATGGTGTGGTAGAGTTGGCTCGCGAAGTGTCGCGATTGGTGCGGAGGCGGCTCGGTGAGGTTGGGATGCGAAATTGTAGGCCGAACCAGTTGGTCGCGTGGCCCTCGGGATGGCCTCGCTATCGAGCGCCTCAGTAAGGATTTGTAAATCCTTACACCTCATATGAACGTCAAGATTGTGTTTTCTAGCTTCAAGATGTGTTGATGAATCTGGGACTACCAACCGATAACGTGAAAAAACGCTTGTTGCGGATGACGGTGGTATGTTCCAGTTTGATTGGTCGGGCTGGATTCCCGCCAAGCTCGCTGCGCCAAAACCCTGTCAGCCTGGTTCGGGCACCACCTGACAAGGATGTTTGCTTTGACTGCGCATCCTTACCAGCCCTGACCTTCGAACTGGTGCCCTGCCCAGCCCAGTCGCTTGTCAGTCGCCTTGAACCACATCCAAAAACTCTTCGAACCAATCATATGCTCTCCCGCCTGTGCTATGGCTGGCTAACCAACACATCAAAGCGGAAAACAGTGTCAGAAGGTGGCGAAAGATATCATTTGCTGGACATCAGTACGGTGTCGCAGCGTTTAAACTCGGTGTCGTGGTTTCAAGAAAGGTTGGTACCAGATGTAGCTCCACGGTCGCTTCTCATTCTCTGGATTTCTGGGAATGGAGGTGGAAAGGCAAAAGCTAGCATAAGCATAACCTTGGCTTCCATATGCACCAGTCTCAGACGTAGCCTGACTCAGTGAAAAGCGTCTTCTTGAAGGATCTGGTTTCGCTCCCAGAGCCTTTTGAGCTCGGTTGCGTCGACGACTGGTTGCTAGTTATAATATCGGGATTCCTTTTCACCAAGTATTCCTAGCTTCCCTATCGTCGCTGCGATCCGCATTCTCACACAGAAAGAAAGGCAAGGAAGCATACAGATTGATCTAAGATGGGATCTGATGATTTCAAGAAGAACCACTCGCCTCCTAACTCCAAATCATGCATCAAATGCATGACACCCTACGTCATCGCATTGGGCGTGCTCGTCGCCCTGATGACCTTCTTCCACGTGTCACCATCGCAGCCGTCGCCTGGAATAAGCTCCTTCGGTCCGTCTTACCTTCCGCCGAATCTCGGCTGGGTCGCGTTTCTGTTTCCCAGCACGAGCAAGATCGACGCGACCATCTGCCGCGCGGAGGCGAGTCATTGGGTAAGAATGTGACAAAAAGCATACACAGTGGCATTCGTATGAGGTTTTTGGCTTTCTCGAGTCGTTTCAAAGAGCATTTTTGGTCTCAGCGTCCACATTGGAGTTAACATGGATGTCGAATCAAACACACACAATTGAATGCCTTATTCTCGTCCTTTCATGCAGGAGATTTAGGAGAATTCTAAAGAATCTCCTCACATTGCAAGAGAACGTTAAGCACAGGGAGGGGAGCTTCGTCTTAGAAGCACATTCTCTGTCTAAAAGTCCTCATTTAAGTACCGTGTCTGCTTTCTGGATCGCAGGAGAACAGTGAGCGCAGGCGCAAGGAGTTCAATGGCGCGCTACAGCCGATGTTGTGCAACCCCCATTTAGTCAGCATTTTCCGTCTGAGCATTTACATTTCTTCTCCACGTATTGTTTGTTTGTTTGTTTGTTTGTTTGTTTGTTTGTTTGTTGGTTTGTTTGTTTGTTTTTCGGGTGCATTTACAATGCAGGAGAACGTTGAGCGCCGGCGCAAGGAGTTCAACGGCGCGCTGCAGCCGATGCTGGGCAACCCCGTGCGCATGAAGGAGCTGATCCTCGTGCCCACGTACACGTGTCCGCTCAACGAGCGCATCGGGAAATGGGGCGACGGCGGGAAGGTGAGAATGGGAATCTGTGGGAGGATAGAAAGGTTGACAGGAAGAGAGAGGGGTGCAGTACGGTTCTCAACCCCGTGCGCAAGGAGCTGATCCTCGTGCCCACGTACACGTGTCCGCTCAACGAGCGCATCAGGAAATGGGGCAACGGCGGGAAGGTGAGACAAGGAGCTGATCCTCGTGCCCACGTACACGTGTCCGCTCAACGAGCGCATCGGGAAATGGGGCGACGGCGGGAAGGTGAGAATGGGAATCTGTGGGAGGATAGAAAGGTTGACAGGAAGAGAGAGGGGTGCAGTACGGTTCTCAACCCCGTGCGCAAGGAGCTGATCCTCGTGCCCACGTACACGTGTCCGCTCAACGAGCGCATCAGGAAATGGGGCAACGGCGGGAAGGTGAGACAGGAATGTAGGGTGCAGAACGGTTCTTTACCCCGTGCGAATGAAGGAGATGATTCTCGTGCTTACTTACACGTGTCCTCTCGACAAGCGCATCGGGGATGGGGCGACGGAGGGAAGGTGAGACAGGAATTCGTGAGAGGATGAAAGAGTACACGCATTTCGAGCCTCTCGCCTTCCCTCACGCCTTCCCCCCCCTCCTTCCCTCCCCTCTTCCTTTTGAACAAAAAGAAAAGGAGAAGGAGAAATGGTATTCTTAGTAACTTTTGCATGTCCCGCAGTGCAACCGTTCTCGTGCCTCTCTTCTCATCCCCCTCTTCTCATCCCTCCCTTCTCTTGCCTCCTCCCGTATACAGTGGGCCTGCATGATGCCGTCTGTCATACAGAAGAAAGACCCGGTCGTGTACAGGTGAGTGCGGTACGGCTGAAGGCAGTGAGAGGCAGTACGGTTGAGGCCGTTGAGAGGGCAGTAGAGGTGAGGACGGTGAGATTGTTATAATGGACGGGTGAAGAGTCTGCATGGTTTTTAAATACATCCGATCGCATCGAATTCATTTGTTTTTCTCTTGTTTCTTATTCTCTCTCGTCATCCCCAACTTGTTATTCCATTCCCATCGTACGAAGAGCATTTTCATTGCAGTCATAAAACTGCTTCGCATTCCTCCCTCCCCTTACGTCTCTCCTCTGCAGCATCGGCAGCTTTGGCATGTGCTCTTTCGAGAAGGAAATGCACCAAATGCTGCCCTATACATCCGACCCCTTAAACTAACGTTCCTTCCTTCCATTCTCCCTTTTCTTCTGCAGCATCGGCAGCTTTGGCATGTATTCTTTCGAGAAGGAGATGCACCAAATGCTGCGCACCATGCCCTACACATTCGACCCATTCCTGCCCCCTGCAAAGCGCAACATCATGGCCTCCCTCCCCTTCCTCCACTTCATCGAAATCGGCCTCTCTGGATCCGCCTCCCTCCCCGCCTACCGCTCAAAATTCCCCGAGAAAAAGTTTGCGACGCTGCCCGAAATTATGGGGCAGTTCGGACATAATTACGTGGACGTATTCAAGATTGACTGCGAGGGGTGTGAGGTTGAGTGGATTAAGGACCTCGGCAAGCTGTATAACAACACTGGGAAGAGGCTAGCTCTGCATGGGGGGAAGCTTCCTTTCGGACAAATCCTCATCGAATTCCACAAGTAAGGGGTATTTCTCTTTAGATTTCATATTTTCCATTGCGGCACCCAATTTTCTTGTTCAGCACCCGTTGCAGCACCTGTAGCTCTCTAGACCAGTTTGCATGCTTGGATGCTTTCTCCTTCAATGCAGATATTCTATCATCTTACCCATGTTTACAAGAAACCCAACCTATCTCGCAGTAACCCTAACCGCAACTCCTACCTTCTATGTCCCCTGATCCCCCATCCTCGTACTTCTCGTTTACAGCATGGACAAGAGCGTCAAGACCCTCACCATGTTCTACACGTTGGAGCAGCTTGGGTATCGCATGTTCAGCATCGAGTACAACCACCGCTGCGCCGTGTGCTGTGAGATGAGCTTCATCCACGAGAGCCTTGTAAGGCCAGATAGCGCCACGGATTGCCGTCCGTTCCTGGCGCCCCCGCTAGAGGACAAGCTGGAAGTGGAGGTGGTGACTGACGGAGGTGGTACTGGTGATGGTGCTGATGCTGCTGATGCTGCTGCTGCTGCTGCTGCTGCAGAAGACTCTGGTGATGTGGAGATAACGGTTGGTGAGGTGGGTGGTGGTGCCGATGGGGCCGCTGATGCTGATGGTGCTGATAGTAACAATGGTTCTGCTGCTGCTGACTCTAGTTATGTTGAAACCAAGGGTGGTGAAGTGGATATTGCTGATGGTGCCGCTGTTGCCACTGATGGTTCTGTTGCCGCTACTGATGGTGGTAAGGAGGTTGAGCCCACTGCTGGTTTGCCTGTGGAACCGGGGAAGCTGGTGGGATTTGATAAGCCATCTGAGGGTAAGGAGGCTGACTCTACTGCTGGTTTGCCTGTTGAACCGGGGAAGTTGGTGGGTTTTGATAAGCCAGGGAAGCAGACGAACGAGGTAGAGGATACCGAGGGGGCGGGGGAAGAGGAGGTGAGTGAGAAGGTGGGTGGAAACAGGAAGGTGAAGGTTGGAGTGGAGAGCAAGGAGGAGGGGAGCAGCAAGAAGAGTAGCAAGATGACCAGCAAGCGGAGTGTGAAGGGGAGCGCCAAGGAAAGCACTAAGGCGGGGAAGAAGATCATCAAGGAGAAGAGCAGCAAAAGGAGCAAGAAGGAAATCAAGGAGGAAGAAGAGGAAGGCTAATTAGTGATGATTGGAATGAAGTGAGTGGACCATGGAAGAAGGGTTGGTAGGGTTGGGTGGAGAGCTTTTTAGGTCAACTTATTAGAGGTTTACCAGTTGGGTATTGATACAAGGACATGGGTTGAGCATATGAGAGAATAGAGTGTATGCACATTCATGTTGTTGCAAAACAATCTGAACTTGCTCGCAAGGCAAAGCATGTACGCAGTAGTCACCTCCTTCGATGTACATTCATCCGACCGTAAAGCACTGTAGGTTCGGCAAGCATAGTGCGTTCTAGGGTGGCCGCCTATTATGAATCTACGTTCACCATACCCAACACCCACCACAAACGTGCGTACGAAGTCCCCACTCCATAGTTTGGTACCCCAACCCCCCGACCAAATGTTTTGGGATGCGGCGACTTCTAAGCGATCATGACGCGAGCAATCTACTACGTAAGGCGTGACGTTTGAGACGAGAGGAAAACGGATACGCGGGTCTGGAATAAGAGTTTTTCGTGTTATTCATCATTTCGACTTCTTCTTCTTCTTCTTGCTTGCCGACTCATCGTAGCCGCGCCCCATGGTCATTATCGCGAAGCAAGTTCAGTGAATCTTCGAAATCTAGCTTACCTCAGCTCCCGATTCCTTCCCCGATTCCTTCCCCGATTCCTTCCCCGATTCCTTCCCCGATTCCTTCCCCAATTCCTTAACCGATTCCTTCCCCAATTCCTTCCCCGATTCCTCTTCGATTCCCTCCTTCGCTCCTCGATTCCCTCCCCGATTCCCCCTTACAACCGGAATCGTACACCAATCTTCGTTCGGGCGGTCAGTTCCCGCGCTTGACTCCGGCGCAAACTGCAGCTGCCTGTAGAAGAGCAGCAGGCGGCGGCGGAAGTACAGCAGCCGCCGGCAGAAGTGGTGCAGCCGGCTCCATCGGAGCAGCAGCCGGCGCCGGTGGTGCAGCAGCCGGCGGACGGGCAGCAGACGGCGGAACCAGCGCCGGTGGTGCAGCAGCCGGCACCGAAGCTGCCGCAGAAGACACTGGAGGAGAGAATGGATGCATTTCTCCGGCCAGGGAGGACGTAGGATCATACTGGGAGGGAGAGAAGGTGAAAGTCTCCCCATGGTTTGGTTGATCTACAGGGAAGGATGGATGGGCAGAAGGGTCGGAATGGGTAGAGGTAAAAGCTGGAGCGTAAGCATCATAGGAAATATGGAGAGACGTCATATGAGGTAGTGTGGTTTTTGTTAGATTGCTAGGTGCGTTTACTTTTCTTATAAGCAGCTCATTGTGCAATGCACTTCTTTCGCTTATAAACAGCTCGTGTCTAACTCGAAAAACTGGCATTGTGGAGGGATAAAATGAGTGTTTAACACCAGCTGCGGCAGAAAAGAGAAGGTCCATCCCTAAGGAGCTTGCTTTACAGACGCTAGAATGATAGGCATTCCAACTAGGCCAAAGTTGTGAATGCTCTGGTTTCATACAACAATGAAAATGATTATGCAATTTCTCAAAAAGCTTGGGACCTTTGAGCTCAAAAACGCTGCCAACAAAGGAATCAGGGTCATAGGGGTAATGTCGTGTGCCTTTATGAAAGGACCAGCACTAATTACATTCAGGTGTCAGGGGAAATTTGTTCCCAGGTGGTTGCACAACGAGAAACATGTAGGCTCTGGAAACGTGAATGAAGAGTGGTTGTAGAGCACTTTCTAAGTAATTGCAATGTTGAATGGTGTATTGGAGGAGGTGAGCGGTATGTGAAGTTAAATTAAAGATATCTTGTCCCAGGAGGTGAACACCGAAATACAGAAAAATGAATGGTGGTATGAAGGGGATATGAAGGTCAGCGATGTAACCAGGCCACAAACGTGTTGAGTAACATGATCGCGAGGCGAAACCAGCTTACTGTGCGATCGGTTGAAAACGTTGGCGAACTTCAGGTCAAGCACTTCGCACCGAGGCTTCCATAATTCAGTCCGCCGCGTCGCAGGCCCTGTGATTGGTGGCTAAGAAACGAATTATTGAATTTGGGGAGAACGCGGGAAAACTTCACAGTACAACGCTAAATTTACTTACAGAAATTCCCTTTCATCAGCGAGTCACTTACACCTACATTTCTTACATTTGCAGCTACTCACGCATAGCAGCAGCAAGTTCCCTGAGAAGTTGCGATAAAATTGAGAACGCGTTTCAATGCCAACACGGCTCCTTGGAATCAGAAAATCCTGTGTGTACCGTTCGATAAATAAGAGATAAAATGGACTGGCAGATCGGACGGTTCAGATGTGAGAAAACCTGTGAAGAAACAAGTTTCTGAGGCTTTCAACATACCCAGCTTCTAAGGGTTTCTTGCGTAACGAACTACATAAAAGACGCTTCAAACGCGGCTTGCTATTGGATAAAGGGAAAGGACGGAGACCTGCAAGAGAAAGAAAGAAAGCCCAGCATTTTTCGCAAAAATGCCATACGTGTACGTTCAGTAACAAATATCTCATGAATTATTGGGCCTCCCATAATTCACGAAGCGCGATTCAGCTCAATCCGAGCTGAATGGAATTTGAGCGCACATGCAGCGGTCCAGGGCTTCCGCCCCCCAAACTCCTCGTAACTCTACTGCAGCATATATTTCGAGGTTTTGACTGGAAATCTATCAGTCAGCAACCCTTACTGCTTTTGAACAAACCGATCTCGCTTCTGAGTCATTCCGAGCTAGTGCCCACCGAATCTTGTCAGAATGTTGCTGGGATTCCTCCTCGTTTTGGTCTTCTCTTGCGGACCGCTGGGCAGCGAAGGAGCTCAGGCGCGGCGACTTTTAAGCGACCTGAGCGATCGACGTAAGTCTAATACGGCCTGAAAATTTGGGTACCTGTTCTTTTCTCGACGACGCATCATAGCAGCGTCCTAATCATTGCGTATTCCATCTCTTCACCAAGACCCAGGTGATACTTGCTCCCGTACTACGTGAGCAAGTAGCTTGGCACTTCGAATTTCCCCTATTTCAGCTCCTCCCAAATCTCTCCCCAATCTCCCCTTGCAGCCGGAATCGCACATCAGTCTTCGTTCGGGCAGTCTGTTCCCACGCCTGGCTACTCGGACGACTCGAACATTCCCTTGATCTTCTCGGATACCCTACTCCAACGCAAACTGAAGGAGCAGAGGGTGCCAAAATGGAAGCCGGTGCCGGCGCAGAGGAAGTGGCAGAGGCCGGCGGCGCCGGCACAGAGGAAGAAGCCGGTGCCGACGCAGAGGCAAAAGCCGGCGGACGTGCAGAAGCCTGTGGTGGATCAGCCGGAGGTGCAGCAGCCGGCGGCGGAGCAGCAGCCGGTGGCGGAGAAGCAGCCGGCGGCGGAGCAGCAGCCGGCGGCGGAGCAGCAGCCGGCGGCGGAGAAGCAGCCGGCGGCGGAGCAGCAGCCGGGGGCGGAGCAGCAGCCGGCGGCGGAGAAGCAGCCCGCGGCGGAGAAGCAGCCGGCGGCGGAGCAGCAGCCCGCGGCGGAGCAGCAGCCGGCGGCGGAGAAGCAGCCCGCGGCGGAGCAGCAGCAGCCCGCGGCGGAGCAGCAGCAGCCGGCGGCGCAGCAGCAGCCGGCGGCGGAGCAGCAGCAGCCGGCGGCGAAGCAACAGCAGCCGGAGGTGCAGCAGCCGGAGGTGCAGCAGCCGGAGGTGCAGAAACCGGAAGTGCAGCAGCCGGAGGTGCAGAAACCGGAAGTGCAGCAGCCGGAGGTGCAGAAACCAGAAGTGCAGCAGCCGGAGGTGCAGCAGCCGGAGGTGCAGAAACCGGAAGTGCAGCAGCCGGAGGTGCAGCAGCCGGAGGTGCAGCAGCCGGAGGTGCAGCAGCCGGAGGTGCAGCAGCCGGAGGTGCAGCAGCCGGAGGTGCAGCAGCCGGAGGTGCAGAAGCCGGAGGTGCAGAAACCGGAGGTGCAGAAGCCTGAAGTGAGGCAGCCGGAGGTGCAGCAGCCGGAAGTGCAGCAGCCGGAGGTGCAGCAGCCGGAGGTGCAGAAGCCGGAGGTGCAGAAACCGGAAGTGCAGCAGCCGGAAGTGCAGCAGCCGGAGGTGCAGAAGCCGGAAGTGCAGCAGCCGGAAGTGCAGCAGCCGGAGGTGCAGAAGCCGGAAGTGCAGCAGCCGGAAGTGCAGCAGCCGGAAGTGCAGCAGCCGGAAGTGCAGCAGCCGGAAGTGCAGCAGCCGGAAGTGCAGCAGCCGGAAGTGCAGCAGCCGGAGGTGCAGAAGCCTGAAGTGCAGCAGCCGGAGGTGCAGAAGCCGGAAGTGCAGCAGCCGGAGGTGCAGAAGCCGGAAGTGCAGCAGCCGGAAGTGCACCAGCCGGAGGTGCAGCAGCAGCCGGCGGCGGAGCAGCAGCAGCTAAACTAGTGAAGCAGGATGGGATGCATGGTAGGAGGGTTTAGCAGGAGGAGGAGAGGCCGGAGAAGATGTTCAGGAAGGCGCATGATGTAGCGTGGCTTCGTTTTCCCTTTGAGGCGCCTGAAAAACAGCGGAATATTGAGGCGGAGGTGGAGTGGCAGTGTTGGTTGCACTGTGTGATTTCATAGAAGGAGAGGCCGGAGGGGACGTTCAGAGAAATGCATGAGGTAGCGTTGCTTTGTTTGTTTGTACTATGCAGTTTGCTTGTTTGTATCAGGAATGAATAAGTAGTAAACCCTAACTAGGTTGTACCCCATATGGGCTACCCCACTACAGCCTAGACAATATATGCAGCACATATAGTTTGACACACCCCCATAGGCAAAGTGGGGGAGAGCAAGGGGTCACACGACCAGTCAAGAGAAGCAAAACAAGCTCAGGGTGGATCACAACGTCACCACGCATTCTGAGCACAAGCAAAGGGCCATTGGGCCAGTTCACATGCACATATATATATGCAGCAATAACAGTACAGTGATGGCTACCTAGCAAGAGCCAGCATGCATATATATATATGTACAGATCACAGTACAAGCAGAGACTACAGCAAGTGTGGAAACGTAGGCACAAGGCCTAACAGAGTACAAAAGCGCTGATGATCACCAGACGGAAGTGCCTTGGTGAATATGTCAGCAGTGTTGGCCCGAGTGGCCACGTGGCGAAGACGAAGCTGGCCTCGCTGCTGCAACTCTCGAGCCAGGAAGTACCGCAGAGCAATGTGCTTCGTTCTGTGCTCCAGTCTGTGCTCCTCACACAAGGCAATGGCGGCCTTGTTGTCAACGTACAGCACTGGAGGAGAACGAGGCTGCTCTCCCAAGTCAGTCAGCAGGTAGGTGAGCCAGCGTAACTCCTGTGCAGCCATGGCGGTGGCGTAGATCTCAGCCTCACAACTGGAGCCGAGAACTGAAGTCGAGCGTGTAGAACGCCACGAAACTGAACCAGAGCCAAGGCTGAAGGTGTAACCCTGTGACGACCGCTGAGTAGCCAGGTCGTCAACCCAAGAAGCGTCTGAGTGCCTAGTGAGGACAACTGGGCTCGTCCCTCCAAGCACTAGCCCCATGCCTGATGTGCTGCACAAGTAACGCAGTACCCTCTTAGCAGCAGCCATGTGCTCAGGTCGGTGCCGACCAGGAGCCACGTAGCGAGCCAGGAGACCAAGAGGGTACGCGAGGTCAGGTCGAGTGCAAGTCATCAGGTACATGAGGCAGCCGACTAGCTCTGGGTAAGGACCACTCGGCTCTACGGACTCGTCCGAAGGTGGAGCTGAGAGCGTGTGACCTGTAGCCAGAGGAGTGGCCTGTGCTGAAGACCAGGTGAAGCCGAAGCGCTGAAGGACCTGCTGCACCATGTGTGACTGAGTCAAGGTGATGGTGCGACGTGCTCTGTCTCGGGTGATCTGCAAGCCAAGGTAGCTGCGCAGCTCACCCAAGTCTGTGCACGTGTGTCTCTTCTGCAGCTCCGACTTCACGTGGGCGAGAGCCTCAGTGTCAGCAGTGGCAAAAACCAAGTCGTCGACATACACGAGGATGTAGAACGGCGGCAGGGAAGTGTCGGTGCGCAGAAACAGCGACGGGTCAGCAGTAGAAGGCGCAAACCCAAGAGCCGCAAGCGTAGTCCTCAGTGTATCGTGCCACTCACGTGGCGCCTGGCGGAGACCGTAGACCGGCCGCCGGAGGCTCCACTGGGTACCAGGAGGGAACGACCCAGTGAAGCCCGGGGGGCGGCGCAGCCAGATCTCCTCGTGCAGGCTGCCCTGCAGGAAAGCTGTGCTGAAGTCAAGAGAGTGAAGCTCGTAGTCACGGTGAGCAGCAACGTGCAGCAGCACCCGAAGAGTGGTCACCTTCGGGGTGGGGGAGAAGGTCTGGAAGAAGTCAACTCCCTCTCGCTGACTGAAGCCTCGAGCCACGTAACGCGCCTTGAAGACAGGCGGAGAACTCGGCGGCCGCTTCACCCTGAAAATCCACATGCCACTGACGATGTTCGCCCCAGGTGGGGGAACCTCGTCAACGTAGGTGCCTGTGGACTTCCAGGAAGCCATCTCTGCGTCCATGGCTGCCTGCCACTGAGAGGAGTAGGGACCCTCTATCGCCTCTGCGTAAGAGCGCGGAGTCGGGATGTCTGGTGCATCCGGGTCTCCCTCAGGGGCAAGTAGCGAGGACACAAGATGAGGTAAAGCAGCAGCAAGACACTGGAACTCCTCCTGCCTGTCCTCAAGGACGTCCGTGCTAAGAGCCAGCAGCTCCAGTACCTCCAGCAGCTCCAGTACCTCCAGCAGCTCCAGAAGCTCCAGGCCCAGAGCCGACACCTCGAGTCCCAGGGTCTCCAACCTCTGTGTCTCCAGCAGCAGCACCCCCAGAACCAGCACCTCCAGTCCCAGGGTCTCCAACCGCAGGGTCTCCAGCAGTAGCACCCCCAGAACCAGCACCTCCAGCTCCAGGGTCTCCAACCTCAGTGTCTCCAGCAGCAGCACCCCCAGAGCCAGCACCTCCAGTCCTAGGGTCTCCAGCCTCAGTGTCTCCAGCACGAGCCCCTCCAGAACCAGCAACTCCAGCACCTCCAGTAGACAAAGGACCAGCACGACTCCGAGCTCCAGCAGCGCGACGCTGACGGCGACCGTACCAGTCCTGCAGCTGCTGTGGGGTGAGAGGCACACGGGGACGAAGGCGGCCACTCCAAGGAGACCGCGCAACAGCAGACTCAGAACCCTCAGCGCCCGCACCCCCAACGGCTCCAGAACCTCCGGTGTCAGTACCCTCAGCACCAGTACCTCCAGCGACTCCAGAACCTCCAGCGCGAGCACCCTCAACAGCTCCAGGACCTCCAGCTCCAGCGCCACCAGGACTAGGCCCTCCAGCAGCTCCTGAACCTCCAGCGCCAGCACCCTCAGTAGCTCCAGAACCTCCAGCGTCAGTACCGCCAAGCTCAGCACCCCCAGACCCCTCACACGCAGGCTCAGCACCACCAGGCTCTACACCCTCAAGCTCCGCACCCTCAGGCTCAGTACCCCCAGACTCAGCACCCCCAGGCTCCGCACCCCCAGGCTCAGCACCCCGAGCAGGACCACTCGCAGGAGGACCTGAGTCACCAGTGACCTCAACCGGCGCAGTCAAGGGAGGAGGGTCTACCTGAGAAACACCTGAAGGAGCAGGACCGGGAGCGGGGAGGGGGTCTACCTGGGGAGCACCTGGAGCAAGGAAGAGCGGCGGGGGGGGGAGCGAGGCAGTGCGGTAGGGGAAGAGACGGTAAAAGGGAACCGACTCGTCGAACGTGACGTCCTGAGACGCAAAGACACGGCGCGAGGTGGGGTGGTAAAACTGCCAACCAGGCGCGTCAGGGACAAAACCAAGGAAGACACAGGGAACAGCGCGGGCGGAGAGCTTGTCCGCGGTGGTATCGCGGACAAAGGCACGAGCACCCCAGACCCGGAAACGCGACGCATCGCCAACCTTCCCCGTCCACAGCAGTGTGGGCGAGGTCTCCGGCAAGGAGACACGGGGCCAGAGGTTGAGCTGATGCGCGGCGTACCGGACCGCAAACGGCCACAGAAAATGGGGGGCAGCCGCATGGATCATGGAGGTACGAGCGACCTCCATGACTAAGCCAATGCGGCGCTCAGCAACCCCATTCTGCTGCGGAGAGGCCGGAAGCGTGAACGACTGGGTGATGCCGTGCTCCGCACAGTAGGCTGCCAAGAGGTCGGAGGAGAACTCACCACCTCTGTCAGAGTGCAGACGCAGGACAGGAAAGTCCGACCGGAACCGCTCGCGGAGCTGGAGACGAACAGCGCGGATCCAGGGGATCAAAACAGCAGGGACGTCCCCCTTGCTCTGCAAGGGGAAGACCGTGGTGTAACGCGTGTAGTCGTCGACGACCAGCAGGAAGTACCGCTCGCGGCCCTGTCCCTGGACGCGGGCTGGGCCCCACACGTCCAGGTGGAGCGTCTGCAGTGGAGCCTCTGTGGGAGGAAACGAGGAGGAGTGAGGAGCGGCGCGCTGCCGCCCCTCGACGCAAGGAATGCAGGGCGGCGCAGGCGAGGGAGGGAGGGCAGGCAGGGACCTGGGAAGACCAGAGACCAGGGAGCGAGAGTGCATGCTACGCAGGCGAGGCAAGGAGGGGTGACCAAGGCGGTGGTGCCACAGGAGAGTGTCGTGCGACAAAGCGCGACACTCGCAGGGGGCCGCCAGCTGACCAGACACAGACGCAGACGCAGACGCAGCTACCTGAGGGGACTCAGTGGTCAGTGTGTACAGACTCGAGCCAGGTGCACGGGTGAACGTGGCCAAGTGCCGGCCCGTCCTAGCACACGTACAGTGAGTCACTCGCTGACTCGCAGGAGTGAACTGGTGAACCCCCCCATCCTGGAGGTCAGCTCCACTCACCAAGTTCGTAGAGAACGAGGGGAGGTAAAGACCTGACAGTGAGCCAGACGGGACCGCCGGACACGGTAGAACCGTGGAATAGTGGGCAAGGACTGGACCCCCAGAGGGGTCCGCCAGGGAGACCGGGACTGGCCGACGGAGCGGCGTGAGTGCGGTGCAGTCGCGAAAGAAGGAGCGGGAAGCTCCTGAGTCAAGGGTGAAGGTGTGCGAGACCGCAGTGGGCGCAGTACCAGAGAGAGCAGACACAGCAGCACCTGAAGCCACGGCCTCACCAGTACCTAGAGCAACAGACGTACTAGCACCGAGAGCAGCAGCCGCACCAGCACCTAGAGCAGGAGACGCACTAGCACCTAGAGCAGTAGCCTCACCAGGGTCAGGCGGTACGCACAGGCAACAGGCACGGTCAGCACTAGTAGACAATGCATACATGGCAGTGAGAATAGCATCATAGTCAAGCGCAAAGATATCTACCCTCTGTCTATGCAGCTCCAGCCAGGTGGGGAGCTCAGCCTCGTCGCCAAACACTGTGCGCCAGTCGTCGCTCAGACGGGCGAAGCAGCGGGACTGTGTGTGACCAAGCGTCCCACAAGGCTGACCAGTCCTAGCACCTGTGCGAATGACGTACGGGCAGCGGACTGTACGCGTAGACCTGCTACACTGAGCGTACCACTCCTGGAGCTGCCGGGGCGTAAGTGTCTCACGTGGACGTCCCTGCAGCTGCAGCTGGCCACTGCCAGACGCTCCCAACT